AATACGTCAATCAATCCTAATTTATATCGTATACAACATACCAAATCTCGTTTTTTCAATATGAAAAAATAAAAAAGTTATAGGGGGTGAGCCACTTTTTAGACGCACCCGGTATATGATCATTTTATATGTAAAATTATATATGTACTACGTATTATATGTACTAAGAAAGTTTAATATGCTCTTAAGTTTAAAATAAACTTTTAAGTATAACAAAATAATTACGCTAAATTGGAATAGGTATCTAAAAAATAAAAACATAAAAAATTAAAACCAAAATTCCTTAAAAAATGTTACCCTCGATGTTATGTCATTTACATTAGAACATCAGTATATAAGAAGATACTATTGTTGCGAGCCGGTGTGGACTCGACCTAACCTCACAATATGGCCCGCCCTTGGATGACCTTAACATCGCATAGACACCGCAATGATTCATTCGTTCGAGAAGAATCGAGTCCCACTGGAATGGACTAGTACATACGAGAACATTCGAAAACCTTCTCTATGCGCCTAACGATCTATGGACTATTCTAGATTTCTTTTGCTGTAGGTATAAAAGCCGGCGGCAGTGGCCTAGAGAGGGCAGTTATAAATATACCAGTGCAGTTGACGCGCTAAAATTCAAAATAAATTCTTAGTTATAAATCGTTTGTAAATAGTTCTATAAGTCTTTTATCGTTATTGTTTTTGTTAATTAGTGTTAAATAAATAGTGTTTAAATAAATTGTGACTTTCTATCCACACGGAACCGACGAAAAACGTAAAAATTGGTGTCAAGTATGGCGTGTGTGATAGACTAGAGAAATAAAAAGACTGACGATGGCTCCGAAAAAAATTATTGAAAGACCTGAAAGTGTCGGAATTAAAATGCATACTGGAAGAGAGAGAGTGCGAGACAGATGGAAAGAAAAGCATTTTGCAAGCCAGACTGAGAGACGTTTTGGTGGAGGAAGGTGAGGATCCTGAAACATTTTGCTTTGAGTTGGAAGGTGACCTTGACTCGTCCTTACAAAAATTAGAAGATAAAATTACGAAAATTTCCCGGGAATTGCAAGACAGTTTGAACGATAAAATTACAAAGAATTCTCAAAAATTAGAAGACAGTTTGAAAGATAAAATTATGGAAAATTCCCAGGATTTAATTAATATTTTAGAAGATAAGATCGCAGAAAATTCTAAAGACATACAGGCCAGCTTTAATAATAAAATACTTAATTTAGAAGAAAAGATAACAGAAAATTCCAGGGAATTAGAAGAGAAGATAACAGATACACAAGACAAAATAACAGAGATTGAGGAAGATGTAAATAGAAAAATCGAAATTTTAAGAGAAGAAATAGCGAAGTCAAATTCACCAAAATGTCAAGAAACATCGGAGGGACCGAAACTAGTCGAAAATAGGTATACCTCAAAATCAGTTATGAAACCTCCGCAGTTTGACGGAAAAACCGCTTGGGCCAACTACTTTTGCCAATTTGAAGCCGCTGCGAGAGCAAACGGCTGGACAATCGCTGAAAAAGCTACCGCTTTGACTATCGCACTGCGGGGAGATGCGACTGATATCCTGCAGACACTGTCACCATCGGAACAGGGAGATTATCAGCAATTGGTACGACATTTAGAAATGAGGTACGGCCAAGCTCATTTGGAACATGTCTATCATTCCCAGCTAAAAAATCGCATTCAAAAGCCAAATGAGTCTCTGCAGGAGTTTGAAGCCGACGTAGCCCGCCTCGTTACCCTGCTATGCCCGAAAATGTTATGGAGCGCTTAACAGTACAGGCTTTTATTGATGGTTTACGTGACAACGAGACAAGGCAAACACTTCTTTCAGCTCATCCAACGCATTTGGGAGATGCCCTAGCACGTGCCCTGGAATTTGAGGCCGCGAAAGAATGCTCTAGGTCTCTAGGATTTGTACGGGCTGTTGAGGAGAGTTCCGACGATTCCAAAGTGGAAAGGATTGTGCGGAAAGTACTGGATCAGTATATGAGCAAGAAGGGGGGACCGATTCGCTGTTGGAATTGCGGACAGATGGGAAATCGTTACAAAGAAGAGAAAGAAGTGAAAGTCTTAAGGACGACTGTGGTTGGTGATAGTTGGCAAACCGAAGATCTTGCAAATGACCAAATCAGTGATCCAGAGTTGGGCTTGGTGATTAACTGGAAAAACGCGGACCAGAGACCAACGTGGGAGGAAGTTTGCAGATATTCGCCGAACGTGAAGTCGTACTGGCCCAGTGGAATTCCTTGGTAATAGATAACGGACTACTTCGCCGTGTGATCGAGAGACCGGAGGGACAAGAAGAGAGAAGATAGATCGTCATTCCAAAGAAGAGGGTCCCAGAAGTCTTGGAGGAAGTTCACAATGGAACCAGCGGAGGACATCTTGGTGTTACCAAGACACTTGGCAAGCTGCGTGAACGGTTCTACTGGGTGAACTGCAAAGAAGATGTGAGGGCCTGGTGTAAGAAATGTGACATTTGCGCAGCCATTAATGGGCCACAAAAGCGTGGTAAAGCCCCTATGCGCCAGTACAATGTTGGTAGTCCCTTCGAACGAATAGCGATCGACGTGGCTGGTCCTTTCCCGGAGACGAACGATGGCAACAAATACATTGTGGTAGTAATGGATTACTTCAGCAAATGGGTCGAGGCCTACGCGTTGCCAAATCAAGAAGCGTCCACGATTGCTGATGCCCTTGTTAAAGAATGGATCTGCAGGTTTGGTGTTCCCATGGAGCTTCATTCAGATCAGGGAAGAAACTTTGAGTCCAATCTGTTCCAAGGCGTCTGTGAAGTCCTGAACATCCGCAAGACCAGGACGACTGCTCTACATCCACAATCCGATGGGATGGTTGAACGCATGAACAGAACTATCAACCGTTATCTGGCCAAAGTAGTCTCTGACCACCAAAGAGACTGGGACAAATTTCTTCACCTGTTCCTGTTGGCCTACCGTTCATCCGTCCAAGAATCTACAGGGCAAACTCCAGCCAGCATCGTTATGGGACGGGAAGTGCGCCTACCCTGTGATCTGAAATTTGGTTGCCGACCGGGAGAAGAAGTCGCCGGAGAAGATTATGTCCACACACTACGTCAAAGGATGGACGACATTCATCAGAGAGTCCGCCTAAATATTCAAAGTGCTAGTGACCGAATGAAGGAACACTACGACATTCAAGCTGAGCATGGAGGATACCAACCAGGGAAGTTGGTGTGGCTATATAACCCGCAGAGACGTCGTGGGTTATCTCCGAAGCTACAATCCTCGTGGGAAGGGCCATACGAAGTCATGGATAGAATTAATGACGTCGTATACCGTATCAGAAAATTGCCAAAAGGAAAACCGAGGGTAGTCCATTTCAACCGTTTGAGCCCCTACCAAGGCGAAATAGAAGATCGTGCTGGGACCGTGAGAACCTGCAGCTTTGATCCCCCTGATTCGGAGATGTCCTTTGACGATTTCATGGCCCGATACAACAGCAGTGAGAAGGCTCGCTATGGTGTAACCAAAGAAGATCAACGAGACCTCTTTTCCGTGCCTCCTGATTATTCGCTCGCTCATTGTGTGGCTCGAGATTTGCGGATGTCCAGAGGAATCGCTGCGACGTTCAATGAGAAGTTTGGGCGTGTCGGAGAACTACGCCGACAGGATCCAGAGGTTGGAAGCGTCTTGAGGCTAACCGACAATGCACATGGTCAAGCAAGGCACATCTTCTACCTGGTCACCAAGGAATGGTCCCCGAGTAAGCCGACTTATCTCAATCTATGGAAGACCCTGATTGAACTGAGAGAAGCCCTGCTAAACAACAACATTGCACGATTAGCCATTCCGAAGCTGGCGTGTGGACTCGATGGTTTGAGTTGGCGTACAATCCGGAACATGATTGAAGTCTTGTTCAGATTTACGGGAATCGAGATCCTCGTTTGCTGCTACAACCCAAAGCTGAGATCGGGAGAGAAAACTGTAGACTGCTATTTCTACCAGACTTCGCAATGTACCAGGGGCCAGCTTTGCAAATACCTTCATTCGCCGTGTACATCTCGGGACGAGCATGTGCCTAAGAAGGGGGCAGTGTTGCGAGCCGGTGTGGACTCGACCTAACCTCACAATATGGCCCGCCCTTGGATGACCTTAACATCGCATAGACACCGCAATGATTCATTCGTTCGAGAAGAATCGAGTCCCACTGGAATGGACTAGTAATACGAGAACATTCGAAAACCTTCTCTATGCGCCTAACGATCTATGGACTATTCTAGATTTCTTTTGCTGTAGGTATAAAAGCCGGCGGCAGTGGCCTAGAGAGGGCAGTTATAAATATACAGTTGACGCGCTAAAATTCAAAATAAATTCTTAGTTATAAATCGTTTGTAAATAGTTCTATAAGTCTTTTATCGTTATTGTTTTTGTTAATTAGTGTTAAATAAATAGTGTTTAAATAAATTGTGACTTTCTATCCACACGGAACCGACGAAAAACGTAACACTATCGTAAACAAAAGAGAAAAAAAATGCATTTTTGGAATTTACCTCTTGCTTAATTTAAATCGCTTCTTGGAAAACAGCAGGAACAAACGCTGCAAGAGGTTTTTCGTTCTATTTTTAAATCACGGACAAAGCCACTGCGATTTTGATAAAACATGGATAAAACTAAAGCTAAATAAGTACCTACCAAAGTACCTACTTATTTATTAATCACCGATTGGGTATCTTAAAAACAATTATAAAAATAGCGATATAAATTTTACAAGTTCCCTTAATATTCTGGTCCAGTTATTAAAAGGGTAATAAAAATTCTTCACAAAACTACCTTACGGTATCTCATCAAATTTTCGTTTTAAATTCCTTCCGAGATGAGTCACTTTAAAAAGTTCTCGCATAATTTTCGAACAAAACAAAAGACGAATAACTTCTAACATCGAAATGGCCTTATAGTATTTTGAAAAAGTTTGAAAACCAGTTTCCTTTTAAAATGATTTTAAATAATACTTACCGCTTCATTCTCGTCATCGTAATAAATTAGATATCTTCTCGTTAAAACAAACCATCGTCTTTTAAAATTAACTAAAGTGTAAAGTTTTTTGTTTTGTGATCGTTTAACCATATACCCCTGTTTGATTATCAAAGCAGAGTTAAATATTGACATTTTACATTATTAACTACCAAGAAATAATCAGATTTACAAAAATATAAATTGTCACTGTGTCTTATTTTACTAAGCTACAAACACAATATTATCATAAACACATCCGAAATTCACTTTTATCAACGCACAACACCATCACAACACAGAACTGCATCAAAAAATGCAGTGTATTTTTGTTAGGTTAGAAATACTATTGTTGCGGCATTGCCACTATTGCCAGATTACTAATGCAGTCTTAAAATTTAATGAAAATTTATTTTAATTACGGGAAATTTATTATTTCTCTTCTTATCTTTAATACATAATGTTTAATGCTAATAAGTATATACAGGGTATATTAAAATAAGTATATTAAGGACCAAACTTGATATATTAGAGAATAAAAACATACAAAAATTAATTGGACATAGGAGGTGCCCAATCTCTTATTATTTTTTTATTTTTATTTTTTAGTTTACTAATGATTCATTTTTTATAAAAAAAAAAAAAACATTTCTTTAGTTACAAAATGTGGAAACTGCTACTACAAGTCTGATAATACATTTTTGATATATGTATCTTTAGAGATAGATACTGTAATTATTATTGTAATATTATCAATGTACTTAAAAAATGAAAATAAATGCTCTATAAATCCGTACTTAGTCAAACTAGAGTGTAAATATCTAATTACTTTGTCTTCATCCATGTTAATTTCATAAACTCATTCTGTTTATAAAAAATATTAAAATTTAAAAATTATAATATGGTATGCAACTAAACATACAGTAATCTATATCAGTGACGTTACACTGGTAAAAGTTATGTGTAAGGGTAAAGAGAGTAAAGAGAGTTCTTCAGTCATTGGATTGGGTCGGGGATCAGGGTTCGATCAAGTTTTATTTATATTGGTTTTCTAAATAATATTTGCAGAAATACACTAACTCAGCTAAATAAAGTACTTTTGTGTATAATAAGCAAAATATGATTATTTTTATTAATTTATTTAAAGCAAAGAATATCTTAATACCCTAGAAGTCTCGTCTGGCATCAAAATCTGACCTGTCGATGGGGCCTCGCTTTGGCGAGCGAGGCCCCAACTTCGTGGAGCCTCGCTATTTTGCTCGGAATTGAACGAATAGACGCGCGGCGTTGCCTTGTTTTGTGTGTACTTTCTTGAATAGTTTTAAATTATAGTTTTAAATTTTATCTATTGCTATAATCAGTCTTTCCGTTCTCCGCACTCCGCAGTTTACATATAATATTATCTATATAATTCCCGTGTTACAGTTTTGGTTACCGTACTCCTCCGAAACGGCTTAACCGATTTTGATGAAATTTTATATGTATATTCAGTAGGTCTGAGAATAGGTAGTTATATATTTTTTATACCCTTAAATGATAAGGGTAGTCCACCCCCATTTTTTTATTTTGTGAAAAAACAATATTTTAATTTTTTTTTATTTGGCATTAAAAAATACAAACAACACTAAATTTTCACCGTTCTACTTTCATCCCCTATTTTTTAATAGGGGTTGTTTTTTTAATTTTTTGTTACCATCTCCGAAACGGCTTAACCGATTTTGATAAAATTTTATATGTATATTCAGTACGTCTAAGAATAAGTTGTTATCTATTTTTATACCCTTAACTGATAAGGGTAGCCGAGAGGGTAACCCACCCTCATTTTTTTTTAGTTTTTGAAAAGAAAAAAATGTTTTTTATTTTTTTATTTGGCATTAAGAAATACAAACAACCCTAAATTTTCACCGTTCTGCTATCATCCCCTATTTTTAATAGGGGTTGTTTTTTATTTTTTTTTGTTGCCATCTCCGAAACGGCTTAGCCGATTTTGATGAAATTTTATAAGTATATTGAGTAGGTCTGAAAACAGGTTGTTATATATTTTTTATACCCTTAAGTGATAAGGGTAGCCCACCCCCATTTTTTATTTAAAAAAATATTTTTATTTTTTTTATTTGGCATTAAAAATACAAACAACCCTGAGTTTTCACCGTTCTACCATCATCCCCTATTTTTAATAGGGAATGTTTTTTTTAATTTTTTGTTACCATCTCCGAAACGGCTTGATCGATTTTGATGAAATTTTATATGTATATTCAGTAGGTCTGAGAATACGTTGTTATCTGTTTTTATACCCTTAAGTGATAAGGGTAGCCCACCCCCATTTTTTTTTATTTTTTGAAAAAAAAATATTTTAATTTTTTTTATTTGTCATTAAAAAATACAAACAACCCTAAATTTTCACCGTTCTACCATCATCCCCTATTTTTTAACAGGGGTTGTTTTTTAAGATTTTTTGTTACCATCTCCGAAACGGCTTAACCGATTTTGATAAAATTTTATTTGTATATTCAGTACGTCTAAGAATAGGTTGTTATCTATTCTTATACCCTTAAGTGATAAGGGTAGCCGAGAGGTAGCCCACCCTCATTTTTTATTTTTGGAAAAAAATAATTTTTTTTATTTGGCCTTAAAAATACAAACAACTCTAAATTTTCACCGTTCTACCATCATCCCCTATTTTCTAATAGGGGTTGTTTTTGATACCATCTCCGAAACGGCTTGGCCGATTTTGATGACATTTTATTATGTATATTGAGTAGGTCTGAAAATAGTTTGTTGTGTATTTTTATACCCTTAAGTGGTAAGGGTAGCCCACCCCATTTTTTATTTTTTGAAAAAAAATATTTTAATTTTTTTTTTGGCATTTGGCATTAAAAATACAAACAACCCTAAATTTTCACCGTTCTACCATCATCCCCTATTTTTTAACAGGGGTTGTTTTTAAGATTTTTGTTACCATCTCCGAAACGGCTTAACCGATTTTGATAAAATTTTATATGTATATTCAGTACGTCTAAGAATAGGTTGTTATCTATTCTTATACCCTTAAGGGTAAGGGTAGCCGAGAGGGTAGCCCACCCTCATTTTTATTTTTTGGAAAAAAAATATTTTTTTTTTTATTTGGCCTTAAAAATACAAACAACTCTAAATTTTCACCGTTCTACCATCATCCCCTATTTTCTAATAGGGGTTGTTTTTTTGATACCATCTCCGAAACGGCTTGGCCGATTTTGATGACATTTTATTATGTATATTGAGTAGGTCTGAAAATAGTTTGTTGTCTATTTTTTATACCCTTAAGTGGTAAGGGTAGCCCACCCCCATTTTTTTATTTTTTGAAAAAAAAAATATTTTAATTTTTTTTATTTGGCATTAAAAAATACAAACAACCCTAAATTTTCACCGTTCTACCATCATTCCCTATTTTTTAACAGGGGTTGTTTTTTAAGATTTTTTGTTACCATCTCCGAAACGGCTTAACCGATTTTGATAAAATTTTATATGTATATTCAGTACGTCTAAGAATAGGTTGTTATCTATTCTTATACCCTTAAGGGATAAGGGTAGCCGAGAGGGTAGCCCATCCTCATTTTTTTTATTTTGGAAAAAAAAATATTTTTTTTATTTGGCCTTAAAAAAATACAAAGAACCCAAAATTTTCACCGTTCTACCATCATCCCCCTATTTTTTAATAGGGGTTGTTTTTTTAATTTTTTGTTACCATCCGTGAAACGGCTTTGACCGATTTTGATAAAATTTTATATGTATATTCAGTACGTCTAAGAATAGGTTGTTATCTATTTTTTATACCCTTATGTGGTAAGGGTAGCCCACCCTCATTTTTATTTTTGAAAAGAAAAAAATGTTTTTATTTTAGTTGGCATTAATAAATACAAATTACCCTAAATTTTCATCGTTCTACTTTCATCCCCTATTTTTTAATAGGGGTTGTTTTTTTAATTTTTTGTTACCATCTCCGAAACGGCTTAACCGATTTTGATAAAATTTTATATGTATATTCAGTAGGTCTGGTTTGGTTTGGTTTGGTCACAACCTATTCCTAGGTTGTTATCTATTTTTTATACCCTAAGTGATAAGAGTGGCCCACCCCAACTTTTTTTTTTTTTTTAGGCAAATTTTTATTTTAATTGTTTTATAGGGAGTGCTTATTTTTTAGGGGGTGCATGTCCAAAATTTTCTTCTGGGTACACACTTTCATCACTTAAGGGACCTCTGTACAAAATTGCATACTCCTAGTCCTAGAACGGATTTTACATAAAAATTATACAAATTTTTACCCTTAGTTTTACCCCCTTAAGGAATGAATTCCAAAATTCGCTCTAATTATTCAATTACGCTACATAATAAACCTCTGTGCAAATCATCATATATAATCATCATCATATTCCTTGAACAGAATTTATTGTTCCAGAACGTTCAACCCCTCATTTCACACCCTTAGAGGGCGAATTTCCAAAAATTGCTTCTTAGTGCTAAATTACGTTACATAAGAAACGTCTGCAAAATTCATACTTCTAAAACCGATTTTAACAAATTTTTGTACAAATTTTCATCCCTTACTTCTAAGGGATGAATGTCAAAAATTAGCTTCTAGGTACTCACTTTCGTCACTTAAGGAAACTCTGTACAAAATTTCATACTCCTAGAACTACACTACCCTTAGGCTATACATTTCCAAAAATCGCTTATCAATGTTCAAATGCGCCACATCTGTGCAAAAGTTCATACTCCTAGTAGGTACAGATTTTTTTTTGTATAATTACATCCCTTTATCTAATTACACCCCCTTATGGGTCGAATTTTAAAAAATACTTAGTAGTGCTCATCTTAGAGAACGAATTAATATTCTCCGTATTTACTCCAGTTTCCTAATACTAGCACAGATAACACATAATCGTACTAGTTAATTTTTTATTGGAATAGAAGTAATTTTTATTAGAAGGTACAAAAAATTAAAATCTAAAATTTTATTTTCATAGCTACGTTTTTTTTTCATAGCCTTAGGATGCCTCATGTACTATAGAATATACGAAATATATAATCAATACATATTTCTTTAAATATCGAGAAATAAAATATGTTTGGCAACACCGTACGAAATATCGCCGCGCGTAGTCCTCAAAATTTAAAATATTAGCATTTTCAGGCTTCGATTATGTTCAAAAGCGCCACCGTATGACAAATCACTAAAGCTTCCACACGAGAGTTCTTAAAACTATAATATTCTTTGTTTAAAGCTAAGATTTAAAGCCTCTCTCTGCCACTGTCTTTTTAATGTCTATCTTTTTTTAGTTATCTATTGTCTTTGTTTTATCACGTGAACTAATCGTGATATCCTCCACCTCCAACACACGATTTGACAACGACAACTTTATTTAGATTGAGTGGGGTAAGGGGGATTGTAAATTTATTCACAAATTCAGAGACAAATTTATTAAACTATAAAGTTCATGTTTTCCTATATATTTGTTCCAATAACCTATAATTGTCAATTCAAGGAAGATTGTTCATAGATAACTGTGGTAAGTTAGAATCACTCTTTATAGAATATTATTGAAATAAAATAGAAAAATTATAGGTACCAAAACTGACAAAAAATTTACTAATATTTCTTTGTGCTCTACAAATCTTTGCTCGTAGGTGTCAAAGGTTGAATTATCTATATGTAATATGTATGAATATTTATTTGAATGATCTAAAATCCAATAGTGGTTAAAAGTGCTTAAAATACATACCAAAAGCATTTCTTGCCTAGTTTAAAATTTAGTGTGATGATCTTTGTTTATTGTAACCTTAAATATAAACATTATTCTGACAGCTTTAAACTAAATATTTAATTTTTTAGGAAAAATGGCTCTATCCCAAATGTCTCGCTGCATCAGGCTGGGCCTCCAACGATTAAACCAAGGAAATAATATAAAAAACTCACAAAAAGTTTTATTGGTAAGAAGAAAATTTGAAGATAATACAATATACTTATGCTCCAATAAGTCCTTAAGAAGTAGGCTTAGTACTTATTCTACCCAATGTAATAAAGTTCACTTGGCAAGACATTTCTAAGGGTTCAAAGTCCATAATGCTGTAGTTGCATTGTTTTCTAAGGTCTTACTTTCTAAATATCTAACTGATCAAACTGTTTATTTATTATGAACAGGCTTTGTTAGGTGCAAAGTACTAATTATTTAAAGAGGTATACCTATTATAAATATCTTGAGAAATAAAATAATATCTTGCATATAACATTTTAAGTCCATGCATATAGAACTGAAAATACAGATAATTAAGTATGTGTTGCTGATATTTATTTATCACCATAAGCTTAGAATTGAGGTTTTATGTAAAGATAAGAAGACTTTAATACTATTTTTATATCTTCTAATTCTTGTACACAGAAAAATTCCATTTTGGCAATTTTACTTATTTACTAATTTTAATAAATTTTCTGTTTTATTTAAAATACTGAATTTGTTGCCCACAAATATGTTTTATATTTAATTTCCATGCTTTATTGATAATGTAATTTTTATGTATATAGTGATATTAAAAATAATTATGAGGTTCTATTAAATGAAATAAAATTATTCTGATTGATTTTTATGGATATATTTTCAAAATATTACGTTTATTTGTAAAATTATTTATTGTAATTAAGGCAATAATATATGAAAACAATAATTAATGTTATAAAGTTATGGTTCTTGTTCTTATGGTGTTTAAATGAGACACGCAATAGTTTCGTTACCACCAAATTCCGTCTTTTATAGAAGAAAGACTTTTGTATTTAAATGGTTGTAATTAAGGAAAAAGCTAAAAGTTTTGAAAAATGTCTCATTTTTACACCACTTGACCCTACTTTTTGCAATATGCCCAGCCAAAGCAACAAAGTTGGTATATAATAAGTAAATAGTGGATAAAAGCAAAAACATGGACGGCTTAATTCATATTAATTTAAATAAAGTAGAAATGGAATGTCTTTCCAAAACGAAAAACTCTTTTATTATTGATATTTTAAGAAAAATGCACTTTTCATAAAAATTTTAGCTTTTTCTAAAATGTTTAATCCCGTTTATACTTTTCCAAATTTCCAATCGGTTTTCGAGAAAATATGAAAATATGGTTGAATTTTTTCAAAGTGCTAAAAATCAAAACCCGTTTCTAAGGTAATATAATTTCAATTCCATTCTTTGATAGATGGTTATTATTAATTTTTATTAACGTCATATTTTTTGCTGTTGATAAAGTATCAAATTTTCCAGTAACTATTTTCACTCTCTGTAGCAATGAACTAAATAAATTTTGTGCTTCTTTAACATTTTAAAACAGCAAAAAATACGACGTTAATTAAAATTCTGTCAATAACAATCTTTAATTAATTAAAATTAATTCTTAAAATCAAAGAATGAAAACAGAGCTATATTACCATAGAAACGCGTTTTGATTTCTAGGACTTTGAAAAAATTCAACCATATTTTCTAATTTTCTCTAAAAGGGTATGGAAATTTGGAAACGTATAGACGGAATTAACCATTTTAGAGCAAGCAAAAATTTTTATGAAGAATGCATTTTTCTCAAAATATCAATAATAAAAAAGTTTTTCCTATTGTAAAGACAATCCAGGGACATAAGTACGTCTACTGGATCTGTGTCTATGAAAAGAATGCGGACAAAACAACAACAAACATTTAAATAAACAGCAATATATTTTGTAAACCGCTACCTATTACAGTACGTCTGTCCATTCTGTAGCTACGGGGTATCCGTGAGAGGGGAAACGATATTCTCTCGATGTTTTTCGTAAAAAAATAGACGACGCGTCCCATCAATAAAAATTTAACAAATTTGCAAGTAGCCAATAAAATGAGTGGGCTGAGCGATTTGCGGTGACGCACTCGTCAAATCGACGTATAAAATATATTGCTGTTTATTTAAATGTTTTTTGTCCGCATTCCTTTCATAGACACAGATCCAGCAGATGTACTGTATATGTAAGCGGCAGAGAGTCCATGTGGACTTGACGAGTATGTCACCGCAAAACACTCCGCCCACCCATTTCATTGGCTACTTGCAAATTTGTCGAATTTTTATTAATGGGACGCGTCGTCTAATTTTTTTTGCGAGAAACATCGATTAAACGGTAACAGACAATATCGTTTTCCCCCTTACAGATATATAAACTAAAAATTAGTAGAATGTAGGATAGCACAAAATTTAAATAAGGTTTGAAATATATTAACTAATACTACAATATTATTATATCTCCTGAGCCTCACCCCAAACTATACTGTATAATCGAAAAAAATCGGTGTGAGCGTTGGCTTTGAAATAGCGATAGATGAGAATTAGCACCTTATTTTATATTCAATATATAAATATATCATTTATTGTCGTTTCAAGCCCAACTGCCAACTGTGATGCCATTTTAATTTAATTATTTATTGGGATCCAGTACATAATATATACCTTTTATCCTTTGGACCAATTTGTTTTTCATAAAGACATAATGGGCACGTTCAGGGATGGTCAGCGGCTGAGTAGCTGAGAAAGCGACTTCCATGAACTTTTCTGACACACAGGAAGGGCCATTTCGCACCAACACAGTCCAATCCAGTCACGATCAGTCACGTCGGACGTTGCTGAATCCAATCTAGGACGGTCATGAGAAAATCAAATGCGGGAACGAAAGTTGTTTTCAAACAAAACACGTCGTGTACAGTCCAGTCGCGTCCAGACAAGTCAAGACTGCTAGTGATTCGTTTGGTCGAATTTTTATGTCAGTCATTTGCGATATTTGTACACAAATGGATGTTCTTTCACCTAATATATTGCTTAGTAAGAAAAATAAATCTGGTCCCATTCGAAAAAAATTGTAAAATTTCTTGGCATCATCTAATAAATCGGGAAATAAGTGACTAAAACATCCGAAAACAAGTCTTCTATTAGGAATGGGATGTATCCAAAATAAATTTCTCCTTGGCCTTCTTTTTTCTAATCAACGTAAAATTATTACTCTAAGAATCTCGTCCATTTTCAAAGCGTTCTGTTGTTAAACTGCTTATTTTTGCTGAAAACACGTTAAAAAAAATGTCATCAACAAACGTCGGACGCGTTTGGTGTGAAAGCAGTGGACTGTAGTGATTTGACTGGACTAGACTGAATCTGACGGGACTAGACTGGACGCTGAGCAAGATTGTTAGCGATAAATATTTAAGCTGGGCAAAGTCGGTGTTTATATGCACTTATATAAACTTTAAATAATATTTAATATCTGTGGAAGTTGCTGCTTCTTTTTGCCATTTAGGGAATACAGCGAGATGTCATAAAGCATAGTCAGCGAAAATATCTCTGCAAGTTAGCGTCTGTGTCCCTGAAGGCGCTCAATTAAGCACTAACAAATTATACTAAATTTATGAAATATATTTTTCCATACGTTTAGCATACAATTTATAATATTTTTCATTATGAATATTTTATATGGTTTCCGCCCATTGTTAAAGTTTTCTAAATAACTGTGGAAAAATTGCATGACTATTTTTTATTCATTTTGCAATAGCCAGCCGATCTACCATTATTTGCCATATCCATGTTTTTCTTATCAGTTTCAAAATATACATATGATGAAACTTTTTAGGAAAATGTTAAAATTAATTTTCTTTGTCCTAAATAAGTTGGTATGAAAATGTAACTAATGATCATTCTGGTTTTTTTACAAATATATATTTTTTATTATAGGGCTTTATGATTATGCCGGTTCGTAACATATCTTGCCTGGAAGTATCAAAGAACATGTCAATTCTGTCGCACGAAAAGAAGAACACATCCGTTACCGACTTTAAGCTTGATCAACTGCAAGAAAATCCACTGGTTATTTTACTTGCTTGGATGATGGCTAGCAAAAAACACACTCTCAAGTATGCCGATATATGGATTCAAAAAGGATTCGATGTCCTAACTATAAACGTTAATCCCTGGCAATTTTTGTGGCCTGTGAAAGGAACCCAGGTATAGTAATGAAATTTAGAGAAAAAAGTTATTTTACCTTTCTGAGCAAAATAAAACACTAAATCACCACAATACACCAAAACACTTTTACTTTTACACTGGACGCGCGTTTCGCTAACCATGTTAGCATCATCAGCAGATGATTATAAACTCTACATACAAATAAAATACAATTGTAGATTGTATTTTAGTTTATAATCATCTGCTGATGATGCTAACATGGTTAGCGAAACGCGCGTCCAGTGTAAAAGTAAAAGTGTTTTGGTGTATTGTGGTGATTTAGTGTTTTATTTTGCTGTGTAACACCAAAGGTTCCAATCCTCAACTGTAATTACCTTTCTGAATCATAGGTTGTTGCTGCTGATATTCTGAAATTCCTAGAGCAAAATAAAACATACTCTCCACTTATGCTGCATGGTTTTTCTGTAGGTGGATATTTGTGGGGAGAGGTCATGGTACAAATGGCACATAATATGGACAGGTATCAGCATATTTTGGATAGGATAGTCGGACAAGTAAGTATGGTTTTCTGATCAAATTTAGTTTTAGAACTAAGCGGTCTGGTCGGACAAAAGCCTGTCCGATTTTTAAAATGAGGCATCAACTTGCAAAACGCGCCTTAAGCTTGATTTTCATGCATCCGCTATCGGATGATAGGATATTAATTTTATTTGTAGAATGGTAAGACTTCGATTAGTTAGAAAATTACGCAGTTTTTAAATTTATTGCATTCTCATGCCTTCGTTCATCGGATGTACGGGTTGCTTGTGATTGGTGTCATTTTATATTTTCATTCCCATAACGATTTCGCTGTTTTACTTATAGTCCTAAGACCTAGCAACGTTTTCTAGAGAGAATTTTAAGAAAGTTAGTTCTTTAATATATGTTTTGTTATGCTGTCTTAAACAGAGTGTGGACCGTCTGCCTGCCAATAGACGTTGCGTTCACTACTGCACATCATATCTGTATTCAACATCTGTTCACTACTGCGCATCACAAATTCGCTCTGTATTTCAGGAACTAAAGAGGCTAATGTGAAAATCGCATCATTGTATCTCTACTCATAAACGAGAAATCCCATAAAGCACACGAAAATGGGATACCCTGTACAGATGTGATGCGCAGTAGTCTACCTGCAACCAGACGGCCCGCACTTGGGCCAGGAGAGCACAGAAGAGCATAGCAAAAGATATAAAGAACCAGTTTTCTTAAAATTTTCGTTTTCCCGACTTTGCTAGCTCTTATACTATTATATTTTTATTAAGGTTATATTAAATTTGTCAAAAAAGTGTCAATACATCCGTTATCGGACGATCTTTCTCCGTTGACGGGCTGGAGTAAAAAAATGACGGATGAAAAGTGGCGCGAAAACGCTATGACCAATAAGAGCGCCGTCGTCGGACCGTCGTATCAAAGGATAACAGATGCATGAAAATTAAGCTTTATCCATTTTTTACTTAAAAAATGGCCTAATGACATTTAGGCCATTTATAATTACAGTCTGTCCATTGAGAGGATCCATGACAAGCCTGTCATTATAATTCACAAGTAAATTGTATTTCTGTCATTCTTTGAATGTCATCTATCAAGATCTTTCATGAGTTGTTGGACAGACTTGTAAAGCCTCGTTCTCAGAACTATGTTCCATCGCTGGTGACATTTGGAAAGAGCCAATGAGATTTCTCCAGAAATCAAGCAGCTGTCAAATTTAAATTTTGTACTTACTAACTTTCATCGGTTCCTTGAAATTGTTCAGTGAGTTCCTTGAAGTTGATCCATGACAGTTTCAGTCAGTTGTGTCTTTAATTCACAAGTAAATTGTATTTTCTGTCATTTTTTTGTATGTCATCTATTCGATTTCTTCCCAGTGTCGTTGGACAGACTAACTAAGGCTTGGTCCTCAGAACTACGTTCTGTCGCTGGCGACATTTCGGAGAGACAATAAGATTTGTACAAAATTCAAACAGCTGTCAAATTTAAATTTAGTACCTACAACTTGCCTACCTAACCTAACCTAACCTAACTGTTACTAGGTCTGGGATAGTGCGGCAGATGTCACAGAGATTCATAAAGGTGTACCACCAGCAGTATTTCCTAAAAACAAAATGATGGCTAGAGCTCTTGGTAAATATATGCTGTAAGTATTTTCTCAAGCATAATCGTATAAGGTACTTTAATTCTTTTTTCTCTAAAAATTAATAGGTATCATTTAAAGACCTTCGACAAAGTTGCAACCAGACACTACATCAGGTCCAGTCAAATGTTCCACACTACTTTAGTACATGCTCCTGCTCTGTTTTTACTAAGTAAGACTGATACAATTGGCACCGAGAGTTCGAATCGTCGCGTTAAAGATAATTGGGAAAGCATGGGAATTCCGGTAAGTCAGTTTTTACTAAAAGTATTGCCGATAAAATTAAAGCATACCGGCACTTTTGAATTTCAATTTTTAAGCTTTTGTTGTGCTTGTCGTGCACTCCATTTTAATGTTATTTCTACTTTTTTTTTAATTGGTTTTATCCAAAATGGTATCAATCTGTAAAGGCTTTTTCTGTAATCTTTCTGTATTCTTAAAGAAAGGCTCATAAGTGTAGATAGAGGTAAATAGATATTGTGGTATTACAAATATTTCATTTCTAGGTGGACTGGAAGATTTTTGAAAAATCTCCTCACGTGGGACATTTCAGAAAATATCCTAAAGAATACACAAATCAGCTTCATTCATTTTTGGACACTATTGATATTTCCAAAGGAAAACTCAAACAAAAGGAATCGGAAGAAAATGTGAATAAAATTAAAGTGAAACAATAATCTCTTTCAGAATTTGGAACCTTTGAAGCAAAATCATGGTACAAAATTTTTTAAGTCTAAAGTCTAAAATTATCTGGATATTTGTCTCTTATTTTTTTATATATTAATTGCTTTTTTAAGATGTTAGTTTTTGTCAACTAATTTTTACATATCCTGTAGTGGAATATTTGCGTCTCCATAGGTAATTGAGTTATAATAGTCTGTGATAAAACTGGATTGAATTGCAATATTCTTATAATTGGCTTCACCTCAGTAATATATTTTTATTATGATGTGTATTAAAATCAAAACGTACATATATAAAAAAATATAGATTAAGTGTATAAATGAAAGCTTCATTTTAATGTTTAAGGTGTTTTCATATTTTGTAAATAAATTAGGTGTTTTGACTTGTTTTATTTTTGAAAGCTATGACCATTTATGGCAATCACGCTCATACCAAAACTTACTCATTTCTTAAAATCTAGTTTATAATTTCTATATTAAACATTCTATTACCTATTAATTATATTTTTTATTTAGCTGGTAACAAATTTAATCTATCCTACAATATTTTAACCAAAATATAATAAATTAAGACTATTCTTTTTATTATTTAACTTAAATAAGTCCCGTTTTGTTTTTCCTAATATATATAAAAGAAATTATTGTTTGTGATGGATCCCTATATTAAGGTGGTTACTCACGAGCCCAGCATTGCGAAATTCGCAACAAAGCTGAATGCGTTTAAACGATCCTACAAAGTATATTATTTTACCTTATAATAATATACTCAATAAAAAAACAATTCCAGCCCGATGCAATTTTTCCTTTTAACATGTATTTCCTCTCCTTTTTAAGAAATTTAAAAAAATATATAAGTTGCAGAAAAATTCATATATTTAACATTTATATTCAATTTGTTTGGAAAATTATAAACTTCAATTAAGATTTTTTAAATTCACCCCGAGAAGAGGGTAGAAATATAAATTAAGTGTTTTTTTTTTAAATTTCAGAGAAACGGTAAGGTCTTTGAAAATGTTTCAATAAAAGCTGTTCCCTAGCTTCTAGCCAGTAGCCACCCTATCTCGGTTAATTTTGATTTGAGCACAAAAGTATAAAGACCCTAACTTTTATTTAAACTTTTTTTATTTCTTACCGTTCTCTTCCACCCTCATGAGGAAGCGCCTTAAATATGTAGAAAAACAATTTGTTTTACAAGTAATAAACTAATTTTTCTACCATTACACACATCCCTGATTGGTAAAGAGGAATCTGGAGCAATCGTTAAGGGTGCAGCCACACTATCCTAAAAACGGCGTATCGGCGTAACGGCGTAACGACCTTGAATCGATTTCCAGTAATTCTATTGGCTGAAATTTTTGACAGATGAATTTGACAGATAAAATTTCTGACAGATGAATGTTTCAGCCAATAGAATTACTGGAAATCTATTCAAGGTCATTACGCCGTTGCGCCGATACGCCGTTTTTAGGATAGTGTGGCTGCACCCTAAGAAACACTTTAGTACTTTACATTTTAACTTACCCATCCTTGTTTTCTCTAATTCTTAACGACTAGCAAAAGTAGGCAACTAGTAATACTGGTACATATTGTTTTGTTGTTTTGTTTACATCTTCCAAACTTCAAAAACTGTTGTGATTGCTTATCTACACCCTTATAAATTATAAATATTGATTTAAAATTTATTTATACAATTCGCAGCCATTAGTGGCAAAACAATTGTTTGTAAACCACTTCAACGAAGGAGAATATTTGTTTTTATATTGCAATATCCTACTCGAGACACCCCTTGAGACTATAAAATAACTGTTATCTTAGTTTACCATATAAAACGCAAACATTTAAAAAGAATTTACAGTGTTTTAACGTATTTTAACAGCCAAAATGTGCAAAATTTTCGCTAATGGCTTTTTGCTGGTTTGCCTTCTAGCGCAAGTTTTTAGTGTATATATTGATGAGATATATTATTATCAGCCTGAACAAGTACATCTTTCTTTTGGAGAAGATGTATCCCAAATTGTAGTAACATGGTCAACAATGGATGACACTCCCGAATCGGTTGTTGAATATGGTATTGGTGGTCTCATTTTGCAAGCAAATGGATCTTCAACTCAATTTGTCGATGGAGGATCGCTTAAGCATACACAGTACATTCATAGAGTACTGTTAACTAATTTATCACCCGACACCAGATATGGCAAGTTATTCTACACATTTTAACTATACAATATGTCCTCAATGAAAAGACAATATACCTACTACAAGTTATCAATAATACCCCAAGGCACAAAATTAAAAATTATATATATTCATTGTTAAAATTAGCTAAAATTGTCACCAATCCTTTAATTTGTAATATATATTCATAATCTACATGCACATATATAATGTTATAGAGTACCATTGTGGAAGCAGTATGGGATGGTCTAATTTATTTTTCTTTAAAACACCTCCATCGGGTAATGATTGGACACCTCATATAGCTATTTATGGTGATATGGGCAATGAAAATGCTCAATCTTTAGCCAGATTACAAGAAGAGACTCAAAGAGGCTTGTATGACACAATTTTACACATAGGTGACTTTGCTTATGATATGGATTCTGTAAGAAACTTTTTGAAATAAGTTTGTGTGTATATAATTTATTCTTTAAACAATTTAGGATAATGGAGAAGTTGGAGATGAATTTATGAGGCAGATTGAATCTGTAGCAGCTTATATTCCATATATGACTTGCCCTGGAAATCATGAAGAAGCATAGTAAGCTCTTTTTTTTATTAAAAATATTTTTGTAAAATTATTTTTAACAAGTGGCCATCATTATATTTTGGGCAAAATTTGATCCATATTCTCTAGCTTTATGTTGCTTATTTATGGTCAAAATTATTAGCCTAAACAAATAGATTAAGAAAGAAATAATTTTAGCAACTTCAGCCACTACCGTGGAAGATTTAGCATGCCTGGATCTTCAGATTCTTTGTACTACAGCTTTGATATTGGGCCTCTACACATTATTTCCATATCAACAGAACTTTATTATTTTATGAACTATGGAGTAAAAAGTTTAGTTTTCCAATATGATTGGCTAGAGGCTGATTTAATTAAAGCTAATTTACCTGAAAACAGGTAGGTTTTTCAGTGAACGAGATATTTTCTACATCTCACAAATTTCTAGAAATGAGCGACCATGGATTATTGTTGTTGGACACAGGCCTATGTACTGTAGCAATAATAATACTGATGACTGCACACATCATGAGACATTGACAAGAGCCGGAATACCATTTCTAAAATGGTTTGGACTTGAAGATTTATTCTTCAAGTACGGAGTAGATCTTCAAATATGGGCACACGAACATAGCTATGAAAGATTATGGCCAATTTATAACTATAATGTACCAACCTAGAATTAATCTGTCTCCAAGTTGAAAGAGAATTTTACTTGTAGGTTTATAATGGTAGTTATGAAGAACCTTACATAGACCCATTAGCACCTGTACATTTTACAACAGGATCTGCAGGTTGCAAAGAAGGCAGGGAAAATTTTACTGATACCAGACCAGAATGGTCAGCATTTTATAGTAGGGATTATGGATATACCAGATTGAAGGCATATAATAAAACCCATTTATACTGGGAACAGGTAGTGAAATAAAATGTTTAATTTTTAGATTTCTTTATATTTTATTAATTCTTAGTCTTTATTCATTTTTTTTAACAAAATTATTAAAGCTTTACATATATTACCATTAGGTGTCAGATGATAAAGGAGGACAAATTCTTGATAGTGTCTGGTATATCAAAAACACACATGGACCTTTTTCAGAAAAAAATTTACAAAATATGGACCTAAGATCACAGAACAGGGATTATTATTTCTAATAAATTCATATACCAAAAACACTTAAATCTATTTTAAAAAATAACAAAAAAAATTGCCATACGTTTCACATAAAATACAGAATGTAGTTACCAGATACAAAACATAACAAAAATCATCTCAGAAATTGTGTATTATTTTAATTTTAAACTATTAACAAAGCCAAGTCCTTTCCCCAAATTCATTTTTTGCTCAGCCACACAACTCTCATCAATACTTTTAAGTCGTCTTTTACATTTGCCATGAAAACATTTTTTTGCCTGTTTGTTAAAATGATAAAACATGTTATTATCACCACCATTGGGACCTATATTAATATCACAATAAAGATCTTTATTGAAATCTTGCAAGCAACACTGCAGAAATTCAGAGTTGGGAGTGAAATGCTTGCTGATATTGTACAATGTTATTTTTAATTTGGCTGCAAGGATTCCTGTTATATATAAATCATCTATCCAAAAATATGGTTCGTAATTTACCAAGGCCACTAGATTTTTAACTGTGCGGACATTAGTAATATAAAACCAGCCTGACACAAACGGTGGGTATCTGCTGAATGGATATTCCTCCTTTGTAACGTACCATTTGTTTGTGGGTTCTCGTATAGGTACCATGTTTGTCAATACATAACCGGCTATAAATTTCCGGTGTCTGATGTTATTGAGAGACATTAAAATTGATTCTATCATATACATATTTACTACAATATCGTCGTCCATTTTAATTATATATTTACTGTTAGAACAAAAAGTTGTAATCCACTTTAAACCCATTACATGTTTATATGTGAGATTTCTGTAGGCTTCTATAAAGTTGCCTTGAATAATGTCTCTAAATTTTTCATTTTCTTTTTCAATAACATCCTGATTTATATAAATATCCGTGGGAGCTGTGCCTAAAAGGAATATTCTACGTAATTTGTGTTTCTTCAAATCTTCTAATGGAAAAGCCTGTCTCATTGAACTTCTGGTTTCAACATTTCCAAAATAGGAAGTTACAATAAAAACAGCCAAAATCTCGCTGTTTTCATCGGTACATAAAAATTCGTTATTTATAAGATACCGAAATGGAATATCGAGGAGTTTTTGAGAAGATATATTGGGGCGATTGTTCTTAAATTCGTAGGATAAGTCGAAAATTTCAATATAATCTTGGTGATTTAAATAAGTCAGGTACACAAGTATCAAAATTACGACACAAATTAACACAATTAACAACCGTTTTGAAAAGGAAATCATGATAAATATTTACATCTTGGACTAAATATTATTCAAAAAAATCATAAAAATTAAGAACAAACAACTATTTTTGACAACCAGATATTAGGATATAAACATATATTATAAACACAGAATATCTGACAGAATACAGATTTGAAATAATTGTAATTATACAACTAGTTATACATATAACTATAAATGAGAAATACAGGGTTGTAGTTTTGATAAAAAAATAATTATAAGTAGTAATTTTGTACAGGGTGGGTCAAATTCGACGCTTTTAAATGGAAACACCCTTTTCTATAGGAGATAGACGAAAACTAATAACATAACACAAACAATTTTCTTCAAAAACATGATGGTGAAAACCGCACATCAATATCTGTTACCGTTTCGGAGTTACGGGGTGTTTTTCAAAAATGTGCATTTTTAACAAATCGCTGTAACTTTTTTGCTATGGAAAATTTTGAATTTGTTGTTTTGAGGTCCGTGAATTTACTTTTTAATTAAACCAGGTCTTTTTACTCTTCACGAGTTTTATTTCTGTTAACAATTACAAGAACAAAAACTAAAACGAACAAACTGAATATGCTGCCGCCATATTCTTCTTACTCTATTTTATGTTACTAGGAACCTTATAAAAACAAACTTACTAACCTATTCTTAGTGCTACCAACCGTAAATACATGGGTTATGTTAATTTACCATTGCCCCAATAGATGGCGTATACAACACCCCCCCTCAATGGTAAATTTACTAAACATTTGACTAACAATATTTTCCTTTAAATACATAACAAATTTTTTCTTAATTTTTAAACTATTGTACACAATCTAAACCTAACTTTTCTCTAAGTTTTTTAAACTGTGTAAAACCTAATGGTTTTGTAAACAAATCCGCCTGTTGATCATGAGTACTAATATATTTTAACATCACTACATTATCTTTGATTTTATTCCTAACAAAATGATATCTAATGTCCACGTGTTTCAGTCTCTTATGGAACTCAGGGTTCTTACAAACTTTAATAGCACTTTGATTGTCAGCAAAAACTAACACTGTAACATAGTTTTCACATATGTTTAAATCATAAAATAAATATCTAAGCCAACAAGCCTCACTAACAGATTGGCTTAAGGCTATATATTCAGCTTCAGTTGAAGACAGACTAACAGATGACTGTTTCCGACAAGCCCACGATACTGTACAATTGAAAACTTTAAAAACATATCCTGTTGTAGACTTTCTGTCAGTACAATCACCTGCCCAATCCGAATCTGAATAGCCTACAATTAAATATTCACAATTATTATTCTTTTGATATACCAAGCTCATATCAATAGTGCCTTGAATGTACCTTAACACTCTTTTAATCTCTTTCCAAAGATCATAACTTGCACAAGTTTGATATCTGCTTAGTATACTAATAGATACACATATATCGGGTCTTGAGCAAAGCATTGCATACATAAGCGACCCAATAGCCATTCGACATCTCTTTTCTATCTCTAAATTTTCAGATTTTACTCTTTTTAAATAATCATGATGAAAATTGTTATCCATAGGTGTTTTAGATGGTTTACAATTTAACATTCCAAATTTTTCAAGAACACCTCTTAAATAGTTTGTCTGATTTATAGTAATTTTCCCTTCAGATAAATTTTGAGTTATATTCATCCCTAAAAAATGTTTAATTTGCCCTAAATTATTCATTTTAAAAGTATTATTCAAAATTTTAATTACATTGTCTACTTCTTTTTCGTTTGTTCCTGCTACAAGCAAATCATCAACATAAATTAAAATATACATTTTACTTTTAACATTTGTTTTGATATAAAGGCAATACTCATATTCAGATCTTTTAAATGACATTTTTGACATTAATTCATGAAATTTATCATTCCAGTTCTTTGGTGATGTTTTTAAACCGTATAATGATTTTTTAAGCTTACAAACTGTACCCTCAATTTCTTTAAACCCTTTTGGAAGTTTTATATAGACATCATCTTGAATATCCCCATTTAAAAAAGCACTACATACATCTAATTGATGTATTTTTAAATGAAATTGATACATAAAGCTAAGAAAACTCTTATTGATGGTAATTTTGCAACTGGACTATAAATATCTGAAAATGATATACCTTTTGTTGAAAACCTTTAACAACTAATCTTGCCTTAAATCTAAAAACATTTCCACTGTCATTTCTTTTCTTCTTGAAAACCCACTTGCACTGAATGACTTTATTTTCACCTACACTTTCATCACTCACACAAATCCAAGTTTGATTTTCTTCCAACGCTTTGATTTCTGTTTCCATGGCTTCTTTCCATTTGCTCCAATCACTGCTTGCCATAGCATCTTCATATGTTAGGGGTTCATCTGTGTCAATACAGGCCAACAAACCTATATCTTCGTTGTCCATGTCAAAGTCATTGAATCTTGACGGTAGATTTATGCTTCTTCTTAAGTTGTATCTTCTATTGTCTTCTTGGTCTTCATTTTCACTACTGTCACTATCTACGTTCTCTTCTAAGTGTCTTTCTTCCTCTTCAATGTCCAACTCACTGTCACTACTAGACTCAGCTTCATTTTGAGTGTTTAGTTCTGCAATTAGCTCTTGATTTTCTTGTTTTACCGTTTCTTTATTTTCTTCTATGTCACGTTCAGGTTCTATGTCTTTTTCTGGTAGAAATATTATGTCACGAAGAATTTCTACTGTGTTCTTTTCAGGTAAGTATATTCTGTATCCTTTTACATCTTGACTATATCCCAAAAATATACCAAACATATTCTTTGCATCCCACTTTAGTCTTTTCTCCTTTGGAATATGTACCGAGACCTTTGTTCCAAACCTCTTAAAAATATTAGGGTCTATCTTTCTTTTGTACCATGACTCATATGGTGTTCTATTTTGCTCTGACTCATATGGTGTTCTATTTTGCTCTAGAGCTTACTCCTGTTCTATTTAATATGAAAGTAGCTGTGTTGAGAGCTTCTGCCCACAAATTCTTGTGTAATTTTTTGACCTTGCAACATTGTTCGAGCTGCCTCAACTAAGGTTCGATTTTCTCTTTCTGCTCTTCCGTTTTGTTGTGGCGTATATACAACCAATCTTTGATGCCTTATTCCTCTGTTTTCTAACAGTTCTTTGATCTCTTTGTTCAAAAATTCAAGACCGTTATCTGATCTTAGAGCCTTCACTTTGTAACCTGTTTCTCTTTCAGCTAACGTTATGAAATTTTCCAACTTTTTCTTTACTTCTGACTTATTCTTTAGAAAATAGACATACCTGTAGTTAGTATAGTCATCTTTTAATAGGAGAAAGTATCGAGATCCTCCTAAAGATTCTTGCTCCATAGGTCCACATACATCTGTGTGTACTAGCTCTAATGGTACTGTAGCTCTTGACTCACTTTCATGAAAGGGATGTCTATGCTGTTTTCCAGTTAAGCATTGTTCACATACAAACTTTTCATCCACAAATTCTATGTTATTGTTCCTTAAAAAGTGTTTTATATAGTTAACATTTTGGTGTGCTAATTTACAGTGCCATTCTTTTAAACAGTCTATGGTTTTAACTTTCATACAGTCAGAGTTTACGTTAGTTGTTAAGATATTTTTAGGTTGATCTTGTAAGCATTTGACATAAGACTTTTCTTGAGAAAAACACATTGTATACAACTTATTCTGTCTTATAGCTTGAGCTCTTATCTTTCCATTTTTGTCATGAAAAGTGCATTTTTCATTATCAGAGGACAAGAAATATCCATTATCAAGCGCACAACCAGCAGAAAAAAGATTGAACTTTAAATCAGGTATATATAATACATTAGAAAGGTAAGTTTCAATTAGACTTGTGCCATTATATGCCCACAACTTAATTTTGCCATAACCTCTTACCTCTAGCTTTTGACCATTTCCTACTTGCACCATTCTAGGGATTTTTACTTTGTACATTTCCTGAAATAATTCCTTGTTCCATGACATGTGCTCGCTTGCACCCGAATCCAAAAACCATTCATGTGACTTGGTATTAGTTTTAGAGTTGACCATAAAAGCATTTACTTCTGGTTCTTCTTTCTTTTTACTTGACATGCCTTTGTTTTCTTGATTTCCTTCTTTATTTTTTCTGACCCAACATGTTTGGACTAAATGACCATTTTTTCTACAGAAACTGCACACTTTCTTTTCATTCTTTTGCTTCTTGTGCCTAAAATAACAATCTCTAGCAATATGGCCTACCTTTGAACATATATAACATTTCTTTCCTTGAGGTTTTTCACTGGTTTTAGTTGCCAATGCAGTTGCATTTTCCAAAGACTTGCATCTTTCTTCTTCTAGAAGTAATCTTGAAGTTAACTCTTCGAGACTTTGGTTATCTACTGGAACAGATTCCCACGCTGATCTAAAATGCTTAAATTGCTCTGGGAGAGACATTAAGATCTTGGTTTTGGTTATTACCATTTTCTCTGATAGAGTTTCGCCTGCGGATTTTAATTTCATTTTTATTTCTTCTATTTTAGATAAAAAGGTACTAACACTTGAATCAAACTGCAGTGAGAAGAAACGTTCTTGTAAAAGGTGTACACTCACCACTGATTCCTTGTCATATATTGTTTTTAGTTTACTCCACATTTCTTTGGACGTTTCACAAGACAGTACATGCGTTAATGGTCCTTCTTCCATTCTTGTTACCAGTAATTCTTGGGCCTTTGCATCTTCTTTCGTCCACTTATTTATTTCTTCAACTCCTGTGGTTGGTTTTACTTTGGATCCATCCACTACTTCAAATAAACTACGACCTTTTAGTACGATGCTTGTTTGAAATTTCCAGACTGGCCAGTTATCTCCATTTAGTTTTAATGCAGCGTTATGTTCAGACATTTTTTCGGTTTTACTGTTTTTACTTTTAATGTTTTTACTCTTAACACTCCGATACACTTTCCCGAAATTTTACTTGTCGTTTTGTCCTTGCCGTTTTTACTGCGAGACCTTGGTTTTCTATTCTGTGTCTGGGCTGTGATCTGGGCCCATAACCTGTTGTTTTGAGGTCCGTGAATTTACTTTTTAATTAAACCAGGTCTTTTTACTCTTCACGAGTTTTATTTCTGTTAACAATTACAAGAACAAAAACTAAAACGAACAAACTGAATATGCTGCCGCCATATTCATAGATAAAAGACTAGAGGTGGGTTGTGAAATCGCAGTCCGCTACTTTGTCACAGCTCCACCAACGTCGCAGTATGTGACTGCTCCAGTGCTCCAGTTCCAAGAAAATCGCAGTGACATTTCGGAGCAGTTTACAAGTTTAGGACATCTGCGCTCGTGAGTAGCAATAGGAGCAATAGCAGGCAATAGTGTAAATTCTGAAAATGCTCCTAGCCCCGTCGCCCGGTCAGACTGTTCCAGTCACAGTCGTCGCAGGTCGCAGTCGACTGGACCATAGTATATTGAGTATATTCTGTGTACTGGAGCTGTTGGGAGTTTGGGAACGGGAAACGTAGCAGCGTTCGCTTTTTCTTTCATGAATCTAAATAAGATATTTATGTATTATAATATATTAATCACAAACAGATGTTTTTGACAAAGGTAATTTTTAACTTGTTAGTATGTTTATTTGTTAGTTAATTTTGTATCTGTGTTTTGTTGTATATCCTAAATCTTTTATTTGATCTTATACATTCATATAAGTTTTATTATTTATATCTATTTTTAAGGTCTGATGATGGCTAAATAGCCGAAACCGGTCACTAATAAAGATTTTTTTGACAGTTTCGACTTTGAATTGAATATAACATTAAGTTTTTACCATGGGCCACCACTCTGTGAAAATGAACAGACTCTTTAAGATATTTATAGCAAAGTGCTTGGTACTTAGAAACACTCAAATTCTTCTGAATAGACTAAAAAAATATAGCAACATCTATCAAACTAAGACATCAGTATAGTACCGTACAGCCGCGATTTTAAGAGCTCTAGGGGCCCGTAGTTCGGAAAAGTTCGAATCTTGTTCGCAAGGGCCCGGGAGGCTTGGGGCCCGTCGGTGACTTACCCCGATTGCACAGACGTTAAAATCGCCACTACTGATCGAAATAAAAACGGCGTCCAGTTGGCTTGGAAATGACAATCGATAACATTCCCCATAAATTTTACATATAAAATGCCAGCGATCTTCATTTCATAGCTATCGCTGACGCCGTTTTTTCGATCATACGATATAAATAAATAAAACTAGACGATGATGTTGCCTATCATAATCACACCTATAGTCCTGTACTTTTTAGTAAATGCAACGAACGGTGCCGAACAGCCGAACACCGAGTGCGATTTTTCGGAGCAATTAACCTATAAAACTACATTTTTAATTTATAGGTTAATTGCTCCGAAAAATCGCTGCTACTTGTCGCAGTGCTTTTATTGGAGCAGTCGCAGAGCGTAGCAGCTCCACAAAAATCGCAGACTGGCCCACCTCTATAAAAGACTTATACTATTAAATAGATAGGCAACTTATAATACATTTCAATTTTATTATACAAGGGCGCCTCTGGTAGATGGAGGAAGAAATACTAATGGAAGAGAGGGGTGCGGGGAAGGGGGGTTGTTTTAGTTAATTTAAAATAAATTTAGACATACATGTAAGAACACTTTGTGTGCTTTTAATTAGGTCGAACATATTATAAACGATAAATCAACTGAATTAAAAGCATACAAAGTGTTCTTATATGTCGGATATTAATTAAAAATATATTAAAAGACTAGAAATAGTATATATTAAGTTGTTACAGTTATAATTTAATCTTTGGCGGTTTTCAGCAAATAACAGGCAGTTTTACATAATTTTCCTCCCTTTGAAGTGAATTGGAAACGGCTATATAATTTTGGTGTAGGCAAGATTCCCAGTTTGTTTCCGTTTGAGACCTGAAATAATAAAAACAAATTAAATTAGATGTAATCATCTGCTGATCATGCTAATATAACACAACGCGCGTCCTTAATTCCTTACATGCACCGTAATAAAATTAAATAACTGCTCAGCAGGTGGCATTTATTAGCAGTACTAATTTAAAAAATCTATAACTGTAAGTAGATATGTTTAATTTACTTACCATTGTATCCTTCGGAAACCAGGTGTACAACAATTAAACTCCATGATAAAAAATAATTAAGAGTCTATACAAAACACAAATTGTCAAACCATTTTTAAAAAACATTGTCTAAAACAGAATACTGGCAAAAACTCTGAAGGAATTTAATTTTACAATAATTCGACAAATCAAAACGAAATCAAAACGAAATCAAACCGTAAAATCACAACAAAAGCGTCTCTGAGTGACAGTTAAAAATCAAATTTTATTATTGTCAGATATTGACATTTGCATTGTTAATATTGACAGTTTTAATATTTTGCGCCTCTGCATCTTGGAGGAAAAACTATTTTTAATGAACCGTCATTTCCATTTAAGTTTCTCAGCCATGGCCATATTCTTCTTACTCTATTTTATGTTACTAGGAACCTTATAAAAACAAACTTACTAACCTATTCTTAGTGCTACCAACCGTAAATACATGGGTTATGTTAATTTACCATTGCCCCAATAGATGGCGTATACAACAGAATTTCTATGAAAAAATTTCCAAAGCACCTTTTTACGTAGAATTTAATGGTTTAAGTATAATTTTTTAAAATGAATATTTTAAGAGTTATCTACAGAAAAATTGATTTTTTATTTGGTACACCCTCTATATTTTTAATTAACTGAAAATAATTTAAAATTACCTTTCCAAAAATATAGCACACTTGATATTTTGTTATAATCCCCTTCGAAATACAGAGTTTTTAAAAGTTCGCCACTTTTAACTAGTAGGCATTGGACCCCTTATTGATGATATGCCCTTAATGGAACTCGAAAACATATTTTTCCAGCAAGGCGACACACCGCCTCTGAACGCTGAAGTTATCAGCAACTTTGAATAAGTCCACAGGTTAATAGTTTATGTTGGGTTTTTTATTCGGTTTTTACATCTTTTTATTAATATAAGGTATTTTTCAGTCTAAAAGCCCGAAAAAATACACAGTGACTTAGGAAAGTATGTTTTTTTACTAGAGATACGTTCTCTTGATAAGTAAACGGCAGATAGATCTGATGTTTTAATTTTCTATTTTTTAAAAAGAATAATAAAACAGCAACTTGGATTTTTTTGTTTATTCTATATACAGTCTTATAATTACATTTATAAAACATTAAAAAAATATATACTACATGATGCGAATAAACATGAGCATTACTTAACAATAATTAACCAAAATATTAACGGAATCCGAAAATAAAAATAAACAAAATTCGTTAAGAATTATTTTTTTCTTGGACGGGCATATTTTTAACAATTTCAATAAACTTTAAAATCTGATTAACTTTAGTTTTAGTAACATTATGGTTTAAAATAATATCGTCTTGTTCTGATTCCTGATTTTTCAGTGAAATAGTCAGTTCGGAATGGCGGTTCTGCAGTTGTGTCAGTTCAGCTACGAGGTTTTGATGTTGTTCCTCTAATTCGTGTTTTAAATTTATTTTTTCTGAAAAAAAAGAAAAAAGAATGATTATAATTTACATGTCTAGGAGTGAGAGTGATGGCGACCTTGTAAGTCAGAGAGAAAAATGCAAAGTGTTTGTTATATCACAGATTAGGTACAGACAAGTATACAGATAAAAATCTTGTCCCTAATTCGTGGTACGAAAATTGTTTTTTATGACGATGTGCAAACGAGTAAAATTTCCTGTGAGCAAAAATAAACTCGTGTAAAATAACAATAAACAGCGTAATAGAGAGATATCGTTAAACCGAATAGCGTGCATGGACGTTAATAAGGCCAGGTGTTTACGTGAGGTGGTATATAACTCTCTTCATTTATATCATGTCATATTTAACATCGATTGTATATTGTTGTAAAAACAACCACACCCGTATGTTTTTACTTTTGTTTTGTATCATTTGATCTAAATTTGTTATTTATTGTAAGTATAATTTTGTGTTGTTATCTGTCTATACATACATAGATTTAATTCATTATTAGTATTATTTTCATAAAATATTTAATTTTAATATTACTATTTATTTTTGTTCATATAGTTCATTTTTTTGTTGAAATATGCAATTATTTTCTTTTAAAATTTTTTACTGACATTGTTTCCATGCCCTTTTTTAGGTTTCTATTTGAATTATACAATAAGGAAATAAATAAAGCATTATCTATCTATCTATCTATCTATCTATAGTTTTCGGATCGGAAAGAATTCTGTTCGCGTCGCGTCCGCTTTTTAAACTTAACCTAACTTTGAATTTAAAACTTTGAAATTGTTTTGTTTACTAGGTATTTTAAAACTAAAGGGCTAAAGTGCTTATTTCCAGTGCTTTATTGTTCAACGTCTACCAGTGGGTTTAGGGCAACAAGCAACAAATTCTCTTAGAAGGGCTAAGTCGTCATCTGCTGTAAACCTAAGCCTCTTTATAGGTTCTTTAATATTGGAAGAGGTGGAATCCATATTTTGGGCCATATTTATTTAATTAAAACTAATCCCAGCTATTTAAATATCAAATTACCTAATAAAACTAAAGTAATAATTCAAAACAATTCAAACATAACCTAAAATATATACCTTATATGTTTAACAAACCCTTTTACAGTTGCTTACAGGAAAGATAAAATACTAAAGGTATCCGTGCAGATATAAGAGACTCCCAGGATCATATAACAAAGAAAATAAGTAGGAATCACATCTATACGAATAGACCGACCGGATTTCCAATTTTTTCCATTTTTTTTTTATTTTTGGAATCAAAATAAGTTCATTGGACTCATCTTACTTCTATACAAAAGTGCTTCGTTCGTACTCTATAGGGCATCAAAATTTAAAAACATAAACACATTTTTTCAGATATTTTAAGAATCGAAAAGTGGCGAATTACCCATAGGGCTTTTTTGGAGAAATTTTAAGAATCGTAAGTCCGATTTTAGTGATATTTTGGATGTCTATGTTTTGCTAAGTGTTTTAAGATTTGGCTTTCACAAAAATCAAGAAAATGTACGGAAGGATGACAACTACCCCCTACATAAATTTTAGTATAAATATTTTCCAACCCCACCGAGTACATATTTTCTTTTCGTAAAATGGTCCCTCTAGTATTTAATACATTTTTTTTGTCTCTTGTAAAAAAACGCTACATCGCATAGTTTTTGAGAAAAAAAAATTGAAGAATTTATTTTTCCAAAGCTGACCTACAAAATATACAGGGAGTTCCAATGAGCCCTCTAGCGGACAAACGAAGAACTTATTTTGATTCCAAAAATACGTAGTAATTCTATGTCTACGAAATATTGGGACACCCTGTATATCTATTTTGTTCTCCGGTATTTCTCTGTGGTTGCATATAGCGATAATATTATGCCGGTTCCAAACCAAGCAGACAAAACAACGGCAAGACAGAAACATTCATGTTTTACGACAAAATTGCGACAAATCCAATACATTTCTGCGACATTTTTGTTTTGTTTCAAAATTCGGAGACTTTTCAATGTTCCGTCTCGGGCAGGTAAAGATCAAAGTGTCTATGTTTTGTTCGTATATTTTACGACAAGTTGTCGGCGCAATATGGATGGCGTGTGCTGCCAACAGTAGAAGACCAGTGAAATCACACATGGTTAATAAAACTCATTCGCAACAACTAAACTTTTGACTTTGTTGTACTTTTGTCCTTGCCGTGTGGACAATTTGTCTCAAGTTTGATTTTGTCAGAATTCCCCATTTTTTGTCGCAAGTTTGTCTTGTTTTTGTCTCAAAATCGTGTTTACTTTTTGTCGGCTTGGTGTGGACCCGGCATTAGGGGTAGAAATACTTTTGATGGCTACATAGTGAAAAAGAGGGAAATGTGGGACAATTTTGCTCCCTAAGACGGGACAGTTGGCAACCCTCTACGTACACACGAAAATCGGCACCAAAAGCTATATGGCAAACTTACCCGTTAGATCGACTGAACGCTGCCTCATAAAACTCGGTCCTGAGGATGGATTATGATACGCACTTCCGGATCGACGAGTTTCCTTCGAAAGACACTTGGGACACTCCCTCGGCGTCTTGGCAAACGGTCTGTTGTGGCAACTGATATGAAATCCGTTGGTACATTGTTCGCAAATCGATAGAGCACCTAGAACAAAAGGCGCTGTCACCTGAAATGGCACAGAAAGAGTGGACGTCAACTATGGTGTCAGAAGAGTTCATTAAATTTGGCTGTACTTAAGCGACTGTTTGATGGCAGTGCTAAAACACCGTCAACAGTTGTGACGTCAGTTGAAACCACAACCTATTCATTAGTCAGCCAGTCGAATTACAGTTATTTACATGGAACTCAAAAAAACTATCGAGACTGGTGTTATAACTGCTTCAAAAACACGCGAAGATGACCAACTGGCTACTGAATATGCTGTGGTTGAAACATTTTCATACGTTTTTTTTAAATTTCAGTTTATGAACGTTTTTTACAACTAATGGAGTATCACAAAATCACATAGGCCGAATTCGGCTTCTGCCTCCAACATATACACAAAAACCTTACCGATGAAACAACGGAAAACATAAACCGAACGAAATCGTAACGAGAAATGCGGTATAACTTGTTTAGACGTTCAAACATATCGTTACGATTCGCAGAAATTGATGCCGGAGAGCATCAATCATCCAATCCAACTCCAATTCCAATAAATCGCTACAATGTCCTGTTTATACCTAACGATAAATCGAAACAATTCGATCGTTACGATTAATTGGTAGCATTTCTAGTAGCGTGTAAACCGCCCTTTAAAATTCAAAAACAAGATGAAAATATTTTTATAATAGTTTAATTTAAATCAAAATAAAGCTAAAAATAAAGTTAATCTCTCTATTGACTCTATCACTCGTATGTGAACTAGGAGGCTGAAACTCGGAATGTAGATGTCCATTTTTTCATGATATTTTGACAATGTTTCGTGCACTATGAAACTCCATCATTAATGAATCAAGTCAAAAAATCGTCCGATTTTAATGAAATTTGGTATGTCGATGGATTGGACCAAGGTTAAAGCCCCGTTCTCAGAACAGCGACTGTCGCCAGCGACACGTCAAGAGGACCAATGAGATTTGTACAAAATTCAAACAGCTGTCAATTTTAAATTTAGTACAGCTCCCATTGGTCGTTTGAAGTGTCAATCAGTGTCGCTGTCGACACGACGCAGTTCTGAGAACGGGGCTTAACTTGACCGTGTACGACACGTGTCACTATGACGTGTCGTACGTAAGTTAGTTTTGACGTAAGAAACGCCAAAAGTTGATATCGTCCGATCGCGACCAAATTTGGTGGATAGGCTATGTGAGCGACGCTGCACACCGTCCCACCTGGAAAGTTGGATACGACGTTTCGTTTACATCAGGGTGATACTAAGGATTTGATATTGAAGAAAAATGTGAGTCGATTTCAGCATAATTGGGGACGGGCTACAGGATGACGCCCAAGGCGTTTCCAACCGGTGCCTCTAAATGCCGAAAATTATATAATATATAGCCTCTAAATGGACGAAATCATCAGGATTTTTCTTAATTATGAGTCGATTTTAACCAAACTCGGCACGTGAATGGAGGTACCCGAATGGAGTCCTCAGACGGACAGATGGTCATTTTAATACAAATTTTGTGAAAGCAATCAAATTATTTACTAATTTATTACTTTTTCAACATTTCAAACTACACTTTTTCAAACATGTCCTGTAAATTCAATTTAATCGCTGTTAGTAAGAAAGTTTCACTCCAAATATTCACACAATTTTTTATACAATAGTGTAATATAAATAGCAATGTCATTTAAGTACAGCCAATAAATCTAATCAATTTCCTTTAAGACTGATCATAATCATTAATTGACTGATCGTTATACATAATTATAGTATACAATAAATGTTTCAAAATTAAATTGGTTTTGATTTTGCTAAAAAAATAAAAAGGAGAATAAAATTATCTAAGACTTTTATTCCCTTGTTTAGAAATTACTACTAATAATGTAATAAATTTATTTATAACAGCTAGTGTTATTCTAATCAAATATTAAAATATCAATTATTTATTGTATCATGTTATGATTGTTGTGTGATAAAATTATGCTTCTTTAAGACCACATATACCTTCCATATTCAGAATATGTTAATATTAGTCTCCCAAATTCAGTGGAATATCAAATTTTTAATTTATGTCGAAAGTTACGTGTACCAGGTAATAATATAAATCTTCATATTATTGAAAATTCAAAGTAATCATCGCTAAATTTGGACACCCTGCATCAACTCGCATACCCAACAATGTTGCCGTTTGCTGTCGCCTTATTTTATGAACGGTTTTAATTTAAGTATAAATAAATTAAGTAATAAATTTACTATACTGAAATGAAGATAATATATCTAAGCTAAATATAATCTATTACAGCTGTAATAAAACGAGCAACTAATTGTAAAAAATAAAGTTCCAATCCCCAACCCTAGATGCAACATTTTTCAAAAACGCCTACATGTGCGGTTTGAAATTTTGATACAAAATCTGGCAACACCGCTTAGAAGAAATGTATCAACCCAACTTTTATCTCTTTTTAATACATTATTTGATTTTCCATTAAGCTGGGATCTACTAAATATCGCTCAAATTAAATTATTTTTTCGGCCTTTATACTCCAGTCAAGATGAGTACTATTTGTTTTAATAGAAAAATTTTTACCATGCAGTAGCGAAAGGAGAACATTTTTGATGTTCTTATTTTCCTCTATAAATATTTATTTAAAGTCAAATTATTCCTCATATGAAGCTTAAAGTAGCATCTATACCTCAGAACTTCCGAGCACATTTATATACATCTACATCTACTGGTCTACTGCTTAAATATTACCATATAGATATAGATGATCGATGCTATGCCAAATGTCAAAATTAAGAAAGGTTTACATGACGAGAATTCCAGAATAGTATAAACCCTACGAACCAAAAAAAAACTATGAATGTTAATTTTAAAACTGCAGATTGTAAAAATTATATTACTACAAAGATAAATTAATTAACAAAGTATAGAGATTTAAAATCCTTTTAGGTTTGTGATTAAAAGTTTATCTATACGATTTAATTTAATTGAAATGTAGTGGAAGTGTATTATTTGTCCAACTCTCAACAAAAAAAAATTATTATTAAAATTATATTAATTATATTATAATTAAGCATTAATTCATAGTTTCACTCTACCGTATGATCGAAAAAAAACCGGCGCTAAAGACGGATCGAAAATGACAATCCCATGATAATTTTAGCGAGGTTTAATGTCTAGACGTCATTTGCTAAAAATTGGCATAAAAATTAGAAAAAATACCACAAAATTATAGAAAGACACTTATTATAGAAAGATGAAATAAAGACAGAACGTTTCCAAACGCACAAATCCCAAAGAGCTATTTTTTCTCGAATTTTAAAGCACACCATTAAAAAATCATTTTTACTCTATTGAGATTAAAAATAAATTACAACCTTCTTTAGGTCAACTGGGGCTTAAAGCCAAATGACGTCTAGGGTTTTACCTGTGGTTTTACCATAGACAAGCTTTGACCACGCCAAAATTATCATTGATTGTCGTCTCCCCACCCCCAGCCGTTTTTTTTAACGTCGTTTTTCTTCGATCGTATGGTAGAATCAGGTAGAATATACTAATAAAATCTGTCTAACAAGTGAAACAAATCAGGCAAAATTTCGACAGATGTCATCCAAGAAATTAAAAAAAATCGCCTGAATATTAAAATGACATACAACTGTCAGTGTCAGAGATTTTCTCATTGGACAGACAATGGGCACGTTCAGGGATGGTCAGCGACTGAGTAGCTGTGAAAGCGACTTTCTGAACGGTCTTCTCTAACACACAACACACAGCAACTGTTCAGCCGCTGAGCAAAATTCTCAGCGGAAAATAATTAAGCTAAGCAAAATCGGCTATGGTTATATCCACTTTTCTGTGTCTATATTATCATCATTATCTGTAGTCAACTGTATGTAGTAATTTTTTAAAATAATATTTAACACCTGTGAAAGTTGCTGTTTCTTTTTGCCATTTAGGGAATACCGCGAGATGTCATAAAGCAGTCAGCGAAAATATTCGCTGCAATTTGGCGGCCATGTTCCCTGAACGTGCCCAATATATCTGAAAACAGCGTTGATTTACCTGGTTGTTTACACATTATGCACTGTTTGGTATCTGGTGACGATCTTCCCGGACTGACCCTTTCAATAATCAATCCGCTTGGTAAATTGGGAATGGAAGGGAACGCCGACTTAATATCACTTTTTTGGCCTAAAAATAATACATCTATGAATTTTTATCTAATAACCTAAATTATCAATAATTTACTTGGTTGGTTTCCATTAGTGAACCTTTCGATAGCCACTGAATTATTACTAAACGAACTAGGTGGCGACTTCGATTTTGACCTTTGCATTTCCTGTCTCTTTCTTCCTCTAGTATTCGGTGGTGAAGGCGGATGTGCAAGAAAATGACTTCGTTTTTTCTTCTACAAAAAAAAGAACAAATTAAAATAAATAAAACACTTTTTTTTAAACCAATAACTAACCGCTGGTGGCCCTAAGAAATCCCATCCTTTATTCCCATACAAAAATTGAGGGTTGGCTGTACTCCTACGTTTTCTTTCAGCTCTTTTCTTTTGCATTTCCCTGTATACTTCGTGAGTTGCCAATCGAAAATATCCCAGAAACGATGACTGGGACAGTTCATGGGGATCAACGGGTCGGATTTCTGAACCAAACTGAGGTGACTTTCTCTGATCCGAATCATCAGAAAATGAATTTAATGGAGAAGAATGATTGCGTGGAAGGCTGCAACATAACATAGTTTTTTTAAGTTAGAATTTAATAATTCAAAATTATGAATGAAACTTACAAATGTTGCTTCCTTGCTCTATTTAGAGCACTTGTTAAAATGAATCGTTTTTCTTCAATTGCAGACTTGATAGTATTTTGCTTTAAAGACTTCTGATAGGCTTTATATTCTTCCCTGAGTCGATCTAATAGCTTTTTCTGTTATAAAAAAAAACATAATTACATGGTACAAATTGACAGAAAGATTTCAAATAAAATGTTCAAAACTTATAGAAAACTTGGAAATATAATAAAAATAAGTTTTTCAAAAATTGTTAATAAAAAATAACTTGTTTTTCTTAAGTAAATTAGATGAAATTAGACAAGTAATATTTTAGGACGGTGCATAATAAAATATATATATTTATATTTACTTTTACTTAACTAGCACAGCTAAAAAATATAAATAATTAAAAGCGCATTAAAAATAATATAATTAATGAATTAAATACACAAAAAATAAGCAGGAGTATCCCGTAAAAAATATTATTAAATTAAATTCAGAATACCTATAAATAAATAAAAAATATTTATCTTCAAAAACAGTGACAGCTTTAAAGAGAAAAGTTTTAAATGTTTAAAAAATAAAAGTTAAGAAATTAATAAGAATATCTTAAAACTATTAAATAATTATTAAAACTCCACCCTTTAATTTTTCTACATTATAAAAAAATGTTTCTTTTTTGTCTCTATAAATAGGTTAAGTAATGTTTATATGGAATAAAATAATATTTCTTTTACCATACCTGTTCAAAACCAATCTGAATTATATCTTCTTCTACAGTTTTAATTTTCTGTATGATTTCATTTTTCTGAAATTAAGCAATAAATTATTTAAGCAGCTCCCGTTTTTTAATATTATTTTTTAACTTACATCAGAGCAGTCCTTTAACTTCACGATTAATTCCTAGAATAAAAAAAATACGTAAAATTACTTACAAAAGTTCTTTCAAATTAAAGACATTAAAATAATAATTTATCTAAAAAAATATTTTATGTAAAACTTTTTCCCTTTATTCTTCCATTCATTTCTCAATCTATCCTTTTTCAATATATGGTAATTTGTAGTCTTTAAAGAGAGACTTTAAAGTGACTGACGTGAAGTAAGATTATAAAAGTCCAAAAACTTACCTGATGATTACGAATAGCATTTTGTAACTGAATTTGGTTTATTTCAATGTCATTTTTCAGTTCTTTTGTAATCTCCAGACCGTTCATTTTATATTTCTGAAGAAACACACACTACTTTAATTAATTGGAAGAGTCAAAATAATTTTCTACTTTCGCAACACACAAATAACTCGGGATTTTCTCGGCCGGATACTTTGATCAACGAGTTCTGTATGAATCGGCGCACGCTGCGAACTTGTTCACAAATAAAATTCGATAAATACGCGAGTTTTGATATAGTTTCGCTTTTGTCCTAACTTTGTATCACAAATGATTTACTTCAAAAACTTCTATTGGTTCTAATGTTGAAATAATAATTTAAACGGGTAGAAGACCAATAAATTAAAAAATATTAAAATTATTCTAATGAAACATTATTCTGCACTCGGAGCTAACCGACAACGCCCGAAGGTACAATCTTACACAGCTACGCAAGGTGTAAAATCTCTATTTGGATATTTTATTTTATGTTTATAGTTTTGTAAAAAAATCACTTCAACAAACGACCGTGTTATATCCGGAAAAATTATAACAATATGAGTAATACTAATTAATTATCAATGGACCACAGAAAATCACGATAATTCTTTAACGAACCTATATAACGCGTTATTAGAACTGTATTACAATGAACTTTAAAGAACGTGCTAGGAAAGCGTTCGAATAAGTTTACGAGGGGGAAGGGAAGAGGGCGAATACGTAATAAACATTTTTCTAATTACTTTATTGCCTTCTTGCTGTTCATCCCTATTAAGGTATAATTTATTTTATATGGACATATTATAATGCAAAAACGCCATTAAAATACCAGATGCAGGTAGAAAAACAAAAACAACACCCTTCGTCCTTTTGCAAAAGAAATGTTATCTGATGTTAACAAAATGGCGTAAAGATCATCTAGCCAAAACTACTAATTTTATTTAATGATAAGATCTATCAACTGAAATCATATGCTAGAATATTGGAAGAGATTCTTAAATAACTTTAATTATATCTGACAGCTGTGTTCTTTTATCTTTTTAAATATAAATTTGTTTTAGTTTATGCTATAATACCTAGTTCTTATAGTTACTTTTGTTATCAAGTAAATTTTATATAAAATGAAATACCTATCGATATCAAAAACTTGTTAACGCCCAGTGCAAGTTGCTGAAAACAGTGCGTTTTCAGCAACTATCGAAATGTCTGAAGGACACTCGAAGGTTTTAAATATGGGCTGTTTAGATATGTACGTATAATTTAAAGAAAAGAAGATTGATTTATAATCATTGTTAGTATAAACGATTATATTTGAAAAGATTTTAAGTTATTTATTTCTTTACACGAACATTTAACCTGCAATTTATTATAGCATCTTTTTAATGGATTAATGCTCGAAAAAAATAATTAGGTATACCATACCCAGAGACCATACGAAAAAAAAGCATCAGAGATGGCTTGAAAATAAAGATCGCTGTTATTTGTATGAAAATTACATGGGGAATGTTATGTACTGTCATTCCCAAGCCCATTGGACACCGTTTTACTATATTTTTTTTATTTATTAGATCACATCACAAAATACAAAATACTTTTGTATGATAAATTTCCCCGATTATTTATGTGTGGAATGTTTAAACAATAACCTATATTCTATATATTAGAATATTATTAATCTGTTAAAAGCCTGATAATAAGTGAACAGTTTTTGGATTGTGCAGTACCCATCTATATACGGTATAGTCGAAAAATAAAATGGTGTTAAGTTGGCCTGGAAATGACGATCAATGACATCACTTATAAAATTATACCGATCTCCATTGCAAAGGAAATCTGACGCCATTTTTATCATTCAGTACCTATATTTTGGTAGCAAATCTTTTAAGTGTTTTTATAAGTGGGACAGGAAAATAAAACAATGAAAACATTTTATTAAGTAAAATTAAAACCCAATTTACTTATTAAAAAATTCACCCCAAATAGATAACCTCTGTAAAAATGTCTGCGCTTTACAACTTAATAATTCATAGTTTGTTTGCCATGCTTCATTTTTTGGATATCTGTTTTCTTTTCGAAATCTCTCCAACATCACTTGAGCAATAAAAACTCTATTTTCAGCCAATAATATAGACTCTGATCCGTTTTTAAGCGTATCAGACATATTTTCTGCAACTTTTTCTGTCATATTATCAATTGACAGTTCTTCAACAGATGCTACTCCACTTTCTAGAGTAATAGTTATATTTTCAAGCGAGCTTAAGTCGTCTGATGTTCCTTTTTTATATTTCTTGATAAGCGTGCCCTGGTAAAAATCTCTGTTTGTTTCGAAAGTCTTAAAATCAAAATTTTGATTAGGAATGGTGTGACAGCAATGTAAGGCACTAGGGTCGATGGGGTGGGCTTCTGTATTGAATATGTATCCTCCAGCATTTATTACACATTCTCCATTTGGAGTATTTATAATTGTGCCATGTTCTCCTTGATTATGTATGAAATTGTCCACATCAAATAGAAGATACAAATATTTAGTGGTTTCTGAGAGAAAGAAAGACTCCATACGATCTTCTTTTCTATGATCTCTAACATCTTTAATCTACAAAAAAAAATATATTTTTAAATCACAAAAGTGCATGGTTTTTTAGTATTTTAGAACGAACATTGTTCGACTCAGGTCGACTCAGCCTTAAATGAGTACTTGGGATTCACAATCCTGAGTAATAATAGGCGGTTGAAGCGTAGTGCTAGCCACATTACCTTCCTTGTATACCGAACGGCTCAAGCATCGCAAGCTGTACTCTGTACCTTGCTACTCCCAAGGCGTCAAACGCTATATACGGGAGCTATTATTATTATTAGAATGAATATTGTACTGTATGGTTAAGTAGGCTTGGATTTTGACATTTAAAAATATTCTAATGTAATTACATAGTTAGTCCAACAAGAGGACACATGACAGTGACAGTTATTGTATGTGATTTTAATGTACAAATTATTTTTTGGATGTCATCTGTCAAAATGTTGCCTGATTAAAGGACAGACTTTATAAAGCATTCTTAATTTGATTACATTGCATAACTCATACTACTGTACGAATATACCGTATGATCGAATAAAAACGGCGTCAGCGATGGCTATGAAATGAACATCGATGACATTTCCCATATAAATTTACATATAAAATGACAGCGATCTTCATTTCATAGCCATCGCTGACGCCGGTTTTATTCGATCATACGGTATTATATGAGCGAAAAAAAAAAACGGCGTCCAGTTGACTTGGAAATGACGATCGATGACATTTCCCAAATGATTTTGCATAATCAATCATTATATAGCCATCGCTGACGCCGTTTTTAATTTGAAAATACAATATGATCAATAATATGGGGAATATCGATATAATGTTATCGATCGTCATTCCAATCCAACTGGACGCCGTTTTTTTTTCGATCATACGCTAACACAAATTGGCACCAGAGTTAAACTTGGAAAATGAAGGTTGTTCATGTTTTTTGTTCTGATTTTTGATGTAATTAATGTATTTTTTCTGTCAATAAATAAAAAAAAAATATTTTTGATCACATCCTACACTGTACTACCCTAATAAAAGAGTACTATCAGTAGTAACATACTGTGGCATATCCACATGGTGTCTTGGCACTATGTTTAATACTCCTTAGTATATCTTCCCCAGCTTGAAGTAGAAATGGATCACCAGTTGCCCTATACAGATACATAATTGACTCTATGAGTTCTGGCCGTAAAGGATAACTTTCTTTACCAGCTCCTGCTTCGTTTTGAGTTATGTAGTAAAATTCTGGGGTAAATCCATATTGTTGCCAAACTTGATGGTAATTATGAAGCGTTCGCATTGCATTAGATGTTTCCCCTGGAATAGATTAAATTGACCAATTTTTCTATGCTATTGCTAATTTTTTAAACAGATATTTCACCTATTAAACTAAGAACACCAGGCCAATATGCCTCTAGCGATTGAAAAACTGGTAAAGTAACATGCCCCTTTGTCATTGAAACCCACATGTACCAATCATCTTTTTTCAAATACTTATCAATGGCTTTTCTGGATGTATGGAACATTTCCATAAGTTCTGGTCTGTAAAACAATTTCTAAAGTTTTAAAGATAAAAGAAATTATTCTGTTAGGACCTCTGTAGCAAAATAGAGCCTTTGACTAAATATTCAAAATAAGAATCGACACCTGAGCCAATGCCAGCATCTTGAGCTGTCCATCGGCCTGTATTTGTATCAATATGATTACCAAACAGTCCAAGAGGAGACTGGTGATTAAATAGTGCATACAGTGCATTCATTGCAACCTACAAGTAAAATAAATATTTGTATTTAAATAATGGACTACAAAAAAAAATAATATTAAATTTACCTCTTCATATATGGGGTCACCAGTTAATCTGCTCAAAGTTCCAAATTCCACAATAAAAGTACCAATTCCTGCTGTGCAGGTAACCGGTGTTTCATCTTTTGGAACACCATGCCTAAGATTGACTGTACCATAGGGCATTCCCGTTTTAGTGTCAAATGCTACTATTAGTCTTTTCGCTACATCTTCGGCAAGGCGTAGTAATGGACCATTACACGGCCAGCCTGGTTCCAAGTTGATTCCAGCTCTGTTTATTACAGTTTATAGCATATCTCTATAGTTTAACAGTATCTTTAAAAACTTACATATTTGACAATAAATGTGCACTAAGTAATCCCCCAATAATTCTTATATTAGTTTCGAATACTGATACATTAATATTTGCATCGAAATCAGTCTTTGCAGAAAGAATGTCAACTACTCTTTGAAATTCTGTATGATTGCCCATTATAGCTAATGTATCTAAAGCATCGATAAGAGTTAAAGAGTAACTAAAATGGTATTTGTAAATATTCAAAATTTTTCTGTAAGGTTTAAATTAAATTTACCTCCCATATGTATCCATACCATCACAACTAATTGGCCTTAGTTCATCATATGGATATGCATATTTTAAATAACTATCATATGCGTGATAAAACATTTCTTTAACTTCGTCTCTAGATAATAATAATGTTAAATGGTAAAAGAATCACAGAAGTTAAAATAAATAGTATGTATCTTACCTAAGATTATTTAAATCATCTTTTGTATAAGTTCTTATGGGAAAAACTTCATTAACCGATATTAACATCAGTAAATAATATAATAAATTACAATTATTTGAAATAATCATTTTCATGGTCAATAATTTGGACTAAAACGTCGGTAACGCAAAAACACAGTGCAAAAACATCACATATCTCCGATGTACACGTATAAAGGTTAAAAATTACTCATTTTTACTTTGGATTTTTATATCGCTTGATGTTTAATCTAAATGAAACAAATATTTTTTTCTCTATAATATAAAAAGTAGTGTAATACCCTTGTTTATATTATTAATTATAACAATTCACAGTAACAATTCCAAGTTTTTACCAAAAATCTTTTTTCAATGTTTTCATGTTTTCAGTTCGTTTTACGCCATCTCTACGCGAGTGTGAGTAGCATATTCCTGACAGATGGCGATTTCTTTTTATTAAAAATTTTATTAATAAACCAAGTCCTTTAAGAAATTTATCTGATAAAAAGAATTGATCTGATAAGAATTTGTTGAATTAATAATAATTTAATAAATATGCAGCAAAAATACTTTTCCTAAATTTAAATATTTAAGATATAGGTTTAATGAAACGTCTTTTTCTACAATTTCGGATATAAACCAGAGATGGCGCTAAATAAAAGTGGTTAATTTTGCCGAAATACTTAATTTTTCAATTATTTTTTTTTATTTAGGATATACTAAATAAAACGCCTTTTGTACAATAGGACACCAGATTCATAGATGGCACTAAACACAATAAGATTAATATGACCGAAATACTAAAATTCTAAAAAAATATATTAAAAATTAAACATTTTCAAAATATTTTTACAGTTTACAGTAAAAGTAAATTAATCATTACAAATAAATAAAACACACTGTTCTCTATTAACTAACACAGATTGTTTATTAATTGCTACTACGGTTTCAAAATCTATGTACGTGAAACCGGTGAAATATTTTTTTGAGCCTGTGTTGTCAAGAAATCATAGAAGTCCTGAAACTAATCAAAATCAGGATTTTTGTAAGTATAACACCATTATTAAATTAAACGAATTGAACTGTTAATTACAAAACCAGAATAATTCTATTAAAAATAATATATAAACGTTTTACATAAGAATAAATAATAATATATTTGTTTCTTTTAGGCACACCATTATTAATACAAAGCAGTACACAACAATATAAATAATGCTGTGCCTAAAAGAAAAAAAATATTATTTATTCTACTACTGTAACAATGTTTATATTATATGTTTAATAGATTTATTGTCCTGATTTTGTAACGGTTATTCAATTCGTTTTATACTTACATCCTGATTTTTTTTAGTTTCGGGACTTCGATGATATCTTGCGGCAACACAGAGGAGTAAAAAAAACAAATAATGTTTCACCTTTTTATTTAAGAGAAGTGTTTCACCAAGATGGTTACGAAACTCTGGTAACAATTATTAATAAACAATCTGCGTTAGTTAATAGAGAAAAGTGGTCGAAAGGTTGTTCACAGAATATACTACGAGTGTATTATGTATTATTTGTCAGGATAAATTTATTTCTACTGTATAAATATTATATTTTGAAAATGTTTAATTTTTAATATTTTTTAAAAATTTTACTATTTCGGTAATTTTAATGGTCTTGCCTTTAGTGCCATCTATGAACATAGTGTTGTATTGTATAAAAGAGCGTTTTATTTGGCGTATACCCTAAATAAAGAAAACTTAATTTACAAATTAAGTATTTCGGCAAAGTTAACTAATTTTATTTATTGCCATCTATAGTTTATATCAAAAATTATACGAAAAGACGTTTTATTAAACCTATATCCTAAATTTTGAAATTTGGGAATAGTTTTTTGTTGAAAATTGGATCCATAATTGGATCATAGTTAGTAAATTATTATTATATTCAACAATTTTTGATCAGATAAATTCTGAAACCTTTGAGAACCTTTCGTTCTTTCATCATATTATGCTTAATGGAATGGGAGAATGTGGAAAGTCTCTTTGAATGGTATAAAAAGATCTTTTATCTTTTTATCTATGACATTGAAGATGGGAGTAATTTAAAATTTCTATTCTCTTCTGTGGAAGTAACCTTTAAAAAATGGCTAGTTTAATACCAAAATTATTAAATAATTTTAGCAGATTAGCTTTACAAAATAGCAAAAAACTAAATACGCGATCTGCACAAGTGGAGAAATTATCTAGCATATTGACCAAATGTTATGGGACGCAAGCAACACCGTACGAAATTATCGATGAAGAAAAAGACAATAAAAAATCTGATGGTAATATATTTTTGATCGGCTTTTTGGAGTGTAGAGTGTAGAGGTATATCTACACTCCATAATCGGCGTATAGATTAATCTCCTCGGTTTTTTAATTTGCATCCTATATGTTATACCTAATTTAGTTAAAATATAATTGATTTTAGAAATAATCCAAAAAGTACAGAGCCAATTGACAGAGTCAAAAGAAGGGAGATTGTTTGCAATTGTACATTTAGCTGGAAAACAGTTCCGGATTACAGAAGGAGATGTAGTGGTTGTAGAAGGCTACTGGCCACCATCTTGTGGTGAGAGAATTTCTTTGGACAAGGTACCGATATTGATACGTATTTATTACTATAAACATTATTTATTTCAATTTTTAGGTGTTACTAGTTGGAGCTTCAGATTTCACTTTAATAGGTAGGCCAGTTGTTCAAAATGGTTTAGTTAACATTGAAGCAACAGTTATAGAAAAAACGTTGTCTCACACAAAAACTCACTTTCGTAAAAAGAGGAGGAAACAGTATATGAGAATTCATTGTAAGTTTGGTTTAACAAAAAATATTAGGTTCGTTTGATAAGTTTTTTTTGTAGTTTATAAGATACCTCAAACTCATTTAAGAATCAATAGGATAAGTATTGTAGGAGAGTTAAACAATCCTCCAGAAGTTAGTGGATTAGAGAAAGCAATCTTCTAGTTTTAAATTAAATTTGTAACATAAAAAATAAAAATACCTAGTTAAATATTTTCTGTTTGTTTGACATATTTATATTTTATGAATATAAACATTTTACATGCATCTGTTTGCATGTAACAATAATCCTTTGTTTCTAACGTAATATACAGGATATGCCTGGTTATGTAACAAAAGTGATTTTTTTATTGTTAATGGAAAAGGTTGAGAATTTCTTCAATATGGCAATTATTGTCATAATTTGTTGGTTATTGGCAAAATAGGGCAACAACTGGGTAGGTATGCTGCAAAAATTCCACACAATATTACTTTTTATAATAAAATATTAGGCTGTATTAGGTACCTACTTCCTCACAAGAAAACATTTTTTAGCAACTATGTTAAAAAAAATAATTTGTTGTGATCTTTTTGGTACATCCTGTATAATCGAACGAGTCTTTTCTAGCTTATGAGGCTTATACGTAGTTATATAATTAAAATATATTCATGCATTTTAATTTTAAGAGACACTTGCTAGCTAGAGTACTTAGTACTTAAGTTTTTGTCCTTGATATCTCTAAATGACCATTTTTTGATACCTTGTTTGTTACGTTATTAATCTATAAACTTATAAAAATACTACTATAATGTTCTCTAATGTAATCATATCATAAATATTAACTCTGATAATGGTAATTGGTAATTTAAAAAATATACAAACAAAATGTTAGGTTAACTGTCATCTATTTGAATGATTTGAATATCTGACGTGGTTAAAGCTCTTTCGTTGTTTTTGTTTGCTTTTCCTGGTATAAAACCTTGGAACAAAATCATTACTGCATTTAATTGTGTTTTATTTCTTCTGTTGACTTACTAATAATTAATTTAGAATAATCAAGATGTCTTTAAAAAATTTAAATGAAACCATTTCACCAGCATTTACCGAAAAATCCATTCATGAAATGTTATTAAACAAGGGCGAATTAAAGAAAATAAAACATTTTAAAATTGATATAGACCAGAACAATCAATCGAAAAAAGGAGATTCGTATTTAAGCACGATTTGCAAGTTTTCTATAATAGCCAGTGGTGAAAATAATAAGTAAGTACAGTTTAGTTTACCTATTAAATCAATAATTTTTTCAAGCATCTATAGTTCTTCTCACGCTCAAGTTTTTCCAAATAGACAGAATACAATCTAGGTAATCAAGTTGGTATTTTTTTTAATAAAATTAAGTTGAATTAAGTTGATAAGAGTAAAAACAGAACCGGATTAGATTCAAATTATTTAAAAGAATATAAAATTTAATTTATTTTTAGTTTTTAAAAGAACAATTTATGAAAATATACATATGTCAATAAAAGTTTTTGAACCATATAAATTCAAATAAATTGAGATTCGCTCTACCACTTATATCCATATAATTTCTGTATATTTGATAAAGTATAACAAACACAAAAATATTACATTTATCTGCTACCCTGATGGAAAAACAAAAATTGAGCGTACAGACAAAAAGTCGTTTTTTGATAGTTCATATATCAGAGATTATATCAATCTAACAACACAATCTAACAGCAAACAAAGGAACCGCAATAACATAATATATTATTTAAAGGAGCGATTCTTGAACCTGTTCTAAGAAAAAAACTTTGTATGAATGTACCCAAAATGCTGTCTGTCATTTTACCAAAATACCGCTGTCATTTTATATGTATTAGCAGAGGTATTAGTTTTATTTAATAGTTAGTCAATGTGCCTGTATAAGTCGATGCTGCCAACTGGTGGCAGAAATTAAAACGTAAAAAGGGGCGGAGACTATTGAATTTGGCAAAGAAGTAGGGACTAGGAATTCTTCGAATTTAATTCTCGGTAAAGAATAAAATATCTTATCTGCTTTGAACCGAATTTTTACCTCAAAGCGTTATTTACATTTTTTATTTTTGGATATGGATTTATATTTATTTTGATTTTCATGGCCCCTTGTTAAATACTAAATTATTATATTAGGTATATATTTTATTTCTAGATGGATAATTAAAAAAATATATGAAACTATACCTACCTACCTCTGTAACTTTGTAAAAAGTATGACGGATTTAACATAATGTTTTTTTTTAAATGTAACATCCTATTTTATTTTAGATCCTGCGTAAAATTATTACTTTTTTATGTATAATCCTTGTATAATGGTGTAACCTAAAACTAGTTTTCTAATATTTCAATTTGTTGATGAAGAAAAAATATTAGATACTATGTAGATATTTAAGGCAGATGCTACAGGGTGTTCAACATATATTAATGGTTAATTCTACGTATTTAAAATTAAAAAAATATCTGCAGACTCTTTCAATGACACAGCCTATACTGAGTGTTTTTTTTTAAAGTGGTTCACCTCTATAACTTTTTTATTTTTTCAGATTCCGAGAAAAAAACTAAATTGGGAATGTTAGTAGGTATATGACATAAATCGAGATTGATTCGTATTCAGTTAGTTTCGGTCACTTCCTGTTTCACCGGAAATGTATACATTTGATTTTTAAATGGTACCCTCGGTATTTTTTATACCGTAAGATCGAATAAAAACGGCGTCAGCGATGGCTATGAAATGAACATCGATGACATTTCTCATATAAATTTACATATAAAATGACAGCGCTTTTCATTTCATAGCCATTGCTGACGCCGTTTTTATTCGATCATACGGTACTTTATTTGATAGAAAATGACATTCTGAATAGAATGACAACTTTTGACATCAACAATCATATGTCAACTTTTGACATTTTCAATTAAATCAAAAATAGCATTTTAAAATTCAATCTAGTGTCATGGCTGTGTTAAAACCATTATTTTTTAATCAAGGATTAATCAAGGAGCTTTGGAAAAATTGATTTGGTCGTCTAATATTTTTTGTGTCTTTTCCTGGTCAGTTGAAATATGCCCATTTCGTATTTTAATCATAACTCAATTTTTTTTAATGAAACGAGAGTGGCTCATTAGCATATTTGGAAAAGCATTTTTTGATACCTAATAAATTTTGGTACCTAATTTTGGTAAATAATTTGGTACCACACACTCCGTATGTCGAGTCAAACTGTCGTTATCTTTACGACCGGTTACATGTTGTTTATTATCATGGCACTCTACTAGATTGAACTTTAAAATACTATTTTTTAAGTAAAAGAGTCAAAAGTTGACATTGAATTATTCTATTGAGAATGCCATATTCTGCAAAATAAAGTAAAAAAATACCGACGGTACCATTTAAAAACCAAAAGTTGTAGTCATTTCCGGTGAAACAAGAAATGACCGAAACTAATTGAATACATCAATCAAGCTACTTTTGAAAAACACCCGATATATTATAATTCTTTCTGATAGATTTTACAAAATCCTTCAACTTCTATTAAGAATGTCATATAACTAAATAAATCACTTTACTTAATGTTTAATAATAAATAATTTTTGTTTTGTCATATGGCAACTTGTTATAATGTAAATGAATTAAAAGAAGGATAAAATTCAGAACAGATTGCAAGCTGTTGAGTATAGGTGTACTTAATATACTTTCTTAACAAATGTTGAAAGGTTTTGTAAAATCACTAGAAAAAATAATAATATATATATCGGATCAGCCAAAAAAAATGTTTGAACACAGTGTAGCATCTAACTGCAAGTATTTTTACATATAAATATATTTTTTTTTCATCTCTGTAAAACACTCCTACCAAATTTGTGTAGTCCAACTTCGGAAACAACTGACAGTTAAGTAACATAGGAATAAAATTTTACTTTTTTTTTAAATTGTAAATACTTACTAACGTTATTTATAAAAAAAAGTTATAGAATTTTAGGCAGAATCGAAAATAAAATAAAAATGGAGTTTTGCATTAAAAAACATGTATCCGCCACATTTTTTGAAGCAACCAGTATACTCAAAAATAACATTTGAACTGTGTCTCTAAAGATTCTCTATACCCTTTTTTTTATTTTTTTGGAATTCCCAAAACAAACGAGATAATTAACTTTATTTCTTTCGTGATATCTCATTTTATAATATTTCGGAAGAATTAATCAGGTATCTTATTTTTATAATTATTAGAAATAAATCGGAATTAAAGGATAAGGGATATGTAAATATATACCATACGATAAAAAAAAACGGCCTCAGAGGTGGTTTGGAAATGAATATCGATGTCATTTGTACGTAAACAAATAGACGCCGTTTTTTTTCGCTCATACCGTATAAGAAAAAAAATTTAATAAAGCAAACGCATTTATTAATACATGTATATAGATTTACATGGTATGAAGAAATTCGCATTATGATCTCTGAAGGTCCCACCAATGCTTGGTTAAAGTGGCGAGTACGACCACTTAGCAGTCACACCTATAATAATTTAATAAAATATGAATATAATAAACAAACTTATTTCTTTTAGATTTTTTAAAAGCGAGTTATATGTGTTAAGTGGTTTTTGATTATTTTAGCTAATTTTTTAGACATATGATTATTTTAGACCAAATTGTCTGCCCACTCAAACGTCTTTCAAAATTATAATGTAGGAAATTCTTAATATGTTTTAATTGGGAATACTTTTAGAAAGTTTCATTTTCACCAAACAAAACTACGTGTGTATAATAAATTGCAGTATAATCAACTATAATGCACGATATATACTGGGGGCGTCAAAACTAGATGTTGGGTTTTCTCAATTATTTCGAACAGAAGTCCAATTTTTCTCCAAAAATTTTGTCCAACTTTGTTTTGAAAAATAATTTTAAATCCATAATCGATGTTTATACAGCAATGTCCTCTTTTAGAATAGATAATTATTTTCAGCTGCATCGATAAAATAAATCATATTTACTGATGCCAAGTAAAAAAATAATTAGGAAATTATTTTAGACATCTAATTCTTAATTTTTTGTCGCTGATAAATAGATACATCACTTTTGACGACAAACCTACTAATAAAAATTGCGTAAAACAAATCATGTTTATTCGCAAAGAGACAATTGAAAACAATTTAATAACTATTAATTTGGGATATAGATCTTAATAAAACAAAAGTTGCATAAAAGCTTTGTTGATTTATGATATAAAACACAGTGTTTCATTTGAAATAGCAAAGAAAAATATAATATCTAGTTTTGACTCATCCTGTATATAATAAACAATTTAGTCTATTTTAATATTATTATATGAATTATATAATTATTAATTATTAACTTAAATTAGTTCCAGTAAAAAACGTCGATATTACCTATTTTTAACTTAACTTAGAAAGAGAGGGCTTTTAAATATATATTTTATTATATAAACAATAAAATTCAATCCAAAAGGGTCAAAAATATATTCTTTGGTCAAAATGAACTCTATACGACTACGACATTATGGTATTTTTTGAATGACAATTTAATAACAAATCCACCAAGCAAAAATACAAAATATAGCCTTTCTTTTCACAAACTCATAACCTTTGCTCATAACTAATAACTTTAAAAGTAAATATATATTTGAATCATCCTGTATATCTATAAAAATACCTCCCTGTCAAATTTACGCTATTACTTTTGCAAGCATATTTTACAAAAAATATGATTTGAGTGAAAATATAAAATAGGAAATCTGATATGAAGCTTTATCTAAACACAGGGTTGACTGTAGATAAAAATATTTTACGTTATCAAGTTATTAAGAAAAATTCTCGGAAAATTATAAAATACACAATATATCTGACAATTCCAAAAAGCAAAGTGAGAAATGAAACAATTTATAGCATAAAATCAGTATTTTTAACTTTTAAGCAAACTGGGCATTATCGTTTAATCTATCTATCAATCTATCAAATGTTTATTATTAAACTTATCTCAGACTCTATAACATTTTTCCCAAGAGTGATTTAAAACAAATTTATATGAATTTAGAAATAAATATGAACAGTATTTACTTACCTGTAAAACAGATGCTTTTTGCTTAATTAAATATGTTGGAAAATATTATCCAGTAGGTACAAATACACAACACTTAAACACAACAAAATAAACTAATAAAATAATAGTTTCTAATCCAAATTTCACAAATACTGTTTATGTTTCTTCGCGAGGGACAGAAAAACTGAATTTTTTAATTACTCAGATATGCATTAAGGTATATTTCAATTCAAAAGCTTATAAATATTTATTTTTATAAGACATAACCTAAACGAAACGAAATTACAAGTCGAGAAAGATCAACAAAACTGCTGAATTTAGAAGCGAATATAACTTTTTTCCTTTTTTCTTGTCACAGTTGAAACAAACAAGGATAAAGCTATTTTCGTAAAACATGGGTGAAACGTGCTAATAAGTGGCCCAATAGATGTGACCTCGCGCCCTTCCATTTTTGAACGATGGGCGGGTTTAACGGATTCCCCTCAAAGAAAATCGTAGGGGAATACAAAAATTCAGAACGGGCAAGGCGCCACCTAGAAGACGGGCTTGTACTAAGCCCTCATTGTACATCTATTTGTTTTATTTTATATGGAACATGTCATCGATCGTCATTTCCGAGCCAACTGGACGCCATTTTTTTTCGATCGTATGGTAATGTCCTGAACTTCTTAACTACTAATTTTTTTTTCATTATATAATATTATATAACTCTGATATATGTTATTATAGATATCTTTATAAAACTTGATCCACGTCTTCTATGCCGTAAAACGTCTTTTTGCTATTCAAACAAAATTATTTATTTTAACCAGTGGCGTCCACATGGGTTTTATATAGAATTTTTCCGAGAAAAAATGGTACGTCACTGACTTGTCTTAAAATAAACATAATTTTCAAAATCTTTATTTATTTTTAAACATTTTTCGTCTCTTCATTTTTTTTGTTGCGCGCATAGTTTTTGCTTAAAAAATTGAAGTACTTCAGGGTCAACCTGCCAAAAGTCTGATGCGGTGACTGTTCAAATCGTTTCTGCTTCAACAGAATGGAAACTGAGAGATATAAGAACTTTTTTTTGTACTTTAAAATAATAATTATGCATATTCTATTGGCTGAAATTCGAAACTTCAATCTGTCAAAAATTTCAGCCAATAGAATTGCTGATACAACAAAATTGTATTTACGTGAAGGAGTGGTAATAAGGATTAATAATTAAAATAGGATTAATTTAAACGTACATATTTCTTATACGGGCCGTAAACTCCACTAACATCCACTGCCTAGGTCCTATAAAATAATAAGTAAATGTCGAATTAAGGAAAAGTTACGTGAGTAGAACTATTGTAACGGTATCGACTTGTGGGTAAAAAATTAGGTGAAGAGTTAATTTTTTTAAATTACGCCGCAGTAGAATTTTTTTTGGCGCATTCACCATTTTGTCAACATTTTTTAAAATATTATTTGAAAATTTTTTGCTGCATTCGCCATTTTGTCAACTTTTTTTTGTTATTATTTATACACTAATACCTATAATATTGTCGTTTTAGTTTGGGCTATAAAGCATTAAGTAAAAAGAGATAAAACCAGTTTTCGATAAACACATTATTTTGCATTCCAGTGAAAATATAATTAAATTTAAATTAAATATAATAAACATTAAGTGTATATAGTGTCCATCATAAAGTTGGATCCATATGGACGTTTTTTTTGTATTAGAGTTTTTAAAAATCTTTTTGTGGCAATCACTTCTGCTTTGAAAACAACTTAAAACGCACCAAGCCAAAGTTGACAGCTAACATCTGGGAGCTGTCAAATACAAAATATTTAAAAGAAATTTTTAAAAATTGGTTAAATTATTATTTTAAAAAAAGTGACTAACAAAATTATGTTTCAACTTTGATTTAGTGCATTTTAAGTTGTTTTTAAAGCAGAATTGATAGCCACAAAAAGTTTTTGTTTTATAGAGTCTAATGCCGGTTCCACATTCTCGTCCGAATACGCTCGCTGTATCTCGCCGAGCTTCTCGGCCGAGAAATTCGTGCTCGGGTACGACCATACACATTCTCGCTAAATTAGCGAATGTTTCAGTTGCAGTTGTGAACTCCCGGGAAATCCATCATCCGTGCGAGAACGCGAGAAGATGGCCGACGCAGAAGTTGCTGCTGCTGTTTATATCACAACACAACACAACCTCTGAACCCACCTAAATCTCGCGGTAATATGCGTATTAATGCGAGAACCCGAGAACGTACACTATTGTGCTCGCTCATCCTCGGTATCACAGCTCGGTATTCTCGCGAGCACCTTTGACTCGGGCCCAAAAAAAGACTTTCGACGGAGCACCGGCGATGCCGGGAAAGACAAAGCGAGGTAAAGCGAGCGGTCCCATCTACACACTCGTTCTCGGGCTTTCTCACCGAGCAACAGCGAGAATGCGGAACCGGCATAACGTTTTTTTCTCAAGCATTAACTGACATTTTAAATGTTCTGCAGAATCCCCGTGTTTATGCAAAGATCTTGTTATATTTACGAAATCAGTGAACCCTTCTTTATTCCAAATGCCATGTTTATTAGAAAATAGTAAACATGACCAAAATAATTTTTGTAATAAAACAATACTACTACATAGCCAATTAAAATCAGAAAACCAGGAAGACTTAAATTTAATATTATAAGATTGACCACTTTTTCTTATTTCTAGTTGGTCGCCCTTGAGATAAAACATCCCTCTTATCTTCATCTATCCACCGTCTGAAGGGAGTTTCCAATAAATTGCACACCAAGTCCTTAATTGGGTTCATTTTTTAACACATACACACACAAAACAGTTTTAAAACACAACAACAAAACAAACAGCAAAAATCGGCAAAAATTAACAAGTTAAATCAACAAAAGCCATTAACAAACAACAATAAATAACAACAACAACTTTACAGTCTTTACACGGTTAACTACTCGCCGAAGTAGCCGAATATTAGCATAAATGCATAAATTATGTGCCGCCGTCACGCATTTCCTGAACAAAAGGAAGACGAAGAGAACTGCCCAAAACCAAAAACTTATTCACATCGGTCCTCGATAATAAATTTCGGGGCGGGGGATTTACATCTGCCGCTAGACTGACGTCACATTACCATGGAAACAGTGCAGTCGCTTAGCTCAGAAATAGAAACAGTTTCACTTGCACTTCTGGCTTGTAGGCGCGTGCGGGCCTATAATGCTACTTTTTCGGCCGGAATTAACGATGCGGTGGACCTATTATGCAGAGGTCCGCCCGGAAAAAAATAAATAACTTATAAAAAATTACCATTTTATTATTTAGATGCATGTAAATATATTAAACTAAATTAATATTTTAAGCAGTAAAGTTTTTTTCTTTAATTTGAGTATTTTTTCGGTGAAGTGCCCCTTCACCTACTGCACCTGACGAGCCGCCACTGTATTGTAATATAGTCGTTAAAATTTTTACTTTTAGTGGAGAAAACGCAGATGTAACTTTGCCTGTTATTGTAAAATCTTTTCCAAAAAATATAGCCAGACAAAAGACCTTTCGATCGCCAGACTTCTTCAAAACAGAAATCGATTTTTATCGACAGGTTATATACGAAATTATATTCTTATGTGCAAATTATTAAATAGCATTTTTTTTTGTTTTTTAGGTGTGGCCCGCTATGAAGGAATTTAAATTAAGAAAAATTGCCAATGAAAAAGATGAAATCCCATTGTAAGTATATTCTATACCTATATGTATACTGTATAATCAAGAAAAAAAACGGTGTTAAGATGGCTTGAAAATGACGATCGTCGATATTTTCGATATAAATTCCATAAATATAAAATGACAGCGATCGTCATTTCCAAGCCAACTCTAACGCCGTTTTTTTTATCGTATTGTATTTAAAATACTACACCTACACCTACATTAATTTATATTATAAGCAAAAACAATTTCGTGTACTTTTTGAAAAAATGGCGTATGCGCCAAGTTATTCTAGAAATACCGATCGATGATAAACGTATGTCCAACGAGAGGACACATGACAGTTGTTTTCTGCCATTTTAATGCTCAGGTGAATTCAATAATTAAATCAATTCAATGAAGCCAGTGGCGTATCTAGAGATTGAGTCTGGGAGGGGTAGAAGCAATATTTAAATAAAGTACTAAATTTTAATTTTATTTTCGCTGAAACGTATTGTCACTGTGGAATTAAATATAGTTTGATTGGTTTGGATTTTCAATTTTGATTGGTATCATTAACTTCTTTTGAGATAGTTTGCTTTATCACGCATTTTATCACAAATTTCTTCCTGGGAAGGGTCATTTTACCCCCATTACCCCTTCCGTATAGGCGCCCCTGGCTGAAGCAGAATTTGTGTTGTTAGACAACGAATATGTCACCAACGAGAAATTTAGCGATTTTTAATAATTTGTTGTGTTTAGTGGACTTTGTATAAATTTTATTACAATGATGATTTGTTCAGCTTTCAAGTGTAAAAGCCGCAACGATAAGAAAGAGCGAGGAGTTACGTTTCAAAAGTAAATAAACAGTCCACTCCACCTTTTTAGCGTTTTCTTATTGAATTTGATAATTATTCTGATATATTATATGTATATTATATTATACGTACTTGATACGTGCTATACGTCGATACTAATTTTGTACCTTTTGTTAACATTGTAATACACTTTTTTTGTAATTAATTAGTATGATACCACGTAAATAAGCAGCATACATTTATCAAAAATATAAATATCTATTCGAGCAGCTAAGTTAAGAAAAATATGTTTGGAGGTATGGTAACAATTTGGCCTCGGGTGTTATTGGTCCTTGTATCCAAAAATATCCTTATGGGTTTTTCGCCACTGCACTGCAAGAAAAATCTACAATATAAAATAGTTATTTTTTGTAAACACTTCTGCGTTAAACCTAAACGGACGCTGCTTGTCAGAAGTTGTGTTTACAGTAATAAAAATTTGCCTAACAAAGAAAAAAAATGCTTAACGTTTCGGAAAGTTTTCTCTTTCCGTCGTTGGAAGCAAAAAAATATAAAGAATCAAGAAAAAAACTATTTAAAATATTTAAATTGAACTATTCGAGAATACTTTACTTTTTAAAACAGATACGTCTACAAGAAATCGTTGACGTTCTGTTAAAATGACATTATATTATATAATAAAATAAAAAAAAAATGATAATGTCATCTTAACAATAATTTTTTTCAATATAATGTCATTTTAACAGAACGTCAACGATTTCTTGTAGACGTATCTGTTTTAAAAAGTAAAGTGTTCTCGAATAGTTCAATTTAAATATTTTAAATAGTTTTTTTCTTGATTCTTTATATTTTTTTGCTTCCGACGACGGAAAGAGAAAACTTTCCGAAACGTTAAGCATTTTTTTTCTTTGTTAGGCAAATTTTTATTACTGTAAACATAACTTCTGACAAGCAGCGTCCGTTTAGGTTTAACGCCAGAAGTGTTTACAAAAAATAACTATTTTATTTTGTAGATTTTTCTTGCAGTGCAGTGGTGAAAAACCCATAAGGATATTTTTGGATAGATGAATCCGCCACATAGGTATAGACATTTTTTTATTGGTCCTTGTATTCTTTAGTCATTGGATAAATTGAATTTTCTGTCATTTTTCCAATGCCATTTGCCGAACTATAGATAGTGTCATACTATAGAGTATTATGATCATTATATTATATTGTTTTACTGCAATCTTGAAAATATTTCTGTTGTAATTTGTTGTTTTAACTGTCAAAGTCTTGTCAAAACATATATTTGGTTATAAATATAAAATGGAATGACCCGTTGGTCGTACTGCAAGCACACCAATGGACTGACGCACAAAAACGAATCAATCAAAGAAACGCGATATAGTATCGACTTTGTCAATCACGCTAACATTTTAGAATAAGTAGGAGGAGCGCAGGCAGATGATTAGACCGGGCCTTTAAAAACCTACGTCTGCGGTAAAAATTTACGTTTTTAATGTAAAAATTATAGCGCGCGTGTCGATTCTAACTTCATCAAGCGATGAATCGCTCCCAAACTTTCGTGGCGTTTACTCTATCAAGAGATAACTTTCAATTGGCATTAAACGGCCTACACAATTTTGATATCAAAAGAAAAAGAGTCAGTGGCCAACATGTTTTATTTTTGGAAAATATTCCAGTGATAATCCATATGCACATCACTGATGAATTTATCGACACTTTTTTAGCATTAAAATATGTAGCACTTATAGTAATTTTTATACTCAAAATTTCATTCATATCACTAAAAATACTTGGAAGAAAATTATAATAAATTGCAAAATTATTAAGACTTTTAATACACTGTAGCTACGAAACAAAGCAGAATCGGACCTATGTTGATATGAAAAATAAATCTTATTTTTACATGAAGTCTCTGAATCTCCCCACGAGAGATGGCACATGTTTTTTGAAACACCCTGTATATATTTTTTTCATTTAAGGTGTTCTTTTCGGAGCATTAGGTCATGCTGTATGGGGTTTTTCTATTTTCAGATATTTAAGCAGTTACTGCGATGGCCAAAACGACTTTTTGGCCTTGGAAGATTTGAGCTGTCAAGGATTTAAAGCTGCCGGCCGAGTTGAAAATTTTAGCTTGGAATCAATCCGCGTATTTTTGACGACGCTGGCCAAATTCCACGCTCTATCGCTCGCGCTAAAACAAAACAACCCTGAATTTGTAGAATTAGCAAAGGGCTTGGCGGTGGGTATACTTATTTCACAAAACAGTATTTTCATTAACACATATATATTTACAGGAAAGCTATTTTTCTGAAAAATTTCGACCTTGGTACGAGAATTTTATGTACAAATCTATGGGTCCACAGTATATGGAAGCGGCAAAAGCTTTATTACCTGAAAAGTATTGCGAAAAATTGCAAAAACTGTTCTCCACAGACTTTTTTGGGTATAATACATATTTATTTATTTATTATTATTTCTTACCATTTTTTGCCTTTTCAGTAAACCATGAATTTGCATTTGAGATTCACCATTTCTCTATTTGCTTGTAATGATACTCTATATAAAACATCAAGTTTATGTGATTTATCATGAGCATAGAGAGGTAACACAAAAGATAGTGCAACTTCGATAAAAGAATGTTATAGTCTATTTCTTAATGCTTGATAGCACAAGACCTTCATTATAACTGTAAAAGGCGTTTTGTTGTGTACAGTGTTGAGGGTATATATTCCAATGAAATTGAGATAACTTTAACACGCGTTTGTAGATGGTAAAACCAAACCAAACAATAGGTAATAAAGATATTTGCAGGGACTGATCGCACCAGGTATTAAGGTATTAAGGTTTTAAGATTTATTTTAAGTTTTGTTAAAATATATTTTGTTACACAGCGTAAAATAATATGATAATGGCGATACAAATATTTATTTACCCGTTATTAGTATTTTCAGTAAGACTGGATTATATGAGCACACTCAATTCTAATACCTATTAGTGAAGAAATCTAAAGTTTTTATTGCTAAATGAATGTAACAAGTTACAAACCATAAATAACAAAACTACAAAAAGCAATGTCACACGTTTAGAAACACATTTCCAATTATTGTTAAGTAGTTACAATAATTAAAATACATAATATGTAATTATAAAGCATCCTCCCTCCTCACTGAAGCCAGAGCCGTTAAGCCCCGTTCTCAGAACGACGTCGTGTCGCTGGCGACACAGCTTGACATTTCAAACAACCAATGGGAGCTGTACTAAATTTAAAATTGACAGCTGTTTGAATTTTGTACAAATCTCATTGGTCCTCTTGACGTGTCGCTGGCGACAGTCGCTGTTCTGAGAACGGGGCTTCAGAATTCCCAACTGACATTAGCAGAGGTTCTACTGTCTCCTCCAAGACATTGTCCTGTCATTGTCAAGATCAGACATTTTAGCTCCTGTTTTATGACGTGTGGTTAACTCTATAAATCGTAGCTTTACAAACTCCCGTAATATTTGAACATTTCGTAACTAGACTTCTCACAGTAGCCGAGGGATCTTGATGCACAAAGAAGTCATGAACATTTAAAAGTATAGTTTTCGCACTTAAGTCAAGAATACCTTTTATCTTCTTCTCAGAGTGCCGTCTTCATTGTTCATTGAAGGTTGGCAACAATCTCGGCGAACTTCAGACCATCTTGGGCAGCTCGAAATAACGAGTGTGCATCCATACCGGTCCAATCTCTGATGTTTTTCAACCATGAATGCTTCTTTCTATCTATACCCCGCTTGCCCTCAATATTCACTCCATTATCAATTTTAACAGCTCATATCTACTTCCACGCATTATATGACCCAGATAGACTGTCTTACGTTTCTTGGCTATGTGCACTAATTCTCTTTCGCACTGGGCTCGCACCAGCACCTCTTCGTTTGTGATATGTGCCGTCCAAGGTATCTTGAGAAGTCTACGAAGAATCCACATCTCAAGGGCTTCTATTCTGTTAATGGTGTTATCCTTTAGAGTCCATGATTCACAGCCGGGTGTATATAGCACTTCACAATTATTGTATTATTGTATTGTATTATATTTATTTATCACCTTTTATCTAACTTGGAATAAAGATCTCAACGTTTGCAAATCAACACAGCAAGGTACACACAGAGATACTGAATGCACGTAATTTTTGACAGGTATATATTTAGGTAAAAATTAGCGGTGTTCATAAATACTAAAAACACAATTAGGACAAATTAGACGCAAGTCGTCGCGCCTATGGTTTGTGATGTTTTATGGCCCTAGTCCTTCTCGCTGTGCTATCAAGCATTAAACAATAGACTATAATAATGATTGCAATGTAATAAAAAAAGTTTTATTATTAATGGGCGTTTAAGCCCCGTCTACACATAACGTTTTACCTGTCGGTTTTGTGCGTCAGGTAAGACGGAAGACCGTTTAGAAAACTGGCGCAGCGGGCCTCAAGACGGCCGTAGCGGATTGTATCAAAAATTGTCACTCTTTTTAACATTGGATATTGTCACTCTTTTTAACATTGGATATATTGCTAAATCTTACTGAACTTTGTCTCGTTTAATTTACATCTAATAGAAAGTGGATCGGCGTAACGACCTTGAAACGATTTCCAGTAATCCTATTGGCTGAAATTTTAGACAGATGAATTTTTCAGCCAATGGAAATACTGGAAATCGTTTCAAGATCGTTACGCCGATCCGCTTTTTCTAGGATAATGTGGATGCACCCTAAGATAAATTTAATCCATTGCATGGCTTTTCGCCGCGCTTCGCATAAGTACGCGATATGCTTTAGTCATACATTTTTACTGAACAGGTAAAACTGGGAGGTACAATGGTATGTCTAGAAGGGGCTTTACCTTACTTAAAGAAATGGTAATGTGATATCCCGTAGGAATTTGTTTCCCGTCATCATACATCGCCCCCTTGATCGTTAAAACTTTTTTTTATAATATGGTATATTAAAGTACACGACATTTTTTGCGGTCAGCAAATTTTGGAGAAAGAAAATACTCTATGATCGAAAAAAAAAAACAGCGGTACAGTTGGCTAAGAAATGACGATCGATTGTATAATTAAGACAACTTTATGTTTGTCTTCGAACTTTCCAAGTCAATTGACACCGTTTTTTTTTATCGTATGGTATAGTCGTGATATCAAATTAAAAGGAGAAATTCATCTGTGATAATTTTCTTTATCTGTTTTTTTGATGAATTATATACAGTATGTCCCCGGGGATTGTCTTTACAAGTGGAATTTTTTTTTATTATTGATATTTTGAGAAAAATGCATTCTTCATAAAAATTTTTGCTTGTTCTAAAATGGTAAATTGCGTTTTTACTTTTCCAAATTTCCATACCGCTTTGGAGAAAATTAAAAAAAAAACATGAAAAGTCCCAAAAATCAAAACGCGTTTCTATGGTAATATAATTTCGTTTTCATTCTTTGATAGATTGTTACAAAGGATTGTTATTCATAGAATTTTAATCAACGTTATATTTTTTGCTGTTTTAAAATGTTAAAGAAGCACAAAATTTATTTAGCTCAATGTTACAAAGGGGATGACTATAGTTATCGGAAACTCTCTCTCTGTCATACTTCAACAACATCAAAAACTATGACGTTATTCAAAATTAATAATAGCTATCTATCAAAACATGAAATCGAAATTATATTGCCATAGAAACACCATATGATTTTTAGCACTTCTAACTATATTTTCATGTTTTTTTTTAATTTTCTCTAAAAAGGTTAGGAAATTTGGGACAGTATAAACAGGATTAACCATTTTAGAACAAGCAACATTTTTTATGAAGAACGCATTTTTCTTAAAATGTCAATAATAAAAAAGTTTTTCCTCTTGTAAAGACAATCCAAGGACATACTGTATGTACTAATTTTCCTAATTTTATCCAGTTAAAATTAAACAAATACCAATTATTTTATTTTGAATTAATAAAAATAAAAAAAATATATAATTAATACGAAATATTTACAAATTTTAGAGACTTATGCAAAGCATGTAAAGTTGATAACAAATACTGTGTTATTACCCAAGGAGATGCTTGGTTGCCAAATTTTCTTTCAAACACATCTGGAGGTGAACTAACGTGTGTTTTAATTGATTTCCAACTTGCTAGGTAACATCACGATCAACTTATAACAACAAAATATTGTTTATCTTCTTTCAATTTGATAAAGGTATGCCACATTCACGAACGATTTAATTCATTTTCTATACTGCGGCGTGCCGAGCGACATGTTATTGGCGGAATGGGACAACCTGATTGAACATTATCACCGGATTCTTATGAGCCGTTTTGAAGAACTCGGGGGATCGAAAGATTATATTACTTTGGATGAAATGACGGAGTGTCTCAAAACTCACGCATTGGTTGGTGTGTTAATGGCTCTAGAGAGTAGCGTGATGGCAATTCTCAGCGACGATGAAGTAGCCGACATTGATTTGCTGCAGGTAATTTTAATTTTTTAATTTTCAAACAGGTGTTTTTGTATGGTTAAAAAGGTTTTTATTGGGATTCTATTCCAAATTCAAGATTATGCTTAAGAGCTCGAATACACTGACACATGACGGCCAGGTCGCATCGGCCAGGCCGCTGCTGCAAAAGGAATTGGTAAAGACTATTGAAAATAACAATTTGCTTTAAGGAGTTCTTTAAAAAGTTTTAAATACTTTTTTCTCTAAAATAAAATAGCGAAAAATTCATCATTTTTAAAATTTACATGAGATTTCCTGTTCAGGTCGGCGACGCAACAGATTGTATTATTTCCTGTGACGAAAAACTCAAACTTTTTTGAAGAAATGGACTCGCCACACAAAGGTATAGACATTATTTCTAATATTAATGTTGTTGTAGGGCGAAGATGCGGTTCCTTTGGAAGACGTCTGGATTCTTCCCAAGTTTAATAAAGACAGAAATGAAAAGTTGGCTTTTATTGTGAAACACTGTGTGGACAAAGGATATATTCCTTAAAAAAATGTGAAATTCTACCATAAGTATTTCTATATAATATACAACATATAAATAAGGATATAAACCTATATACATAAAATAATAGGAATTTTAGCAACAAGAATATATTGCATTTAGTTTACTTAAGTAGCAACTTTTTATACTTAAAACTAATTAAACATAAAAATAAATAACAATAGTAAACATATTTTTACTTTTTTTTTAACTCCAAAAGTTTTTTGTTTGAACAATAACAAAGTGACTTTTTGAACAAATTCAAATAATTTCATTTAAAATACCATTGTTTCTATATAAACTGTTTTAAACAAAAAGTAATTCTTTTAGAGCCAATAACTATTAGAGCGGTTGCACACATACCGACAAAATCGGTGACTGGTCCCTGAGACTATTTTACCGGATCGATTATTTCCGATCGATTATTTTACCGGATCGATCGATTTCGCGGCACCTGCACCGGCATCAACACCGGCGCCGATTTTGCCGGTGTGTATGCAAGCGCTCTTGGTGTAAAAATCTAGGCATATTGTTTTTCTGATTTACGGTTACAGAAACAATGGTGTTTGATTATAAATTTGACTATTAAACTAGAAAACAACATTACAAAATTAAGAAAATTGTTTCATAAACATATTAATTAATCATGTACTGATCTGATATGACTCTTTAATGCCCAGTTGTTAACGAACATTTTTCCGCATGTCGGACATTCAATGGTTTTGTTTTCAATAATATTGTGTCTCGACTTTCTATGGGCCTTTAAAGAGACATTTTGTCTAAAACCTTCACCGCACACTTCACACACATATGGCGCTTCATTTGTATGTTGCCTGTAAGAAATATATACAAATTTTAATATACCATATGATCAAAACTAAATGTGTAGTATCATGGTCAGTGTAGCGGAAATATCGATCTATGATACGAGGGTGGCCTGAAAAGTTTCCGACCTCAACGTGAAGATGGCAGCATTCGTAGATATAAGCTAGTAAATTGTCATCTGTAGACAGTTACTCATCAAAGTTTCAGCCATTTTGCACGCACAGTTATGTAACAGTCGTTTGAGTGAGTTGATGTGAGTGTTTTTGTGAAATGGACAAAATCGAATATCGAGCTGTCATTAAATATCTGTGTTTGAAAGGTAATACGCTACGCAAATTAAAAATGAGTTGGATTCTGTATTTGGGGACTCTGCATCATCATTTACCAAAGCGGAAGCTGAATTTAAACGTGGCCATAAGAGCTTGGGAGACGAATGTTCGGGACGTCCAAAAACTGCAACTACCTACGATAACATTGCCAAAGTTCACCAAATGGTCCCAGACGACCTCCTAATTAAAGTGAGAGAGATAGCAGAGGTTCTGAACATATCAATAGAACCTGTTATACTAAATCAAGAATAATAAATCAAGATTTAGGCATGAGAAAGCTGTCCGTGTGTTGTGTGCCGCGTTTGCTCACGTTAGACCAAAAGCGTGTTCGAATGAACATTTCCAACGCTCTGTTGGCGCAGTTTAGGCGCAATAAATCCGAGTTTTGGCGTCGATTAATTACTGTAGATGAAACTTGGATACACCATTATACGCCAGAACTAAAAATACAGTCCAGACAATGGACTGCAAAGGGAAAACCAGCTCCAAAAAAATCAAAAACTCTTATTTCTGCGACTGTTTTTTGGGATAGTAATGGAGCTATTTTAATCAATTTTCTTCAAAAAGGAAAAATCATTACAGGAGCACAAGAATGGTAAACTAATAGGATTGCTCATCCTCATAAGACGTACGTTCGCCTCTTCCCGCGCTTCAGCTGACAGTTGTGACGTCATTGTAGTCCTTGTCAAAGCCTTCGTGGCCTTGTCATGATAGTAGATTATTATTACATTATTAGTTGCCTATGGTAAACTTATAAAAATAACAGCTGAGAAATTTTGAGTTAATTATTTTGTCAATTTTAAATGTGAAAAAGGTGTCTTTAAAGTTTTTAGAGCTATAGAGTGTATAAATACGTTCATTTTGTGTTGTGGATTGTGACAAAGTGCATACTAAGTGCCCACGATTTTGTTTATTACTTATTTTAAAGCAAAATATGGAAGTACTCTAAAAAGAATGCTTGCAAAAGATGATGCTGGGAACTGCTGTTCTTAAAAATGCATTATCCGAGTATTTAATACGATTTATACAGTTAATTTTCTATACTGCATACATATAAGGTCTTTAAATAAATAAACTAAATAATGAACGTTTTGCATTCGGCAACCAATAATGCACGTGTGTGTATTATTGGCTGCCGGATAAGGACTAATAACAATGACAAGGACTACAATGACGTCACAAAGCGAGTAGTTTTCGCATGCACCTGCCGGACACTTTTGGCTGAATGAGCAGTCCTATTAGGTTAACTGTTCTTGACAGGAGCATCACTACTTGACAAGCTAAAACCAGAACTTGTGGAAAAACGGCCACATTTACAGAAAAAGAAAATCCTGTTTTACCAAGATAACGCATCGTCTCTCACCTCAGCGGTTTGAACTGCTTGACCATCCGCCTTACTCACCAGATCTAGACCCAAGCGACTTCTTTTTGTTCTATCATTTAAAAGTTGCGCTCGGAGGACAGAGATTTTCGCCACATGGAGAGTCAATCACCTTAGTTAACCACTATTTTGCAGAGAAAAACGCCGAGTATAATTTGGACGGGTTACAAAGATGGGAACATTGCTGCGAAAAGTATGTAGAGTTACAATAGGACTATGTTGAAAAATAAAAAAATATATTCAGAAAAAATGTCTGGTATCTTTGTTAGGTCGGAAACATTTGAGACCACTCTCGTAATTTGGATAGAATAAGAAGGCTAAGGAATAAGCACATCAACAAATTTAGTGCGACCGTGGAGTTACTCTAAAATAGTTGACATAAATTCTGATTTATCAGTGACGTTGTAAGTTTATTTTAAATTGTCTTAAAATATAAAGTGAGCAGACTAAATAATCTGCCGGTTTTGTTTTATATTGAGTCAATAAATGATATTAGTTATAAGTCCTTAAAAATTTCTGAAAAAAATAAATAAGTTAATATACTTATCTAGTAACAAAAAGATAGATACGCTTCTGAACAAACCAAGTAATGCAAAGATATTAAAACACGGAAGATACGCTTCAATCATAAAATGCTCTAAAACCTTATTACACATTGGTTTGCGGAAATCTACGAGTGCGATAGAGTGCAGGGAGCAGGTTACCGGTCTATTGGCAACAATGCAGATGTGTACAAGATTCGTCGTCCGAGGTCTTGATCATAAGCTATCAGTGGTGTGCAGAGTGGCGACAGTATTTGAAGCAAATTAGATAAAAATTAATAAAACTTACATATCTGTCGACTTTTAATGAAAATTAAGCCAAAAAATGTGTTTTTCTTACCTTTCATGAGTCTTCATTGCAAACCGACTTGAAAATCCCTTTTGACAATATTGGCAAATATGAGGCCTTTGTTTAAGATGTCTCGATTTAATATGATTATTTAACTCGTAGTTGGTAAAAAATCTTTTTCCACAAGAATCGCATGTAAAAGTTCTCTCACCTAAAATAATCATTTTTATTTTGGTGCATCGCTGTGGCGCATCGACGTTGGAAACATGAGAAATCGCATGAAAATTTTTAACTGGCCAGATATTGGCTCCCCTGTTAATTTTACAGCGTAAATAGGTTTTTTAAAGTTCTGCGTATGCCGAATACACATGCTAAATTTGAACAATTTTGGACAAGCCGATTTTAAGTAATTTAATAAAAACTGCATCTATTTTTAATTTAAAACTGAACAGGTACAGTACATCTGCTGGATCTATGTCTATGAAAGGAATGCGGACAAAAAACATTTAAATAAACAGCAATATATTTTATACGTCGATATGACGAGTGCGTCACAGCAAATCGCTCCGCCCACTCATTTTATTGGCTACTTGCAAATTTGTTGAATTTTTATTGATGGGACGCGTCGTCTATTTTTTTACGAAAAACATCGATAGAATATCGTTTCCCCTCTCACGGATTCCCCGTAGTTACAGAACGGACGGACGCACAGTAACAAGTAACAATGCATAACCAGTCAAATGTAAACATACCTTAAGTTGTTAACCTTTGATTTTATCATTGTCAAATGAAATTTGTAGTGCTGTATACACTACTACGTCATAATAACTACCGAGTGTTCCCGAAATGCATTTTTGAAATTTAAAGCTGGTTCGAATGAGGCAAAATCTTAACGTTTAGAAAATATAATTTGACAAAATTATAGGATAACTTGATGTACAGTACAGTACGTCTGTCCGTTCTGTAGCTACGGGGTATCCGTGAGAGGGGAACCGATATTCTCTCCATGTTTTTCGTAAAAAATTAGACGACGCGTCCCATCAATAAAAATTCGACAAATTTGCAAGTAGCCAATAAAATAAGTGGGCGGAGCGATTTGCGGTTACAGACGAACTGTACGTCTGCTGGATCTGTGTCTATGAAAGGAATGCGGACAAAAAACATTTAAATAAACAACAATATATTTTATACGTCGACTTGACGAGTACGTCACCGCAAATCGCTCCGCCCACTCATTTTATTGGTCAAATGAAATTTGTAGTGCTGTATACACTACTACGTCATAATAACTACCGAGTGTTCCCGAAATGCATTTTTGTAATTTAAAGCTGGTTCGAATGAGGCAAAATCTTAACGTTTAGAAAATATAATTTGACAAAATTATAGGATAACTTGATGTACAGTACAGTACGTCTGTCCGTTCTGTAGCTACAGGGTATCCGTGAGAGGGAACCGATATTCTCTCCATGTTTTTCGTAAAAAATTAGACGACGCGTCCCATAAATAAAAATTCGACAAATTTGCAAGTAGCCAATAAAATAAGTGGGCGGAGCGATTTGCGGTTACAGACGAACTGTACGTCTGCTGGATTTGTGTCTATGAAAGGAATGCGGACAAAAAACATTTAAATATACAACAATATATTTTATACGTCGACTTGACGAGTACGTCACCGCAAATCGCTCCGCCCACTCATTTTATTGGCTACTTGCAAATTTGTCGAATTTTTATTGATGGGACGCGTCGTCTAATTTTTTACGAAAAACATGGAGAGAATATCGTTTCCCCTCTCACGGATACCCCGGAGCTACAGAACGGACAGACGTACTGTACATGATGTATGTTGGTATTTGCCTGGTCTTGTATTGTTACCTTGTTCAGTTTAAATTTAAAAATAGATGCAGTTTATATTAAATTACTTTCTTAGTTTTTATTTTTTTTATTAGTTCAAATTTAGCATGTGTATTCAGCATACGCAAACCTCTAAAAAAGCTATTTACGACTTAGCTGTAAAATTAATAGGGGAGCCAATATTTGGACAGTTCAAAATTTGCATGGGATATCCTGTTTCCAACGACGATGCACCACCAGGTATATATAAGATAAATAATACAATAAAATTTAAAAAAAAAAACAAGGGGAGTTTTAATTAGTGATGAGTAACTGCAAGACCAAAACTGGCTTGGTCTTTGTCTTGGTTTTGCTGCAAGACTTTTGCATTTTTCAGCTGTACGCACACTGGTGCGATCACATCTCCACGCGGCCGCAGTCAAGAGTTGCTGAATACTACATATGATCCGTTTCCCATTGTCGACTTGTCGAGTTTGATCGCGTGATCGCGACCCATCTGATAGGGATTTTCCGTTATTTTGTGTGTTTTTTCTTATTGCAATTTCGAAATGGAGTTAACCGAGCAGCTAATTAAGGCTGTAAAAATACACAAAATTCTATATGATTTATCTGATCCAAGTAACAATTATAATAGAATTAAAAATAAAAAGATTAAGACAAAATTGGAGTTACAATTGGATTGGATAGTACATATGTATACATTTTTATTGTTTAAGTTTAAATATTATAGCTAATTATTTAAGAATGTTTTTTTTTCGGTATACATAATTCACATTTTTAATTTGTACCACATACTAACCTAAACAGATGCGACAAACAATGCAAATGTGAAAATTACATTTTGGCGAATGCGCCAGGCAAATTTTCCGTTAGATTTGTCATATAGGCGAATTTTACAGCGGACCAGCAAAGTAACCTCCATTCGTTTACTAAGAAGCCACGCCTCCTTTGTGTAGAAAATAGAGAGGGAATTTTGTAGTTCGGAATCAAATAGAGATGATTTTAATTTCATTAGTTTTTTTTCAATTTTTGATACATTCACAATCTATACCTACTAATATATATAAAATTCTTAACCACTCAACGTAAGAAGCTCAATTTTGGCATACAGGTTGATTCTAGGGTGTAGCGGTTCGATAAGAAGACACTTTTCGAAATTCCAGTTCCAAGGGGGTGAAACCATCCCTCAAATATTACAATATTTTTTATTTAAAAAACGGTCAAGTTTCCGAAAAAACGCTTAAACACGTATATTTTATTTTGTTTTTTTACATAATTTAAGATTTTTTAAAAATGTATACAGAGTGATTCGAAAAATCTGGTCATTGATTAATCACGATCCTGCTTAAATCGCTTGACGTAAAAAGCTGATTTTTGGAAAACGGATTGACTTTAGGGTGTAGAGGTTCGATAAGAAGGGATTTTTCGAAACTCGAATTCTAAGGGGGTGAAACCACCCCTCAAATATTAGAATATTTTTTATTTAAAAAACCGATGAGTTTTCGGGAAAACTCTTAAAACGTATATTTTGTTTTGTTATTTTACATATTTTAAGATTTTTTAAAAATTTATACAGGGTGTTTCATAAGATATGACCAATGAGTAATCACGATTCTGCTTAAACTGCTTGACGTTTAAAGCTGATTTTTGGTAAACGGATTTACTGTGGGGTGCAGAGATTCGATAAGGAGGGGTTTCTCGATTCCAAGAGGGTGAAAATGCCCCTCAAATATTACAATATTTGATATTTAAAAAACGGTTAGTCTTTCGAGAAAACGCTTGGACACGCATAATTTATTTTGTTTTTTACATATTTTGATTTTTTTTTTAAATCATACAGGGTGTTCCAAAAAGTTGGGTAATTGATTAACTACGATTCTGCTTAAACTGCTTGACGTAAAAAAATTATTTTTGGCAAACAGATTTTTCGAAAGTCAAATTCCAACGAGATGAAACTACCTGTCAAATATTACCAAGTTATATAATAATATCGCCATATTGTTTTTTTCTGAGGCTCAGGACATAAATGTGAGAACATTTTATCCAGTTTGTATGTTAATGGAAATTCTTGCTTTGCTTTATCATCACCATTACAAATGATTAATTCGACGCAAACGAAGTCGCGGGTACACGCTAGTAATTAATAATATCTAAAAGATATTAATACATTTTAAAAAAGGTTTTTTACTATTAGGTATTTTTATGTATTTCTTATTTTATATTATAGAATTTCTAACTATATAATTATTAGAAAGTGACTCCGCTGCCGGCGCCGGTTCCCTTAATGGTTGCCGGCTCCGGTTCCATTGACGGCTGAAAGAACGGCGGAAAGTAACGCCTAGCTATAACCAATTTTGCAAGAGCAGATGTGGCTCCGTTACTGAGACTGAGGCCATCACTTCGTGAACGAGAGGTCCGTGGTTCAAATCTCACGCCAAACTAGAATTCTTTTAATTTTTTACTGCTGTTTTTATTTTTAAAAAAGCTGTAAATATTTAATAGCAATCAAAATACGGATTGCGTTGGTTTCACTCTTTTTGGTGAGGTTAGATTGATTATTTGGTGGAATTAGTTGCGTTGGTTAAGTTGGTTATTTGGTGTTGATTGCATTGGATAGGTTAGCTATTTGGTGGGGTTGGTTTGGTTTTTAATAATTTCAAAAGGTTTCTTAAGTAGCGCAATGACTATATGAGAGGCGACTATGAAAATTCATCCCCGAGGAGGGTAAAATTAGGGCTGAACAATTATAAAGCAAAACATAAAATAAAAACCTGTTCATTCAAAACATTACACAATAAAGGTTTCTCTAGGGATTCAATAAAAAAATCCGTCCCTTAAAATAAGGGAAAAAATGATTGTAAATATTCGTTAATATTTGGCATAGAAGTATGATATTTCGGTGTGGCATACTTACGAAGCGTTTTCTCGAAACTTATTTCCTAAAGGGGTAAAATTAAGGGCAACATTTTATGAAAATTCGTTACTACTATGTGGTTTAGAAGTACATAATATTTATGAATTAAAATTTGGCCAAATATGCTTAAGTATAATTGGGAAGCAATAGTATAGAGTAGAAGAAACGATTTTTGAAAATTCATCATCTCGGGGATGATAGGGGTGAAAGTTGGCATGAAAATTTATTACTACCTGGCATAGAAGTATAATATTTTTACAAAGTATATGTAGTTAATAAGTCGATTATTTGATCGAACTGTATGTGTATTTAAATTCACTTTTTTCGTATTAGAAAATCTAGGTATTTTCGGAAAAAACACCCACAGTTTTTGATATAATTTAGTCCTAGAAAATCTAAAAAATGTATCTTCTTCAGTTTATAGTGAAATGTTTTCTCATCCATTGAAAGCACACTTTTTTAAAAGCATTTTAAATAAAATCAAAACAAGAAACTTAAACTGAATAGCTGAATTAACTAAAACAATACTAAGAACACCGTGAACTAACTAAATGTAAACCAACAAAACCCAACAGAAAATTAAAATCGGAAACAGCTAATAATAATGATGTATGTAATATCCATGTGAAACAACTGAAGAAACTGACTTAAAAATCCTCTGAAAACCTTCAATATTCCCATCTTAGATTCCCATATCCTTTTTCTAGGACACTGTTGCCAATTCTACTTACCAATTTGTATAAACTATATCGGTATCACGGCACATGCAAACAATATGCCGTGTCTGTATCATAAAAGTACCTATTTGCTATATAAAAGATCAGCTGCTAAATTTTAAATCAATTTAAAATATCAAATAAAATTATAGTAGTGCATAAAACTATTAACAAGCAGGATATAAAAATAATTAAAGATAATTTAAGCTGGCTAATAGTAGATAGACTTTAGATTAATATTTGAAATTAACAGCTGGAAGTACAGCTAAATACAAACGGCAAGCTGACAACAAAGATCCTATTCTTTAAGAATTGTATATTTCTGATATTTTATATAATTTTTAATTTTAAAGAAATCGTCATTTTCTTTATACATATGTATTGATCTTAACCGATTGTTAAAATTTGTAAATTTCTCATACTTTACAAATAAATATTAGCTGATATTTCCTAACATCATGTAATAGTTATTTATTATCCAGGAGAAAGCGCTAATACAAGTACATATAACATTTAATTCTCACATAAAAAAAGTTCAAGCTGGCAATCTCGCTTTGACTTTATAATCGTGCGGCGGCTGCGACGGCCAGACGAGACGGCGCGGTGTATCAAAGGCAAGGTTAAAGGCGAGAAAGAACGAAAGAAATGGAAGCTTAGGGAAGGGGCGAGTGCGGGAAAGATTTGAAGTCACCACGGCTGTTTGTTTGGCCGAATATTTTGCCTTCATCGACGGTATCGCCGCCCTGTCGTCGCACTTCCGAACATAGGTCTTTTTGAACACAAAATTTCCCATAAGGTGTCGCATCTGTTTAAGTTAGTTTGTGTTTGTACCTATGAATACCTACAGGATAGCTCACTACATATTATAGGTATGGAGGTGATTGTGAACGCGTTGGTGTGTGCTAGAATGATTGCTCATGTTATCGCTGCCCTGATCGTGATCGCGGCCGTGATCGCACCAGTGTGCGTGTAGATTTCAATGGACTTTTAAGCGGAGAACACATATACGCGATCGCAACCAGGATCGCGATCAATTGCGTCCATCGCAAAGAAATAAGCCGCACATAGTTGTAGCGACCTGTTAGCGATAAGGTGGACATCTGCAGCGTTCAATCGCGTGGAACTCGGCGTTAGCGATCAAACGCAGCAGGTTGTATTTGACCGCAGATCATAAGTAGAAATATAGCCGATTTTACAGAAAAATTAATTGAACAGGTGAAAAAACATGTGTTGTATGATATGTCACATCCGGACAACAAAATGTGCGAATAAAAAATAAAGTTTTTTTTACCTTTGTCTGTTATTATTGCATTTTTCTTCGTCATCTAATAATATTGCAAGGAGCAGTGCCTCTCCTTCTAATAATCGATCCATTGAGACACTTTTTTACGCACTAATCACACCGCGATTCAAAATAAAATATCGCCTGTATATGTTCACATCAAGAACTTGAAGAAAGTGCAACAAGAATGATTCACTATAGTGCGTAAAAGTGAAAAGTAATAACTCTTAAACTCTTCGAAAACAGACACTAGCCTCATCGGTTTGACCGCCTGCTATTGGGACATTACATGATTACATGATTACTTCCTTCTGTGATCGCGATCGCGATCTCGTATATGTGTTCTCCACTTAACAGTAGTCTTGGCCTTGGCCTTGTTGCAAGACTTGCGAGTCTTGCACTTTTCAATGGACATTTACTAAAGCCAATTTCCATATAAAAAATCTTCAAATAAATTGTATTTTAAGTAATTTAATGCAAATGAAACTTTTTGAAGAAAGAAACAATATTTGTTTGATGAACATTTTTTACTTTTCAATCTACAACATATTCTGCAGATAAATACAAATAAAAAAATTCTTGTAAATGTATGTCCTAAAATGCTTTGTTTCGGAGATACAGGGTGTAGAAGTTTCACGTTAATTCCGGTTTTTGCCAAATAATTTCTGAACCAATGTCGATATTTGGATGAAAATGGATGTCTCATTTCTGTTGAACCTTTGGCACAAAAAAATATTACTTCAGTCAAAAATGATGACATGTAATTATTTATATTTCAAATATCTTGAGGATAGTTCTAGTTCCTCGTACCGACTTCACCAAAAGACCTTTTTTGGACACTTAACGAACATCAAGGGCTATTACTACCGCTTTCCCGTTCAAAATTTTCCCGCACTAAAAGAGGTTCTAAAAAGAACAATGTTCGACTGTGTGAAGCTTAAAGTATCACAATAAAATTAATTTAAAACAAAAACTCGTAATACAAAAGTGTCAAAACGTATGACAATGTTAGGAAATAAATAAATCAATGCGGCAACGTCACACTTTTTACAGCAGAGCTACCACCTGAGTCCCTAGCGGGAAATTTAAATTCCAGTTAGTCAGCCCCGCGCCGAATATGGCCATGGTTTGCAACAATGAATAAAAAATTGCACCCTCGATTATATAACTATAAGTTTAAGAGTTTAATTTTTCCACACTCTTTCATTACCACCCTGTATATTAGAAAATTAGTTAAGGTATATACATACGGATAATTACCTGTATGTTCCTTTTTAATGTGCATTTTATAACTGTATAATTTTTTAAATACTCTTCCGCACTCTTCGCAAGTGAGCCGTTTTTGAGAATGGGTGTAATACATATGACCCCTTAAGCTTTCATGATTCTTGGCAGTTATTCCACAGAGATGACATACTGCCGGTCCAGACTTATGTAGTTTTACATGCTTAGTTAAATTGTAACTAAAAATTAAATAATTTTGATATGCCTATTTCACCTATTATTATACCGATCTCTGGTCATCGAAACTCTCCTGGTCTGGATTTTAACGTGTATGACAGTAATGTCGACAGCTTAATAGATAATCAAATGTATTAAAAAGAGATAAAGTTCGGTTGATACATTTCTTCTGTGCGGTATTGCTGGATTGTGCATCAAAATTTCAAACCACACAAGTAGGCGCTTATGAAAAATATTTCATCTAAAGGTGCGTTCACACCGGCTGCGCCGCTCCGCGCCGCGCCACGCAAAACATTTTTTTAACATGTGCTTTTGAAGTGTATTTTTTTAGCGCGCACAAAAGTATATGCTAAAAAAACGACTTGCGCGGCGCGGCGCGGAGCGGCGGCGCTGGTGTGAAGGCACCTTAAGGTTGGAACTTTATTTTTTACAATTGGTTACTCATTTTACTACAGCTGTAATCTACATATATAAAATGCTAATGTTTATCTGTGTCGTCTCTACTGAAGTCACGACTTGCTCTACAAAGTTGCTTTTTTTACCAAAAGATAGCTAATTGGCTCTTCTATAAACTGTCGTCGCCGGATTTTTTGTTTCTCATTTAATTAAAATAAAATAAAAAGTATTTTTTTTCCTGATGTTGTGGCGGATGCGCCAGGCTTCAACTAGTAGATTATATTTAGCTTAGAATATTATCTTCATTTCATTAGTATACATGAAAGTTTTTAAAATAGTTTATCTTTTTCTACACATTTTCCTACAAACGTAAAAACCGGCAACATTGTTTGCCGCTTTTTATTTTGTCTCTCTGTCTGTCAACCAGGTAATTTATATTTATATCTGTCGCATGCATTAAAATAAAGACCAAGCAGATAAAGTGACCATGGCTTGTATAATACATTTACTACTAATATCGCTATGTTACATACATACAGATTATCTTTATTGTTTAGGAAACATTTTAATCTACTTTAAATTGTATACAGAGTGACCCTGGCTTCCAACAAGATTGCGAATTTTGGTAGACTAAATTTTGAAGCAGTCTTCAAAATTTATTCTACCAAATAGTTTATTTTGCAATTTTTTATACAATATTTCCTATTAAATTTTTTTTAAATCTTTCGAATTTAGAATTTTGAGAGGGCTTTAAGTAAGCAGTAAATTTAGTTTAAAAACAGAAACAAAATATGACCTTATATTTAAAAAAACACTAGGTATAGTATATGACATTATGGTACCGTATGATCGAATAAAAACGGCGTCAGCGATGGCTATGAAATGAAGATCTGTCATTTTAAATGTAAAATTATATGGGAACTGTCATCGATCGTCATTTCCAAGCCAACTGGACGCCGTTTTTTTCCGATCATACGGTAGTTTTGGAATAGAAATTTAATGACAAATGCACTGAGCTAAAAATATACAGTATATCGTTTAAAAAATATACAACTTTAGTTTGAAAATGTTTGAATCACCCCGTATGTTGACAAAAATATTTTCAAAATCTGCGTTACCAAATTGGACCATTTTACCTTTTAGATGTACCACAGACTACTTTACAACAAAGTTATAATCTGCATTAAAACATACTGATATTATGTATTATGTTTCGTTACAAGAAAAATAAGTATTCTTACATTGTTATTTTGGCTCCACATATAGGACAAGCTCTTCTCATATGACCTAAAACAAGTTTATCATTAAAAATTTAATTTTCACACGTGTTACGAATTTTTACAACCTTTAACGTGATTCCTGAAAGTACTTTTAGTATAGAAAACTTTATTACATTGATTGCAACTTAAATTTTCATTTAGTAGTTCATCATCAATATCATCAATTAATTTTTTATGGTTTTTTTTTATTCGGGGTTTTGGCGATCGCCGGATTGGGGCTGGATGAAGCGCCAACAGATGCATATCAAAAAAAGGCCTGTAACGGAAAGAAAGTTTGCATTTTCCACAATAATATGGTTTTTTCATTTCCTTCGGATGTTTTGTTTCTATGTGGTGCCAATATGCGGATATGCTTGGTAAAGGTAAAGAACAGTCAGTGCAATGCTGAGGTTCGTTGTAATGACTGCTTATATGATTATAAAATGTATCGTTGTTTTGAAAGGTCAAGCCACAAAGAGGACATACAGTTGAATTTTCAATAGTATCAACTTCATCAGCTTGAATAAAAATTACTTCAGGATATCTTCTAAGATCATCATCATCATCATCATTCACTTCATTTTTTATTGAAGGATTTTCCTGAACCTGAAATAAGCTGGTAAAACTCTCAATACTTTCAATATTGTCACTAGGTTCATGTTGTGGTGATGGAGGTTGGTGTAGTAATGATGCAGGTTCATGCAGTGGCGACACAGGTTCGATTTTTGGTGGACACTGCATGCCTAAGTCTTGGAATCTTTTATCTGCCTCAACAAAGGTTTGTTGAATGTGATAAGCGAGTTTTAAATCTAGCCAACACTTTGCACAGGAGTCGGTAGACGAAATTTCGCTGTTAATCTGTAATTAAAGTAAATATAGTAGAATTACCTATAAAAATGGAGAAAAATTAAATTTATAACAAGATACCTCGATTCCCGTAAGGGCAAAAAGCATTTCTTTCCCATTATGCTTCAGCAGAGAATGGTAAATGGCTGACCGAGATAAACATAAACGACAATATTGATGTTCTTCCATAGATTTAGCTTGGAATAAACGAATTTCCTTTTGTATACTTTTTCAACATTCCGTGTTAAGTTTTTGATTAAAATTTAAAATCATAACCTAACATAACGATGACACTGACAACCAACTGACAACTTGATTGACATTGACATCTGTTGACATTACCCAAGGTAGGAGACAAGGAAAGAGAGGGGACAGCTAACACGCATATTCTCCCGTGATCGGTTAGTGAGGCCAAAATTCGATCCGCGGCCATACTTTGGTGACAAGATTTCGAGGTGACACCGAGAGAATTTTTATGTTTTTTGTGACAACTGTTTTGTTTTAAATTTATAAACTGTATTGTTTAGTATGGTGAGATGTTCAGCGTATGGCTGCAAAGGCCGATGCGAGAAAAAAATGACTGGAATTACATTTCACAGGTAAAAATCGATACACAACTTTTGTTATGTGGTCATAAAATGTTGATTTTTTCATTATAGCAGTAAAAATATGTAAAATGCTTTTAATATGTTTTGTACCACATCCAAACCAAACTATTTTTAATTATTCCAAGTTTAAATATCCTTTATTATAATTAATGTTTGAAATAAACTTTTTTATATATTTTACATGTAAAAAAATGTATAAAGTATTGTTATCAAATATGTAAAATAATTGTAAACTATAAAAAAAAATTAAAAATTCTAGTGATAAAAAAGTTATATGTATAGTTGTTATATACAACTTAAATTTACCTGGCAAGATTTGCTGGGGGTGAACAAACTTGTGGTGGGCTACTTGTTACTACATATATTTTTTTAAATATTCTTTCAAAAAATTTGCTAATTTAGGTGTATAATAATAGTTTCAGTGAATAATTAATAAAAATTTAAAAATAAATAAAATAACACAAAGCTTCTAAAATTGTTTATTTTTTTGTGGAAAATTAGGATATTCTTATGATTGAAGGTAACAAATATTAAAAATTACATTATTCACTGAATCCGTACGCAAGTGTGAAGGGGAATGCTAGATCTTTGAGATCAAAGCCCCCTGTTCTCAGAACTGGGTGCAGTCGTGCCAGCGACACTTCAAAAGCAATCTCAATGAGATTTGTACAAAATTCAAACAGCTGTCAATTTTAAATTTAGTACAGCTCCCATTGGTCGTTTGAAGTGTCAATCAGTGTCGCTGTCGACACGACGCAGTTCTGAGAACGGGGCTTAAGGAAGGAGCATATCAAAAATCTTAGGTACACCGCGATGGGCCTCAAATATGGCCGACTTAAATTCCGGTTTATCAGTGTCGTTCTAATTTTATTTAAAAAATGTAAAACTATGATGTAGGGTAGACGTGGGGTAGACTCAATAATTTGTAGTTTATTTTACGTTGTGAATACATGTTGGTAGTTATTAAAATTGTTATAAAAATATAAAATTCTAATAAAAATAGATAAGTTATAATAATTATTTATAACCATAAACATCCGATACGGTACTGAAGCAGGTCAGTCAAATTGACGTATCTAAATTCTTTGACATCTAATCTTTGACAAGTAGTAAATAAAAGCAAAAATGCAAGAAAAAATATATACTAAGTTAATTTAAGTGAATTTCATAAATGATCGGTTTTACTACACGTATGTATATTATATAGTCACTTACTAGCGAAAAGTTGTTCCATTATTTCACTCGATTTTTGCCGAGATCTACCGCACGCTACACAACCACCTATTTTAGAGTCTTTTTCGATAAATCGCGATAGTGTCACTGTTAATTTAAGTTCTGCCACAATTTCCATCTAGATTTACTACCTTTATACAACTATCAGTAGTAGAATAAATAATAAATAACATAAAATAAGCTCCGTAAAGACTGACAAATCCACAAAATTTCAAATCAAATTCAATGTGTCAAAATGAATCGTCAAACAGAACTGTCATGATCCCCACCCCAGGGGGGGTGACAGTGAAATAGGAAAATTGGAAACAGTCATTAGTGTCATTCCTGTCATTCTCCTCACGACAAGTATGGCCGCCTAGACAAAGATAGCATTGTTTTTGTCTAACTATTGTCTAACTTCACAGTTTAGAATTGACAGATTTCAGTTTCAGAGACAACTTCAGATTTGTTCTAGAACAAATTCGAAAATTGTGTCGAAAATATTCGACGCCATTTTAATTCATTCCGTTTAGTTTCGTTTTGGAAGTTCAATTTAATATTTCGGCTGAAATTTATAATTATAAAGGTAATAAAGTATATAAAATATATATTACATGAAGAATCCTGGAGAAAATGACGTTTCTGCCGTAGTAGGTATGTCCCATGTATATGAAAAATAGGTAGTAAATAAACACTGTTTTTACATTTTTTAGATGCAAGAAAATGGTGTTATAATCTCTTTGATCGGCGATTTTTTTGAAAATGGAAACAATTTACAGCAAGGTAAGATCATTTTTAACTATAGCCAACATCATTTATCTCCAATATGTGCGATTTATTGTCAATAATGCAATAAATCGGACTGATAATCTGATTATGTTATCCGACTAAAAGTCTCTTTTTGCTTCTTTTTGATTTATAAGCCAGGTCTCTTTGGGAATAATGGACGCTTTTTTAAACAGTATATTTATATTTTATACCTATTGATATTTTTAGATTGTTAATTTTAGTATAAAAAAATTTGTTTTTCTGTTTTCAGGTTTTTGTATAAGGCTCCCGTTTTCATGTCCCTGTGTCCGTTTTCTGTCCTTGAAGTCTGCGAATACGTGTGTTTATTTACAAATTACTGTAAGTCATGCTTATACCTTAACTAATTTACGTTAAAAGTACATATAATTAACTAATTGGTATTGAAACAATACAATCCTCTATATTTTTATGTTTATTTAGTCACGTTGTTCCATACTTCAAATAAATATATGTGAATAAATTATTTTTTGGTTTTATTTATGAAAAGAAAAAATACAAAATACATTTGAACTGAAAGAGGGCCCGCCATTAAATAACCGGAAACGGAAGTGAAAATTAAGCCATCATGTCCTTATCATGTCAACCTGTCAATTGGAAAAATAGTTCTCCAGACGACAACGAAGGCTTTCGGTGGCGTATCGTGTTTCCACGATTTAACACAGAGTTGACACTTCTTTCTAGTTAATTATTTTTGCCCCACCCTAGAGAGCTTTTTATGGTGGCTTTTCCGCCCACCATGCATGAATACATGGATAGCATTATGCTTCTTTCCTTAGTCTTCTTATTCAGTGCTACTCATTATTATACCGTATAATGAATTAATAATTTCTATATATCAAATGACAGCGAGCTTTTATTTCATAGCTATCGCTGACGTCGTCTTTTTTCGATGTCGTTTAGTATAGTTTTTATGTCATTTTATATGTAGAATTATATGGGGAATGTCATCGATCGTAATTTACAAGCCAACTGGACGTCGTTTTTTTTTCGATTATACGGTATAATAATGAATCTAGCCAATTCCCTTCGCACTTGCTTACAGATTCAATGAATAATGTAATTTTTAATATTCATTTGTGAAATTGTCATTTCAAAACAAACAAGGCGCCGTTTTTTTCGATCATACAGTATATATGTATATACACGTTTAAAATATATGTTATTACATTAATTTTTATTTAATTATACATTATACACACGTTAATAAATAAATAATTGTCTTGATAATCAGTCCACTGTGACTGTTAAATAAATTTTGCATTATCGACTTAGATATTCTAATATTATAAAGGTGAGACTATAAAATATAAAATTGTATATGCATTACTCAAAAATGAACGATATATTAGTTTACGTTTTAATAAATACTTTGTACCGTCTAGGTACAAGCTATTTCTGATGCTACGCCTTACTTTCAGCTGCCCTGTTACCTGTCCCCTCTCTTTCCTTATCTAAGGTCTGGTCTGGTAGGGTAGTGTCAGAAGGTCTGTTCGTTTTCCTATTATTATCGATTCTGGAATCGTTCAAAAAAAGTGAGGTTAAAAAACACACGATATCGTACAAAAGTTAAACAAAATTTAACTTTATACGACGTCGGATGATTAGTTAAAATTATCGGATAAAAATTGTTGTCAAAATATTTCGACCAATAGGAGCACCGTCGGATCGTCGTGTCATCGGATTTCGGATGCATGAGACTCCGGCTTTAGTCCATAGCTAGTTTTCGCGTTTACCTGTTACCTGGTTAGGAAATTCATAACCTGGCTACTAGTAACCGCGTTTTCGCGGTGTTTTATATTTCTGGTAATGAAATTTGGCAACGTTGATACTTCTAACCTGGTTACGATTTTCGTGACCTAGCTCGAAAGCCGGTCACGTTCTCTGGTTACAAGCAGTATTGTCAGATTTTTGAAATTCTAGGCGCCAAATCAGTTCTAAAAAGCACCAAAAAGCACAAATCAGTACAATAAACAAATTTAACCTGTCCAAAACTTATCCAAATGTGTGTTCCCAAAAGAATTCCTGACTAGTCAGCGCGTTTCTTATTGGTTGAAATGCGTAGAAACCTGACTAACAATCAGGTTTCTACGCATTTTAACCAATGAGAATCGTGCTGACTAGTCAGGGATTCTTCTGGGAACAGACTTCAAGTGATAGTATTGGTTGATAACATGATAACTATGGTTAAAATATCTGCATCCATCTTTGGCATCCATTATTTTATGGTTAAGACATGGTTAAGACTGCTCGTATACTTAGTAGCTAGCGGTCTTTATTTTGTTGTAATCTGGTAAATGAGTCGGGCTATAGCCGGGTATATAACTCAGTTAAACAAATAAGCAAATTTTGACTTATAGATTATTTAATTACATAAAATTACAAAAAATAGCAACAATTTATTGTGACAAAATATTGTCGGGAAAAAAAGAACTTCATCGACAGGAAGGAGTATCTAGAATTTTAGAAAATTAAAAACGCTTAATCTAGAAAATTAAAAACGCCCACTTTGCACTTTGGGCTTTTTATTTTTTTTTCTGGCGCAAATAAAGTCTGAAAAGCGCCCAATCTGGCCACACTGCCATAAGCCAAACTGGTGGCAACAGAAGGCGTTTTGGTGTTAGGTATCGGTTATCCTAACCATATTTCAAATCAGTAACCAGTTCGTTACCACAGATGTGAACACATTCCGTAACCTGGTAAACGCGAAAACTCGTTTCATATCTCTGGGTAGTGTTCGCATGGTGTTCGCTACCTAAAAAAAAGGTAAAATACAGTAGGGTTAACTGGTCTGTGGGTTAAATTTAACTATGGAGTGTAGACACTCCATAACTTTCACTAAACAACCACAGTGGCGTTAACAAGCAATAAAGGAGCGAACTGAACTTAGAAAGGTAAAATCGCACATATTTATTTCTCTTTCTTTTAATTATTTTTTGTTCAAAAATTTTTTGGCGTTTCTTACAAATTTACAAATATTACAAATGTAGAAATTTTGCTACAGCAGCGCCATCTTAAGTATTCCGTCTTTTATGACCACTTTTGAATACACCTTCACATTTGCACAAGGATATACAATGTATAAACAAGGATAGAAGCATTTGCCAAAGCCTTTGCCCCCTTGCCTTTGCCCTCCATCTTCCCAAGGCCATCTTCCCTCCATACATGCTCCATACTACCCGTGATACTATCAGAGAAGAACAAACGTTGGTTCTTCTCTGACAATACTGCATATTGCATAATATGATTAATATTCTTTGGTAGGACTTGCGCAGAAGTGCTGAAAGTGCTGTTGGTGCTGTGCTAACTTGCAGGGATGGGTATAATTATATTTTTTACGATTTGCTGTACTTAATGTAAAAAACATAAAAATGTAAAAAACATAAAAATGTAAAAAAAAGATATTTAAAAACATGGTAACCGTAAAAAAAAATTAGCCTGTTCTAATTTTTTTACAAGCTACAACAAGTAAAAAAAATAGAAATTACGGAGAGCTTTAAGCCCTCCGTAAACACGCATATAAGCGTATTTACGGAAGGCGTAAGCCAACTTCAACTCAATAAATTAAAACAATTTTATAATACAACTCAATATGCAGGGTGACGAAAAAAAAACTTGGTTGGATGATTCTACAGATAAAAAACAAACTAAAAGTTTCTATTATGAAGAGATAAGAGAGATTTCTATATATAAGAGAGAAATGTGAAGAAGTTATAAATAAATTAATCTCATGATTTTGCTAATACCCTTAAAAATATATATACAAGGCTAATACTCTTGACGCTTGTATATCTAAGAATAGGTATATTAACAAGGCTATTACTAAAATCTACGCTTCGTAATCTTTAAATGCAAATTTCGAACGCATCGTTTCGAATTTCGAACTAAACGAAGAATACCTTTATTTTTAAAAAGTCCTAGCTTTTTATACCATTTGTTTAAATTACTGTATCTACAAGGATAAAATAAGTACCACCAGTAGTACACTCTACCCTTATGGAAAGTATCCTTTTAAGGTCTGTTTCGGAATTTTACACTATCGCTTTTACACTATCGTTGTTTGCTTTGGCATTAAAATGTGCATTAGTGTACCAAATTTCAAGAAAACGGTTTTCCAATGTTCTTAAAAATAATCAAAATATATTATTTTTATTTACCCTTTCGAGGGCTGTAACTTCTTCTTGAAGCAGTTTAGGGGCACATGTTCATAGAAACTTTTCATTTTATTTTTATCTGTAGAATTACCCATCGAAGTTAGATATTATTATACTATTTTTTGACACACTGTATATTAACAAATTAATTATGAGGCAACCAAATATACTCTAATTGACGTTGAAAAAATTGAAAAGAACCGTTAAAAACTTGTTAAAACAATAAAAATGAAAATCATTTGAAAATGTCATCTTTGTGAAGCGAGAGTTGTCTTTGAGAAGAGAAGTTTAAAAATATGGTTTATTGCACACACGAGTGCGATTTAGCCATTGACGACAGTGGATTCTCCAAATTACCTCCTAATGCAAAGTGCAGAGTAAGATTTGTAAGGGCACTGAGAAAATTAGTTTTGCCGGATCCGAAAGCTGCAATTTCTAAGAGGTTTTTTGAGTGACATTTAACGAAAATTTTAAATTTCCACTTGATGTTATAGGAGTTATCGAAACCACTCGCAAATCTGCGCGGAGAGACGAAGGCACGCTCGCAGTAAATTCTTTTATATAATTCATCCGTACAGTAACATGGAAAAGTTGCGTCAATTTATCTTCATAATTATTGGTACTCATGGAACAATAACCACCCCACTTTGTATCGCGTTTCAGAAGCACTGGGACAAGAGCACTTTGAATTTTTACAGCAGCTATGTGGCTATTTCCAGACCGTTATTTTTCGCATTAGAATTTTTTTGGCTGGTAACGAACTTTTTTACCGGATATACCGAAAAAACACCGAAAAATGTCCAAGTTAATCAATGGAAAATAATTAAAAGGTAGATCAAACAGGTGCCCTATACTATAAAATATCATTATCGGTGCTACTTCTTTATGAATTTTATAGGTATTTCAGGATAACAATTGGGGGTTGGAACCTTTATTAGTACTTCTTCTTACAGTGCCATACTCTTTATAGAGCGTTGGCTACCTCTCGCATGTACTTGTGATGTGTGTCATCGGTGTTTCACAAGTACATGGGACCTACAGTTTATTGCCGAATCCGAACGGCACTATTTGAGAGGCTGTACAAGGCAAATATACTCAAGGTGGTTTGCCATTGCCTTCCTTGAGGTGGCGGCTCGTTGGTCGCTCTATTTAGATAAATAAATATTTTTACAAAAGATGTTATCGTGGAGACTATAATAAAAAGGAGAAAGAATTTATTGGGCAAGTCTACAGTAAGATTAGTCATGAGACATGACTAAAACATGACTACCCGTAGACACTCAGTGTTTCTGCCTTCCGGCTTCGTCAATACGGGAGGAATCAGCAACGATCGATGAACTAGCGATCCTGAAAAAAAGAAGGGAAGCAAACGAGGCACAAGGCGCCATTTGCAGCCTGGTTAGGCAGTAGCTTACAATTTGAAGCGTTACTACCGAAAAACCGCTGCTGATGCGTTCCAACACACCTCGCCGCTATCACCTTGGCCCAGAGAAAACAATAAACAAAAGACCAGGCTTCAAATGGCGCCTTGTGCCTCGTTTGCTTCCCTTCCTTTTTTCAGGATCGCTAGTTCATCGTTTTAGTCTTGTCTCATGACTAATCTTACTGTAGCCTTGCCCAATAAATTCTTTCTTCTTTTTAAATATTTTTATTTAAATAAATAAAGCGACCGTACTGGCTGGGGATCGAACCCAGTACCTTCCGCTCCGCAGATCTCGACACCTTTAGTACTACAACAGCCAAATAAAACACCAATTTGCCACAATACTCCCAAACAATTTACTTTTAACTTTTTAACACAGGACGCGCTTTTCGCCAACCATGGAAGCTTCATCATTAGATGATTAAAACTATCTTAGAAACGCTTATGTTGTTCGTGTTGAGATATTACTTGTCATTTTTGAAACAAACCAATAAAATTCCATAAAATCAACGATAGACGATGCAAGACGGATGTATACTGGGTCGCTGATATGTATGGGAACGGTCGATTATTAGTTAAAATATACATGGTACCGCAAAAAGTTAAATACAAAAGTTATAGGGTTTTTAAATTTCTATTAGTTATTATATAGTAAATTAAGTTGTGGCACATCAAAATTACTTTTTTTGAATGCAGCCCTCTGAATAATATTGCATATTTCAATTCTCCCTTCAATTTTATGCAATAATCGTAATACACATATATATTGTACCTAAATTCAACCATTTCCGAATTATTATGAAGTGTTGATTTTGAAATGTTAAACGGAAATTTTGTAACTTTCAGACTTGATTGAATCTCATTTTATACATCTATAAATGCTAACGTGAACACTAATGTCAAATATTATTAAGTATCACAGTTTCCGCAGAATGGCATCGTTAAATAAACCCGAACACGTCGAAATTAATTACATCGATTTGTTTAAGTGATATTTTCAAAAGTTAATAACTCGGAAACGGTTGGTTTGAGGTACATTTTGTGTATTTCGATTTTTGCTTAGAATTGAAGGATTGAAGGAAGAACTGAAATATGGCAACAATATACAGGGAGTTCCATTAAAAAAATGAAACTTTGAGGTGCCACGTCTTCATGAGGGACTTTGATTGCTAACATTTATTATTTACTAATAGATATTTAAAAACCCTTTATTATTTAAAAACTTTTATATTTAACTTTTTGCGGTACCTCGTATATTTTCGGTAATAATTGACCGTTACCATATACAGGGTGTCCCACAATTAGTGCGACAAACTGAAAGGGGTTGTAGAGGGCATCAAAACAGTTGCATTATTTAATTATTAAAATAATTAATCATTATTAAAATTTGTACAGCCTAAAAGTCAAATTTAGTGATTGTCACAGCCACTGTACCATAAAGAGAAGACATGTGGCTATCTATGTCAAAAATTAAATTGTCCCAATGTCATATAATAATGGCCGCAGCTGTCATGGAATTGAGCGATTAAAAAATTATCATAAATCATTTTTTTTTCAAATGGAAATCCACTTTTTTATTTCACTCGTGAAAAGGCTTTCGTTACTTTCGTTTTTAAAATTTGTTACTTTTTGGCATGTTCCTGTATTACATAAAATAAATCGCTTTTAAGTTATTTAAGATTTAGCTTTAAAGCGTATATTTTTCTTGATTTTAACCAGTAGCCTGTGACAGTGTATTATCGAGCATTATTTCCAAGCTAACTTTGGCGCAATTTTGTTTCGATCGTACGGTATATTATTAAAATATCAACTATTATTAGATATCACTAAAGAACGAAAATACGGAGATATATTTATATAAATACACTGTTACAATATAGGAAATTCAAATAATTCATTTTCTGACAGATGGAAATAAATTGTCTGACTGTTTGACAGTTAATGTCAAAGGAAGCTAGATAAATCAAGAAAAATATACGTTTTCAAACTAAATCTTAAATAACTTAAAAACGATTTATTTTAGGTAGGTATGTCTAGTTAAAATGTAACGAATTGGAAAACCTTTTCACTAGTGAAATAAAAGTGAGTTTCCATTTGAAAAAAAAAAAATTATGATTATAATTTTTTAATCGCCCAATTCGATGACAGTTACCACCATTATTATATGACATTTGAACAATTTAATTTTTGAAATAGATAGCCACAGGTCTTTTCTTTATGTGCCAGGGGCTGTGATAATCACTAAATTTGACTTTTAGGTTGTACAAATTTTTAAGGTAGTTTTTTTCGTCCAAAAATTTTAAATATTTTTTTCTTAAAAATGCTTCCAGGGAAATACCGAGACAAAATATCGCAATTTTGTAAGTCCTCCAAGATCCGAGGGTCCCTTCGCTGTCTCAGACCCGTGGCCTCCGTTATACTAAAGACTTCACTGCTCATCATCAGTAATGTGGTTAGAATGCAAGTTATGCTGTGCATTGGTTGTAATTTAAAATGTTTATTCAGTAAAAATAAATAATTAAACCGTTGAAAAATAACTTAAAAGCTAAAATAAATAAATTCAGTCTGAAAATATATAAAAAATAATAATTATTCGATATTTTAAACAAAGAAAATTACCCCTTGATTTAATTTCCTAAATAGAAAATGCCATTGACAATTACTGGAGCCTGATAATTGATAATTAAGTAAATATCTGCTTCCATTTATACTGTTTATAGTTGGCATAGATTTAGTAAGTACAGATATCACATTAGATATTTTAACCCGATCAAACAATCGGAGGTTGACTACGTACTGTAAAAACCAACTGAGATAGAGAAGGCGACGTTGCCACATCTCAAATTTGCGCCTATCTACTCAGTTTGATTTGCAGAAAAGGTGACTTTAAAACCTTTACCGGATATCAATAAATCTCAGTTTCTTAATTAAATTAATAGTTTATTTTTAAAGAAGCATGCATAATAATATGTTATTAACCAGAGGATATATGCGTTACAATTAAAGGACATGTTTACTGTTTAATGTGCTGAAACGTCTAGAACTATTGGCAACGGCGCTGCTAGTCTTCCAGAATGAAATGAGCCGTCCGTCCCACCACCCCTCGCGACGGCTAATGGTCCGTTATAGCGTACTACGTTTAGCTGGCGGTGTGTTTGAAGTCGGAATTAAGACGAAAGTGAACTTTTCAGTGTTTTTCGGTGGTTTTTGTTTTCGTTTAACCACAGAATATCTAGCTACGCAACAGAAGCCTCGTTACATGTATAAAATTGTAGGTAGCAAAAGGAGACAGGCTTTAAAAGTCTGTCTCCAAATCAGATATTTTGATGTGGTAGTTTCGCTACTACATAATAGAGGGCAATAAATTTAAAAGAAAACAGTTTTCTACGAACAAAATTTAAAAGAATTTTGTGCAGTGTTGCCATTGTGTAATTCATATCGTAATACTTCCTGATAAAGCCTACCTTCAAATTTGCTACATCATTTAAACATATTCAGAGCTGTTTTTTCAGTTTGCCATGTTAGTTGGAATTAAAACTTATGAGCTAAATTACAATCACTTCCTGACGTTTAATTGTATAATTGAATCCTGAATTTTCATTGTAATTCGGCGACAATATAATAAGTATTGTTCTACTATTATACCACTTCCTGACGTTCGATTGTGTTCATACCAAGTTCATATTGTATAATCGGGAAAAAACGGCGTTAGCGATAGCTATGAAATGAATATCACTGTCATTTTATATGGGAAATGTCATCGATCGTCCTTTTCCAGCCAACTGGACGCCGTTTTTTCAGAAGCATATCAAGTGATACCATAATATAGTACTATACTACGATACATGGCGTTCGATTGGCTTAAACTTGGTATACTATATCTTCAGTGACATTGTAATATCGTGGTATCATGGAGCATATAAAGTGGTACCTTCTATAGTACCATATTTGATGACATAGCAATATTAGGTACATGGCGGCAATAGGGCTTAAACTTGGTATACTACGGATCTTCGGTGACATTGCAATATTATGGTACCTTAAAGTATATCGAGTGGTGCCATAATATAGTACACTATTATGATATCATTTCCTGGAGTTCGATTGGGCCCAAATTTGGTATACTTGCGTTTCCTTATAAAGATTTGTTTAATTAATAATTTTAATTTATTTTACGAATTTTAATTTATTGTTCGATGTCGTGACAGCAACTTTTATGCCGAACTAATATATTATTAATTGTACCTGTTTCACTTTTTAAAATCTACCTAGGTCTATATAAATAACGTGGCAAACGGAAGAAAATTGTTATTATAGTATTTTTAGTCAGTTAACATTTTTTGTACTGCATTTTAATAAATTATTTCCATTATTATTAAACTTATATTTCATTACTAACGCTCCAGCATTAATAAATATCACTATCAATCGCCCTGTATATTATTAATTTTAAAGGTAATTAAAGGTATTTTCTTATTAACATTATAAGGTAGTGTATATTAAAATGTATATGTTTTGTAATAATATACTTAAACCTATTTTAATAGCCAAAGGAATAATTAATATAAGTGTATCTGACAAGAAAAGAAGAATAGAAAGAAACACATACTGCATTATACAAAATAAAAGAATGGGATGCCGATTCAAGTCTTTTTTGAATCTGGCAACTGTGCATATTCAGCCGAGCTATAAGGCCGTCGACGAGCCGTCGATCCAAAACCGAAAGTTCAAAATTTCTAATTATATTCTGATTATGATATTGTCGCGCCATCTAGTATTCTATTTGTGCAATTTTAGCTCTTTCATTTCGAGTATTTTTCTGTTGCGTAGCTAGATATTCTGTGGTTTAACGTACCTTTGAATCTGCGAATTCAGTATGGTACAACAGTGTCAAGTGTGTGGATAAATAAGCTCAAATTACCCGAATTTGTCTTTTCACAGGTGGGTATTGTTTTGACATTTTATATTTCCGTCGTAATTGTACATAGGCGTCCCGCAAGGAAGCCCCTCACAATCAAAATAATTTCTAATTATTTTTGTAATCAATCTATTAAAACAAGAACAACTATTACACAGTACTTCACAGGAAGCTATCGATTGCGAACTAACTAAATCGTTACTAATTACTAATTTTGAAGTTCTTTTTAAGATCAAAAAAGGTAAAACTAAAACCTAAACTATCATTTCAGATTAAATGGGAAGTTCTAAATAATGTTGCCTATTCTAAACAAGAAAAAATTATTTATAAGTTTTATAACATCTCTAATTAAATTTGGACGAAAAGAATATTTCTGTTTGCTGTAGGTAATTTTCTCAGAGAAAATACGAAAATAAAAATGACGATGATTTTAAGTCAAAAAAAGTCAAAAAGACAAGTTGTTCAAAAAAAGGACTGTCCTTTTCAAAAAAAGGACAGGTGGCAACCCTAGGTATTTCTGGAATGGAAATTTAACGGCAAATCTAGAACTTTAGTTTGAAAATATGTTCCGACCACCTATGTTTACAAAAATGTCTAAAATGTTCTTTACCATTGCTTCCATATTCTGAAAAAAAACTGAAAGAAAAGTCACCAACCACAAACCTAATATAGAACTGTTTCGGAAGCCTGAGTCACCCTGTAAATATTCAAAAGTAACTGAAAGTTTATATAGAAGTAACTGAAAGTTTAAATTGAAAATCGACATTAAAGCGATTTTCGAAAACCACCTACTAACGTTTCAACACAGGTATATGTGGGATATTAATTATATTATTATATTAGACCTTATAACAAAACTCATCTGACGAAAAAGTGTTGATGTAGTAATTAATATGGAGTAAAAATTTTACTAATTAATTTACTTTTACACTAATTATATTCGTTTCAAAAAACGATACGCCACTGACCATTAGAACAATCCAAATGTGCCTAGTTGCCGAGGTCGGAAATTTTAGACTTCTCTGTTTCTTCTGTCCTTGTTTGACACATTGGAATGTTTGATACACTACCAACGAGTATTTATGAATGAGATGTTCGGTCTATCTTTATAATGTCTTTGATAGTTGGCGTATACGTATGGTTTGCATACTCCACCTACAAACTGCTTTATAACTACTGAACACATATTGGTCTTGTTTGCCAGTTGAATAAAAAATTAATTATTAAGATTCGGAGGTCCCCTAAAAGACGGGACCCGGGGCGGGCCGCTCCTTCCGCCCCCCCTTAGTCCGTCACTGTTTCGAGGTAAAAGGCAAATGTTATAAAAGATTCTTGTTAGATTTTACGGTAAGTCACACTTTATAGTGTGTACACTGTATAGTGTGTCCCGTTTTCGCAGTTCTTGCTGGATCGTTATTGTTGCTATTTTTTTCGTGAATTTGACGATTTCGTAATGGAAATTGTGGTAGTATGCTAAAAAAGACATAAAAATCAAAAACCGTTGCACGTCATCGAGCGTAGATACGTTTTAGGCAGCATTGTTGCCAGTATGTAATAGAGAGGGAAATATTTTTGAAAAATGTACAACATCTAAGATCCATTAAAAATTCTAAAATAAACTTTAAATTGTTAACAATTTGTCGAAATGGGGGTCGAAATATACTACCCCTAAAAATATTTGCATTTATTTAAGACTCACCCTGTATATTATACATCTTGCATCGTCCGTTGTTGATTGTATGCTGAGTATACTACAACCAGAGTTGTTCTTCCCTGCTACAACCTCGAATGGGCCAAATCAGTCCAACTTTTACCAGCGTATAAGTTGAACCGTTTCGTCCAATGTGTAGGGTCTGCTATTCTCTTTTTAATTTCCGTTTTTATAGGTACTTAAAAACTTATTTTATTATCGATCTCCTTTATACGATATGGATTCCATCGATCTTGGGAATACTACCAGAGTGGTTTCAATATTTGAAGTTGGCTATCTTACTAAGATTATTTACTGTAGGCAAATGTTATAAAAGATTCTTGTTAGATTTTGGGGTAAGTCACACTTTATAGTGTGTACACTGTATAGTGTGTCCCGTTTTTGCAGTTCTTGCTGGATCGTTATTGTTGCTACTTTTTCGCTGGACGATTTCGTAGAGGAAATTGTCGTAGCATATGTTTATCACAGAGCTGCAAGCTCATAAGTCTTTTTTTTATTTAAATCATTTTAATAGCTTCAGTCATTTGATTTAAAGTCATTTTTCGAAAACTGACTTAAGACTTAAAATTTAAGTCTTTTTGAAAATGATTTGTGATTTAAATCTTTATCCAAATTAGAAAAAGATTTAAGTGTTTTTAGAAAAGACTTATTAAAAAGATTTAACTCTCAACTTAACGCTATTTAAGTCATGAAAACGACATAAATAACGTTATATTGATTTAAGTCTTTACAAAAATGACTTGACTTGAAATAAAATGACTTAAGTCAAAGACCTAAGACTAAAATCATTTGACCTTTATGTTGAATTTGACTTAAGACTTAAATTATTTTGATTTTATAAACGGAAAACGTGAAAATGGGACAAACTGTACAGCGTATTTTATTTATAATGAACTACTGCACTGTAATAATTCGCATTTACTGCATTTGTAGTTATCGGCTCATCTAAATCAGATAATATGGCTGATACTGGTCAGTCTGTCGATGCTGCATTTATTGACCTGTTTTTTCTTTATGTTTCCCTTTTTCTATTACGACAAACTGGGAATAATTAGGGAAAACACGTGGATTTACAAAGGAAACTTGGCTTTCAAAGCGAATTTAACGCTAACTTACTTTTCCTGCTTTGTTTTGGTCAACGTCCACATGTGGGGTTTGGGTAAGAAACCATTATATTTGTTTACGTAGCACAATACTCACACACATTTGGTTTTTCGAGTCAAATTATTGTGGTTACATTTATGGCCATGGCACTCTGAATTAAAATTTAAAATGACATATGCTATGTGCTATGTCATTTTTCTATCAAATGAAGTAAAACAATACCTAGGGTGTCATTTAAAAATCAACAGTTGTTTTTATTTCTAGTCAGTTTTTATTCTTAGTCAGATACTAACACATACATACCAAATTTCGTTTTTTCTTTTTTTTCTCGAAGGGGTGAGCTACTTTTGAGACGCACCCTGTTTAGTTTTACTTGAGACGCTTTGACTCAACAATGTTTTGTGTAGAGGGGACTTCTTCTTCTTATAGTACCATCTTCTAATGAAGGTTGGCAACAATCGCGGCAAAACACTGTCTGTTCTGTGCAGCTCGAAACAGTTCGTGTGAGTTCAGTCCAGTCCAGTCTTGTAAGTTTCTCAACCAATTGCGAGTTGAGTACTTGCGTCTCCCAAGTCCTCTTCTGCCTTCTTTCTACCTTTCCTTCTATAATCAACTTCAGAAGCTTTGCTCTGCTATTGTGTATGACATGGCCCACGTATGCTGTATTTCGTTTTTTTATATTTGCAAGTAATTCTCTTTCCTTGTTAAGCCTCCCAAGAACCTCTTCATTGCGTACATGATCTGTCCAGGGTATTTTCTAGAGTCTTCTGTAGATCCACATTTCAAAAGCTTCCAACCGTCTCATGGTGTTCATTTTAATCGTCCATGTCTCACAGCCGTATAAGAGGATTGAGTATACATATCAATGGATAAAACGCAGACGTATGTTGATGTTGAGTGATCGGTTACATAATAGGTTTCTCATTTTGTTAAACATTGATCTAGTCTGTTCTATACGCGATGTAACTTCTAACTCGGGGTCAAGGTCCGATGTTAGCCAGGATCCCAGGTATTTGAACTTATTTACCGTATCTATGCATTGTCCGTATACTCGTATGTTGGGTGGTGGAATATTTCTCCTACTAACGATCATTATCTTAGTTTTTGCCGTGATTATTTTAAGGTCCAATGGATCTCCTTTCCGAACTATGTCGTCTAGAAGTTCTTGAGGAGCCTCAGGTTGTCAGCGATAATGTCGTCTGCATACCTAAGGTTGTTAATTGGGACGCCATTTATTTTTATGCCAATCTCTTTATCTTGTAGGGCCTTATCGAATATATATCCCGAGTATATATTAAACAGTAAAGGAGACAGTACACATCCCTGACGAACTCCACGTTGTACTGGTATTTCGTCTGTTTCGTCTTGCCCTAACCTTATGTATGCTGTCTGATTCCAATATAGTGTTTTAAGAATTGGACATCGTTCTTGTCTAGACCTTTTTCTTGCAAGATGTTAAACAGCACTGTGTGTTCTATTTTATCAAAGGCCTTTACGTAGTCGATGAAACAAAAAATGTATACGTCTTTTTGTTGGTCTCTACATTTCTGTAAGAGAACAGACAGGCCAAACATAGCTTCCCTGGTCCCCATTCCTTCTCGAAAGCCAAATTGGCCATCATCTAAATCAATTTCGCAACTTTTTGTTCCCGAATCAATTTCGCAACGAAGTGTTCGCAACTTTTTGCGGTGGTATTTTTTGGGATAGGGACAAAAATTGACTTCAACAGTTTAGTTAGCATAGGGATGTTTTCTTCATTTATCAATTTGAGCATCTTGAGAGGGGGCTTAATAGAACAAATACTTGTAGCCAAACCCATCACATGAATTAATCTGTGTACGCCTCTGTATGAAATATTTAAAAAATAATCTATAAAACATGCATTTTAGGAGAACACTTCGTACGCCCGGAAAATCCTTTGGACATGTTTATTTTAACGGTGATCATGATAATAGGAAGACTTTGGAGTCTTTTTGTGATGGCCAACCTGTTGCAAATACAAACGACCAGTTCCCTGTCGGAAAGCAAGTACGAAGAATATTTAACTCAACTGAAGACATTTATAGATCAAAAGAATATTTCGTCGGAGTTTAAAAGTAGATTATTGATGTAAGTTTCAAAACGTTTTATTCATCAAAATATTTAGAAAACTGAATAATAGTTCCTTACCTCGTCTGGTACTAGGGTTTCCAGGAACTGTCTTTAAGGAACCGCGATTTGCCGGTTTTCTCGGTACTTTGTTCGTTAATCAGTACGCAAGGCATGAGTTTAAATGTAAAATCGATAAAAAATTGATTTTTTTCAAACATTTTGTCACAAAAGTATTAATTTTTGCGACATGATATAAAGAAGTAATTTTAACGCCTAGGCATAAAAGTAAAGCACTTTTACGCCTAAGCTTAAAGCTTCATTCAGAACCTCGCAATTGGTGGTTTCAATTAGCGTAGAAGTTTATTCACCTAATTTTAATGTAAATTTTCATTCAGAACCTTGCAATTAGTGGGATAAATTGGTGGTTTCAATTAGCGTAGAAGTTTGTTCATTTCATTTCAATGTAAGCATTCAGAACGTCAAAATTAGTGGTAGACCTTTTCAATTAGTAGAAAAAGTTAAGCTTCATTCAGAACCTCCCAATTAGTGGAGTAAATTAGTGGTTGCAATATTACACTATATACTTTTTAGTTTACGATCATTCACAATGTCTAGAAAACACAATTAAAATTAATAAAATATCTTAAAGTAAACGCCACGAATGTTTGGGAGTGATTCATCGCTTGATGAAGTTAGAATCGACACGCGCGCTATCATTTTTACATTAAAAACGTAAATTTTTACCGCAGACGTAGGTTTTTAAAGGCCCGGTCTAATCATCTGCCTGCGCTTCTCCTACTTATTCTAAAATGTTAGTGTGATTGACAAAGACGATACTATATCGCGTTTCTTTGATTGATTCGTTTTTGTGCGTCAGTTCATTGGTGTGCTTGCAGTGCGACCAAAGGGGCATTCCATTTTATATTTATAATCAAATATATGTTTTGACAAGACTTTGACAATTAAAACAACAAATTACAACAGATTATGTATTGATTATTATATGACCTGAAACACCACGGCACTGGAATTAAGTTTTATGTGACCTTGAACAGATTAGTTCACATGGTAGCGACCGATGAATCACTCCCAAACATTCGTTTCGTTTACTATATCAACAGCTTGCGGCAGTCTGTTGTTGTTGTATCCATAGAGAAAGTATAATATTTAGCTTATAAAACAATAAACTTTTGATTTCTAATCAAAATTTTCTTGACGGGTGATAATCAAAGGCCAAAATGACATTTCTCGCAAATTTTGAAGTATAATTAGTGGAAAAGTCAAAAGTTTGTTAACTTTTTTCACTAATTGAAAATTACTACCACTAATTATGACGTTCTGAATGTTTACATTAAAATTAGGTGAACAAACTTCTACGGTTAATTGAAACTACTAATTATTTATTCCACTGATTTCGAGGTTCTGAATAAAGCTTTATCAAACTTTTAACTTTTCCACTAATTATACTTCAAAATTTGCGAGAAATGTCATTTTAGTCTTTGATTATCTTCCTACGAAGTAAAGGATTAAGATCAGAATGGTTAAAAATAAAGCCTAAATTATCTTTTGAGATTAAGCGGTTAACTTAAAAAATAACTTGATAATTATTTTCAGATATTACCAATACAAATACCAGTATCATTATTTTAATGAGAAAGCAATATTCTTTTCGTTATCTCAATACCTACGTCAAGAATTGCAAATGTTTCTGGCTCGAGGCTTGATATCGAAAGTGTATATTTTTCGATATTTGCCAAAAGCTACCGTGGCTGCCATTATAGCTAAAAGCAAGAAAATGGTCTACACTACTAATAATATTATTTCTACGGTAAGTAATAAGTAACGCAAGTAAACAGTTTAAAATGTAATTTTTAATATGAAAATATTTCATATATAGGGTGAGTCTTAAATAAGTGCAAATATTTTTACGGTAAAAATTATGGGGATGAGCCACTTTTGGGACGGACCCGGTATAATAAAGACAGTACCGAGTTAAATAAATGTAGTTTTCATTTTATCCACTTCCTATCACCTTCCTTGCTTTAATGGAACAGATTTATGTTTTCTCTAATTTACATAAGATATCACTTAACCAGAAAAAAAATTACAACAATCATATTTTTTTTCCTCTCCCTGTCGCCGATACTATTATATCTGTGGAATAGATCCTGTTTTGATTAATATTAGGGGTTGTAAATGTTTGACTAAAATTAATAACTTATTATTAATTTCAAAAATTACGTAATTTCGATTATAAAATTTCTTCTATAACGTGTTTTTCTGACCGTTTTTGAAATATTTTCAATTTTGTGAAATTGCAGTCATAATTTTAAGGCTTCATTTCTCCAAGGGTATCATAGCTTTTAATACTAAATATTTACTGAAGTTTATTTATTGATCAGTTATTAGGTTGCAATAATAAAAATAATACTACCTCATACAGAGTGTCTAAAAAATTATTTTAAATTATTTCTAGCTATAAACGGCAATAACTTGTTTAATTTCAATAGGACGCCCTGTATATTTTAGGAGAATCAGATGCACAATTTAATTGTCTATCAAATTGTATTACGCCACTTTTTACCTATCCCTTCAAGTTTTCGTATAAAATGCATTTTCTTATAATTTAGACCTCATTTATCAATATACCCATGGAATATTGACATTTTAGATTGTTTTTAAAGCAACAAAGGTACAAAATGTACAGGCTAGTAATATTATCGTTTTTAGCAAAATGATAATATTACTAGCCCATTTGTATGCAAAAAGAAAACTATTTAAATCTTTATAAAAGAGTATATCATTAATTAAATATACCACCATTATTTCCGCCCAAATACTAATTAATTACATACTTGATTATGTTCGTTAATAAATTATTCTAAATAAATGTGGATTTGAATCAGAAATCAATATAATAATAAATTATGAAAATGAATGTCTCTATTGTTATAAATAAGTATTTGTCAAAAAATGAAATATCATTTTTAAGGTGTTACTTTTTACCACAATGTTTAATACACATACAAAATTCAGTTTTTTAGTATTTGGAGTAATTATTATTAATCAACGCAAACAGTCAATTAATGTAGTTTGAATACTGGAATAATATTAATTGGTCCTCTTTAACAAATATTTAAACAGTTTCTTTTTAATTTTTAATGAAATAAACAAACTATATCGACAATATTAGTATCTGTACTCTTTAAAAATTTCGTACATCTTTAAAAATAATCTAAAATGTCAGTATTCCATGGGTATATTGATAAATGAGTTTTAAATTACAAGAAAATGCATTTTCTACGGAAACTTGAAGAGATAGGTAAAAAATTGTATAATACAATTTGATAGACAATTAAATTGTGCATCTGATTCTCATAAAATATACAGGGTATTTCATTTAAATTAAACAAGTTATTGCCGTTTAAAGATATTAATTATTTAAAATAAAATTTTGGACACTCTGTATAAGGTAGTATAATTTTTATTATTGCAGCACAATAACTGATCGATAAATAAACTTCAGTGAATATTTAGTATTAAAAACTTTAATAGCCTTGGAGAAAAAAAGCCTTAAAATTTTGATTGCAACTTCACAAAATTGAAAATATTTCAAAAACGGTAAGGTTTAAGTGTAATAAACCTTTATCAAACTTACCTTTATTTTAATCATAGAAACTATAAATGTAATAATATACAGGGTGTTCCATTTAAAAAAATACAACTTTGATATTTTTTATTTATTTGGGATACTCTGTATCTTGTAAAAATATTTTTAAATTGTAGCTCTAATAGTCCTTCAACGAACCCAAAACTTACAATTTGTAAAAATCTAATCGTTTAGCTACAATACTCCGTGTCGTATGTGGTGAACAACCCTGTATAGGTAAAACATTAAATTTACAAGAAAGACAATCCAGAAAAGATCCAGTAGTTCTAAAAATTTTAGCAAAAAATCTTTTTTTTTTGAAAATTTTCGAAGTAAAATTTTTCGGTTATTTTAGATTTAATTGAAAAAAATATTTGCACTTATTTAAGACTCACCCTGTATATTCTTCTTCTTCTTAAGGTGCCGACTTCTTGCGAAGGTTGGCGACCATCATGACTAATTTTATTTTGTTGACTGCTGCCCTGAACAGGTTGTTTGATGTACAGTTGAACCATTCTCTGAGATTTCGAAGCCACGACATCCGTCTTCTTCCTATGCTTCTCTTCCCTATTATTTTACCCTGGATAATTAGTTGTAGAAGCTTGTATCTTGTACCTCTCATTACTTGGCCCATATATTGGAGTTTTCTGATTTTCACCTCTTGGGACAATTCTAGATCTTTTGAGACTCTTCGTAAGACTTCTTCATTGGTAATTCTGTCAACGTATGATATCCGGAGTACCCTTTGTAATGCCACATCTCGAAGGCATCTATCTTTTTAAGCATTTGTTTTGTTAGAGTGGCAGCTTCTATACCATAGAGCATTATTGTAAATATGTAGCATCTTAGCATTCGTATTTTAAGGTGGTTACTTAAAGTTTTGCAACAAAAGAATTGCTTCATTTTAATAAAGGTGTTACGTGCTATTTCAATTCTCGTCACCCTGTATAAGCGATACTAATTAAACTTTTCGTTACGTAATCGAGGGCGCGATTTTTAAATTCATTGTTGCCAACCATGGACATATTCGGCGCCGGGCTGATTAACTGGAATAGAAATTTCCCGCTGGGGATTCAGGTGGTGGTTCCGCTAAAAAAAAATGTCAAGTTGCTACATTTGTTTTTATTTCCTGATATTGTCAATTGTCATTCGTTTTTACACTTTAGTTTTGTATTACGAGTTTTTGATTTAAATAAATTGTGTTGTGATACTTTAAGCTTAAAACTCTTTACTGGCAGATTTTGCAGTCGAACATTGTTCTTTTTAGAACCTCTTTTAGTGCGAAGTGTACAAGATAGCTTAATAGCCGTTGCAAAAACTCGTCGCAACCTTATTAGAATTTTTTTGAACGGGAAAGCGGTAGTAATGTCCCTTTATGTACCTTAAGTATTGTTAAGGAGGCGAGTTTTGTTAATGTAATTAATAACTGTTTATACCGGGTGCGTCTTAAAGTGGCTCACCCCCTATAACTTTTTTATTTATTCAGATAAAAAACGAGGTTTGGTATGTTAGTATATGACATAAATTAGGGTTGATTGACGTATTCAGTTCTTTTCGGCCACTTCTTGTTTCACCGGAAACGACTATAACTTTTGATTTTTAAATGGTATCCTCGGTATTTTTTGACTTTATTTGATAGAAAATGACACATCTAAAAACACTAATTTTTAATCAAAGAGCTTTAGAAAAATAGATTTGATTGTCTAATGTTCTCCATATCTCGTCCTGGCGAGTTAAAAGATGCCCAAATCGTATTTTTAATCATATCTCATTTTTTCAAATTGGACAAGGGTGGTTCATTAGCATATTTGGAAAGAGCATTTTTTTGCGAATAATTTGATACTACACACTAGGTATTCCGAGTCAATTTGTCGTTATGAATCGTATGTTGCAATTTAAAATAAACCATATTCAAAAATGTCAAAAGTTGACATATTATATGTCATTCTATTTAGAGTGTCATTTTCTGTCGAATAAAGTAACAAAATACCGAGGGGTGGGCCACTTTTGAGACACACCCAGTTTATAATTAATTCATTTTTGTTTCCTAAAATACTTTGTTTAAAAGAAAATATGTAAAAGCGGGCAACGCTGTGCCGGTCAAGCTTAATCACGGGACTAAAAGTTTATTTGGTATGATCTATACGTTTTTTGCGGCATAAACGAAAGTTTGATATTTTGATTCTGAGTATATGGTTTTAATTTCAACTTGGTATCTCCACGTGTTCTCGTGATAAAGGGTCTTGATAGACAGCCGGAGATACTGACAGACCAGACGGATGGACGGACGGACGGATAAAGGTGGGTTCATACAGCCAAATAAAATAAAATAAGAATAAAATAAAATAAGAAATAAGGAATTCTTATTTGTGTGCGTTCATACAGGCAAATAAAATAAAATAAGAAATATATATTTGCTCATGCGCAGTACGATGAGGCTGGATAAAAGTTAACTTTTACGATTGTTTATAGTAATTTTACTATTTATAGTATAATTATTTATTCGTTGCCTACTATATTATACATTTTACTTATGTGAAATTATAAAATAAATTAAATCCAAACTGAAAATATTTGTAGGTTAGAATTAAGCGTGCGCAAAGCCGTTTTCACATAAAATAAAACAAGAAGTTAAAAGATAAAGACTTTTTATTTTATTTGTTATTTTATTTGGCTGTATGAACGCATGTACGGTATCCCATATAACCAACTTTCTTATTTTATTTTATTTTATTCTTATTTTATTTTATTTGGCTGTATGAACCCACCATAACAGAGTGATCCAATAAGGGTTCCGTATTTTCCTGGAACGAATTTCCACCCTATTTACGGAACCCTAAAAGAAAACGTTTTTTTGTTACATTCAATTTTTTTTATATTACGAAGTATTTTTCTTTAAGGCGAGAGAACCAATCGAATCTGTTTACTTTATAAACAGTGGCATTGTTGCCGTTTTGAACGCTAATGAAGTAGAAATAACTCATTTGACAGACGGCGAAGAAGTAGGGCTTAGCGCTGTTACCAACACTACCAAGCACAAGGTAACCTACGCTTATACTTATATCGCTGTTGAAACGACCGAATTATACGTTATTTCTGTAAAGGATTTTAGGTATGTTGACTCTGTGGAATACATATTATTTACATAGGTGCACACAGGACAAAATGCTATGTTTAGCTTGACAAAAATCCAGATTAAATATTTTTCGTATATTTATCCACACATTGTTTTTCTTATTACATTTGTAGGGCTAAATTGAAATATTATAAGTTTTTGCATTCAACTAGAGTAGTCAAAGCGTTACCGAGAATTGATGCAGTTCGCACCTTTCGTGGAGCGCAAAAGAGTGTCATTTACACCCAGCACAGCCATTTGAATTTTTTTCTACTGTCAATAATATACGAAAAAAAACTTGTAATAAACTTCAAAATTCATAATTTAGAAAATCTGGCTTCTTAAAACTAAAACAATCCTTTCTTGATATTACAGGACTGGTATAGAAATTAGTACGACTACCTGCAAATAAAGGGCTATTTCAAAAAAAGGGCAGATTTGGGAAAGCTGATTTTTTATACCTATATCAACATACATTAGCGATTTTAATTTTATTAAATTAAAAGCTGAACTCCGTGGAACTCATAACTATAACCCATTATGAAAACAAAATTATAAAAAAATAAACCCAAAATAGTGTGTTCAAAATATATTTTATCCACATTCAAAGCAGTTCAAATTTATTATATTGATGTTACTTAATTGTACTACACATAGACTTAAAATAAAATATAGACTGAGCATCTCATTCATAAATAGCTGGAACATGCGGTCAGACAATGTCTTGTTATTGTTGTGTTATTGTTTTAGGTTATAACGAGTGCGACACGAGCGATAGATAGGTTGTCTCTGTCGTAACGGTCGTTCCCTGACGACTCTGCCGAGAAACACAACACTGTCTTTCGTTTCTCAAGTACACGTGAACTCTCCGTATCATAGCCGGGTATTTTTTTTTATTTTAATGAAGCTATAATTAAATTAAAAATATATCATATTTAAACTTTTTTATATTTTATTAAGATTTAGGACAAGTTTTTTAAATAAAAGTTTAGAAAAAGTCCAAAAAGGATAAAAATAATAAAATACACGTTATAGAAGAAATTTTATAATCGAAATTACGTAATTTTTGAAATTAATAATAAATTATTAATTTTAGTCAAACATTTATAACCCCTAATATTAATCAAAACAGGATCTATTCCACAGATATAATAGAATCGGCGACAGGGAGAGAAAAAAAATATGATTGTTGTAATTTTTTTTCTGGTTAAGTGATGTCTTATGTAAATTAGAGAAAACATAAATCTGTTCCATTAAAGCAAGGAAGGTGATAGGAAGTGGATAAAATGAAAACTACATTTATTTAACTCGGTACTGTCTTTATTATACCGGGTGCGTCCCAAAAGTGGCTCATCCCCCATAATTTTTTTATATTTTCAAATAAAAAAACAAGATTTAGTATGTTAGTATATGACATAAATTAGGATTGATTGACGCATTCAATTGTTTTTGATCACTTCCTGTTTCACCGGAAATGACTATAACTTTTAATTTTTAAACGGCACCCTTGGTATATTTCTACTTTATTCGATAGAAAATGACACTCTGAATAGAATGACATATCATATGTCAACTTTTGACATTTTTGCGTATGGTTTAATTGTAATTGTAACACGAGGTTCATAACGACAATTTGACTCGAAATACCAAGTGTTTGGTATCAATATATTCATAAAAAATGCTTTTTCCAAATATGCTAATGAGTCACCCTTGTTCAATTTGAAAAAATTGACATATGATTAAAAATACGATTTGTAAATCTTTTAACCGGCGTAGACAAGACACGAAACCTATTAGACGATCAAAACCTATTTTTCCAAGGCTCCTTGATTAAAATTTAGTGTTTTTAACAACACCATGGCAACTGGATTGAAATTTAAAATAGGATTTGTTTTTTAAGCGACAATGTCAAAAGTTGACATATGATATGTCATTCTATTCAGAGTGTCATTTTTTATCGAATAAAGTAGCAATATAGCGAGGGTGCCTTTAAAAATCAAAAGATGTAATCATTTCTGGTGAAACAGGAAGAGACCAAAACAATTGAATACGTCAATAAATCCTACTTTATGTCATATACCACCTACTAACAAACAAATCTGTTTTTTATCTGAAAAAATAAAAAAGTTATAGGGTGAGCTTTTGAGACGACCCGGTATATTAAAAAATATTGTTTCATAATGTAATATCATTTTAAAATTCTTGTATGTTATTTTAGATTCTGAAGATAATTTTAGAATAAACCGGAATATATTTTTAATAAAAACATTATTAATTATTAACAGGGTTATAATTATGATTTTGTTACAATGTAAGTAAGTAAATAATGTAATGTAAGAGAAAAAATTCAGATTTTACATTTTACTAAAATATTATCTAAATAAGCGCCTTTCTACAACAACGCCACTGACTCCCAATGGGTAAATTGAGAGTTGCCTACCGGTCAAAAGTCGTTTCAAGACTTAAATGGATTATTTAAGTCAAATTTCTTGCAAATTTGGCACTGGCGAACCATATTTTATAGTTCTTGAACAGAAAAAGTCAATAAAATAAACACTTAAGCACTACAAGCTAAGAAAATGCGTTAATACAGCCGGGGAGATAGCGGCAACAAAGCTTTACCGCACACGTGCGACACGTACTACAAGGTAATAAATGAATGAATAGGCTCCCTCGCCTCTAATCGGTGTTGTCATATTGTAAAGAACTTATCCTTTTTAAACAGTATCCGACTTATAATTTAGTAGTATAAGGACTATTTAATACATCTCTGGAATATTAAAACCTACTTTATTAAACTGTAGTATTAATATCTCAATATATGTGTATAACAAGAAAAAAAATATTGATAATATTAAAGACGTGACAACATAGGCTGGATGAGGAAGGCTCGGTCGACTGTACCCAGAAGTAAACATGTGTACAAAAAATATTGTCTGTCCGCGTTGAGATGTAAATAGTGTAGTCTATATTTTATTTTAAGTCTATGGTACTACATATCTGTAGCTGTATTGTCCATAATGATAAAATTAATTTAATTTTCAAATGGCTGTGCTGGGTATAAATAACACTCTTTTGCGTTCCATCATTGGTTGTACAAGGCTAACGCTCTTCCTAGAAAGAGAGACTCCATCAACTTTCGGTAGCGCTTGCACCGTTATGGTTGCTCGGAAAAAATTATAACACATAAAATTAGGTCCACAGATTTTATAACGACAGTGAGTAGATAAACATACGAAAAAAATATTTGCAATTTCGATTTTTGTCAAACTAAATAGAGCATATTGCCGTGTGTGAGGTGGTCCAAATTGTATTCGGAAAATATTACCACCAATTTATACCGGGTGCGCTTCAAAAGTAGCACACCCCTACAACTTTTTTATTTTTTCAGATAAAAAACGACATTAGGTACAGTACGTCTGTCCGTTCTGTGGCTACGGGGTATCCGTGAGAGGGGAAACGATATTCTCTCGATGTTTTTCGTAAAAAATTAGACGACGCGTCCCATCAATAAAAATTCGACAAATTTGCAAGTAGCCAATAAAATGAGTGGGCGGAGCGATTTGCGGTGACGCACTCGTCAAATCGACGTATAAAATATATTGCTGTTTATTTAAATGTTTTTTGTCCGCATTCCTTTCATAGACACAGATCCACCAGACGAACTGTATATTAGTATATAATATTATAATTTTAATTATTATATAATTATTAGTATAAAATACGACATAAATTATGATTGATTGACGAATATAATTGTGTTTAGTCACTTCCTGTTTCACCGGAAATGACTACAACCTTTAATTTTTAAATGGCACCCTCGGTATATTTCTATTTTATTCGATAGAAAATGACACTCTGAATAGAATGATATTTCATATGTTAATATTTTACATTTTTGCATATGGTTTATTTGAAATTGTAAGATGCGGTTCATAACGTAAAAAATTGCTTTTTCCGTATACGCTATTGAGTCACCCTCGTTCTATTTGAAAAAATTCAGATATTATTAAAAATAAGATTTAGGCATCTTTTAAGCGGCCAGGATAAGACCCGAAAAACATTGGACGATCAAAACTATTTTTCCAAGGCTCCCTGATTAAAAATTAGTACTCTAGATTGAAACCGAGGGGGCCATTTAAAAATCAAAAGTTGTAGTCATTTCTAACATACCAAATCTCGTCTTTTATCTGCAAAAATAAAAAAAGTTAATAATAATAAAAGGTATAATAATTCATAATTTATTAGGAATTTGATGCCTGCAAAACCGGAAATTATGAAGTATTTGAGCAATCGGGTTCAGGAGAAATATAGTACTTTTGCTAAAATCGAAATAATAGCTACGACTCAGGCGCTTGATTTGCTTTCCGAATTAAGAAGTGGCAAAGTATTGGAACGACCCACAGTTAGGACACGTTACTTTGACAATTAATTTGATCTATTGATTATTAACAGATCACTTTATTTCAATTTATTGCCTTTTAAAACCCCTCTATTGAGCTCTGGTCTAGACATAACGAATTACCTTACATCTTTCCTTTTTAGTCAAAATGTATCAAGTACCCAAAACAATGAGTGTAGACTAAATTAATAGTCTAGTCAAATTGAAGGGGACAATAAGCGCCAATTTCTTCATTTTAGGGTTTTACCAACAGTTTTACAATAAATAAAACGTCTAACTATACAGGGTGAGTTTCCTACGATGTTCTCTATGGGTATTTCGGGCACTACTGGAGATAGAGAGTCGGTTAAATGTGGAAAGAATTGCAGTTTTGTGGGGTCATAAATATGCGCCTTTCTACTCTATGCGGCTTACTAGATATTTCGAAAAAAAAACAAATTTCGGCTATTTTGAAAGTTGTTCCTAATCGCAAAATAAAAACACTAAATCACCACAATACACCAAAACACTTTTACTTTTACACTGGACGCGCGTTTCGCTAACCATGTTAGCATCATCAGCAGATGATTATAAACTATTATTACTAAACTAAATCTTTCTAACTTTTCTAACAAAATCGTTCTTTAAAAAATGTTCACAGGTCAACGTATCCTCAAAAATGTATGGCCAAGAAAAGTCGAACCAATAATCCTACACCCTACACGCTTTTCTTCATTTTTTAATTTTTTATTCAAAAATTCGTATTTACAATTTTTGTTTATTTTAATTTACAAAGCTTGGATATGACAGTTTTGCATTTCTGAAGGCAACGACGATTGAACTTGTTTCCATGGCTAACTAAGTGAAATTGTTTTAAAATGGTAAGAATTGGCTGTAACTCAGTAATTTTTCTAAAAAAAACATATTATAGGTTATATCGCTGAAAAGCTTAAAAAATGGCGCTTTTTATGATGTCATGGCCAGCTCTGGTTTCCATTTATTAAACAAACATATGTTTGTGTCATATCTCATAAATGACAGGTTTTAGAGAAAAACGGAAGACGCATTAAGGATGTGATTATCTACAACTTTTATCTGAGAACTTTTTATCTAATATAGATTATAATGGAATTAGGGACAATTTTTAAAATAGCCAAATTTTATTTTTTTCGAAATATCTAGTAACCCATTTTTTCATAACTTTTTCAAAAAAATGAAAAATCGCATATTTATGACCTCACAAAACTGCAATTCTTTCCCCATTTAACCGACTCTCTATCTTCAGTAGTTTCCGAGATACCCATAGAGAACATCGTAGGAAACTCACCCTGTATATAACTCTAAATAAAAGGTCTAACTGGTCCTTACAAAGTGCATAAATTCTGCAAAGCAGTAAGCTGTTAAATCGTTAGATTAAGGTTAAATCTTATGATATATGTATAGTAAAAAAAATATAGGCACAGTCTAACTTATAATCATCTTATAATACAGACATACAAAACGTAAGGTAAAACGTTATATCTAGACAGGGCTTTAAATTCATGTTTTTCAACTGACAGGGTTAATATGCATGCCTGGATTTTTTTATTTACAATGTTTTATTGGGATATTTTTATTATAATACAGACTTATTATGTACAGGGTGGGTCAAATTCGACGGTTTTAAAGGGAAACACCCTTTTCTATAGAAGATAGACGAAAACTAATATTGGTGTCTGGAGCTCAATTTTTATAAATAACATGATGGTGAAAACCGCACATCGATATCTGTTACCGTTTATGAACTACGGGGTGTGTTTCAAAAATGTGCATTTTTTACAAATTGCTGTATCTTTGTGAAAACCATTTCCAAAGCACCTTTTTTATTTAGAATTTAATGGTTCAGGTATATTTTTTTTTAAATTAATAATTTAAAAGTTATCAACAGATAAATTGATATTTTATTTGGGCTACACTGTATATTTTTAATTAAGTGAATAGAGCTTAAAATTACCTTTCCAAAAATATAGCTTACGATATTTTGTTATAATCCCCTTCGAAATACAGAATTTTTATCAGTTCGCCACTTTTAAATAGTAGGCTTTGGACCCCTTATTTATGATCTGCCCCTACTGGAATTCGAAAACATATTTTTTATTTTTCCAGCAAGATGAGGCACCACCGCCTCAGAAGGCTGAAGTTATCAGCAAATTTTTGCAGCCAATTTCGAGAATAATTGAATAGCTAACCAAGATCCCAGCCGTTGGCCGTCGAGGTCGCCGGACTTAGTGCGTGTGGATTTTTATCTTTGCCGAAGAATAAAAGTTCATATTTTTAAATTTCTCGTATAATCTAAACAAGAATTAGAAGTACTTAGCGGTTATGCGAGCGTATCTTTTACCCCCAGTTAATAAATTCCGCGAGAAATGTTCAAAAACGGTCCCGTCTGTCCATAACAGAAGATGGTCGAACATGTTGAACACCTGTATTGTTATTAGATATAGTTTAAATGTGTTGATATGGGTAAATATAGTTTAAATTATTCTAAAATTCTGCATCTCTCATTGCAAATATTATTTTCGTTTTAATTGCTGCTCACAGCTAGATTTTTTTTGCATTACAGCCTATACTTATTCAAAGCGGGCGAATTTTTAAAAACTCTTTATCTCGAAGAGGAATCGAGCAAAATATCAATTATGCTATATTTTTGGAAAGATAATTTTAAAATGTTTTAATTAAATTTTTTTGAATGAATTAAAAATATACAGGGTGCCCCATACAAAATTTTTGTTGTCAATTCTTAAATTATTAATTTAAAAAAAGTATAATTAAACCATTACATTCTACGTAAAAAGGTGCTTTGGAAATATTTTCACAAAAATACAGTACATAACAAATAAGTTACAGCAATTTGTTGAAAATGCACAATTTTGAAAAACACCTCGTAATTTCGAAAGGATAACTGATATCGATGAGAGGTTTTCACCATCATGTTTTTCATAAAAATTGAGCTCCAGACACCCCTATTAGTTTTCGTCTATCTTCGATGGAAAATGGTGTTCCCTTTAAAAGCGTCCAGTTTGGCCCACCCTGTACAATATATAATGAATGTGATTCTTAATTGTTATTTTAATAGTATTGCAATTCGTATTATGTTAATTTATTTTACTGTTTTATTTTTTATATTAATTAATTGTATTTATTTGTATTCAAGGTGTTTATGTTTAATAAAAAAATATAATACAACTGTTTGTTTTTATAATTAATAATTTATTTAATGAAATAAGTACTTAAATAATACAAATATGACATAAAATAGTCTGTAACAAAAAATAAGTTTATTAAACAGTTGGTATGTATTTGATATGTAAATTAAAAATGTGTTTCTATTTCTTACTAACTTTAATAAGTTACTAATAGAACATTTTTCATTTAATAATAAATTATTTTAAAATGGGTATTATAATTTTAGTTTTGGATAAATGTCTGGTATAAAAAATAACATTTATACAGGTACAGAAAAAAAGGTTTCTGCATATTCCAAACATGACAATATACTTTTATATTTTTACTAGAACCATCTCGAGTAAGAATTTTTGAAAAAATAATATTTTTGGTGTATTTTTATTCATATTTAAAGGAATATGTAGAAATAGAATTTGTTTCATCTTCTCACTATTTGATTAATTGAATCTGCATAATGGGCTCTTTCACTATATTTTGGAATTAGCATAATTGAATAAAGCAATTAATTCTAGAATTTTCTGCTATCTCACTTTCGAAAAATTTGAATTCGTTCTTAAGAAAATAAATAAAAACAAAAAAGCCCAGAATAAAAATCCGCACATGTTGAAAAGCGGCAACACGGCCACGGCCGGGCCAATATGCTGACCCACCACCACCTCCGCACACAAGGCCATTCAACCTTTTCCAATATGGCGGAGATAGAAGTGCTTTATTTGGCGCGTATTTTAAAACCTGTTTTATTTCCAAATAGACATTTTTCACACAAATGTCGGGTTAGATTACGTAATATTTCACTAATTTTTTAATATACAGGGAGTCTAAAGCTCTCCACATAAGTATGGCATTTTTTGTATTATTACTTTTATGAAAACATCAGTTACTTTTTATAAAAAGGTCTGTTTTCTCAGAAAATAGGTAGGTAGTGTACTAGTGTGTAAATATTCAAACTTGAGGTAGCATATATAGGGTGTTCAAAATCATCGTGTTGCAGAAGCACAACAAACTAGAGATAATTAATTATTTCTGGTATGCAATTGGAACGAGAAACCACTATCGGCTTTTCAGGTTAAAGGTAAACAATTTAATAATGCGCTGCCTTCGCCGCCATATTTGCCTTGCCCTTATCATGTTGATTAGCCTTGAGTTGAGGTGGTGCTGGTCAAATCAAATCGCAATGTTGCCAGTTGTTGGCTGGCGCACGAGCACGGTTCTGCAATGCGATTGGGCGTATTTTTCATACGTCATCAATTGGCGCTTTAAATTTATTTCAAATTAAAGCAATTTTGAGGATCTATAAAAAAATTATTCAATGTCATGGAACTATGTTTTTTGGATAAATATACTGAAAATAGTCTTCTATTTCAGATTTTGTCCTTGAATTTGGTATTTTATTTTTTGTGAAAGAGCCTATTGCAGTGAGTTTTAGCACTTGTATTAACTTAGAAAATCAATAAATTACTAATTTATTTAACTATATAACATTTTGAAAACATAGTTTTTATTAACTTTTCCAACAAACATTGAATAAAAAGATCAAGAATGGAGTTAAAGAATATTTATATAAATGAGACATTAAAAACTAAAAAGACCTGTGTAGCTACTATTTTGAAACACTTTGACCTTTTCTTGACAAATTTTAATTCTTGTTATGTGCGGTTTTCGGTGTTTATTTTGGTTTAAGTTCTTTTTTATTTTGATTTTATGCAAAGTGAATAAATCTGGAAAGAGATTGAATTAGACAAATTATCGTGAATCTTAGAGATGTTTTAAAAGCAGTTACTTATTGTTACTTGTGCAGCGTGCAATTGTTTTTGACACTAAAAACATACTAACTTTTGATTATAGTCTGCCCAATGAATCAGAGAAAATTTTGACAGACGACTTCAAAAAATGACAGAAAATACAATTTACCTGTGAATTAACATGACAGACGCAACTGCCACTATCGTCCGAATGTATACTAAGGGCTAGCAAATATTAGTCTAGGGTCGAGATTTCCGTATGTAGGAAGAGTACAGGGTGGTCGAAATTGGTCTGTTTTGACAGAGAAAACCTATTTCCTGACTAGAGAGAGCAAAACTGACAAAGATGTCATGGGCTCGATTTCTGAGACACGTTTAATGGCGTTAACCGCCTGTTGATATTTTCACTGCCAACTGAGATACGGGGTCTTTTTGATTTTTTTACCATTTTGAAAATTGCCCATAACTTTTTATTTCGCGGTATATTAAAATTCTGTAAGAACGTTCTTAATGCACTTTTTTAAGCACAATGCAGTGGCGTAGTCAGTTTTTTTCTATGCTTGCTCTTTTTGTCAGAAATAATAAAAAATATAATTTTTTAAATCGAAATCATAGTTGGCTATGAACTTAAAAAAATGCTGGCGTTTTACCCTTTCGAACGATATAATGTTATAATTCGTTATAATTCCCATTCAGATGCTCAGAAACATATCTAATGATTTTATCTAGTTATCTTTTCGAAAAAAAGGTCTTTTAAAAATAAGCGGTTTGCGATCGAGATTTCACTTTACTTGATAGGTAAAAACGTAACGGCAACGGCGCAACAGGGACACCGTCGTATTTCTCTCACTCCGACCTAATAAGATCCCTATGCGATTTACTTCCACACATGTAAATACCGAACCAAAAGTAACAGTTGCCAGCACGGTATGTAAAATTACTTATTAAAGTAAAGTAAAAGTAAAGTAAATATTTGAAGTTAACGCCTCCTTTTTGCTGCCAGGGCTAATCTGCACGGGGTCTACTTTGTTTACGCGGAATCCGAACCGCGGTCCTCGGCCATATCATGGTCGAGTCTAAATCGACTCTTACTTACGAGATATCCCATCTCATTCTGCCTCGAACCGGCGTGAATGAGCAGTGTGTGTCAATAGATTTTACACTTTTGCCTTTATTGGACAACAGCACGATACAGAGTTTCGAACCGGTCACCCGTCCATCCACTAGTATCGCCTTACGTCGCTTAACTTCGGTGTTCTAATGGGAACCGGTGTTTCGACGTAGCTGGGCCGTTGCCCACTTATTAAAGTGTTGTTCCATTATTTATATTTTTTTAATTTTAATATTTTTTATTTTTTTCTTCACTTTACGTAAAAGCAATTGCAAAACGAACACAAAAAATAAACATGCAAAATCACAACGAAGTGAGAAAAAAATTGTCAAGGAAAAAGTTCAAAAAAGTTCAAAAGTGATTCAAATTCTCTGTAACCGACTTTTTCCATAATCTTTTTATTCAATGGGTTTAAATATACCTATAACCTTTCACTAGGTCCCCAGTACAACTTTCGAGAGTTCTCACACATTATCGGGAACGTAATTGTCCTTATTTGGTATACCGGAACCACTAGCGTCCCCTAACCAGGGGTACTGATTCGGACACTCCGAGCACGTCTCCAAGTATCTGGTGTCGGTGAAGTTCTCCTTTTTGAGACTTAGGGCGCACTTATTAGGCACATTGCAAGGTGAAGGAGGAAGATTGTCTTTCTTGGAACAACTCCAAGGCTCGTAGTTGTTCATTTGGTTCGCTTCTTTGGGATCGGTCATCCATGTGAGGGCTTGGGTGGTGGTCACGAACCAGACATCGTCGCTGCAGGGATTAGAATATATTATGTTACTTTTATTTTTGCACTATGAAATAACTGGCAATACTGTGTTAGAAGATTTTAGGATTAGCGGTTGGTAGTGATGCTAAAACCAATCATTGACTGAAAAATTTTAGCAAATTATGTTATTGATAAAAAATGTCTATACCTTTGTCAGCATTCATGGAACACAGGACACAGAATAAATTTCAATAACGCCAAAATTATAATGAAAGAAGCGATAGCCTCTAAAAGAAAAATAAAAGAGGCTTTTTTAATACAATCTAATAAAATAAATGTATTGCTCATGCATCTGTAGATGTTAGTAATGTATGGCAATCGCTTTTTAATTTTAAAGAACATAACATAAATAAACATAACATACGTAAAAATTAAAAATAATCATACAGAAAGTTTGGGCTTTTTGGTTTTACCTTATTAAGTAATTGTTATCAGAGAGTAATTGTTAATTTTGAAGTTTAACTTGATATAATGTCATTTCAACAGAACGTCAACGGTTTTTGTAGACGTATCTGTTTTAAAAAACTAAAGTGTTCTCAAATAGTTGAATTTAAATATATTAAATAGTTTTTTTTCTTTATTCTTTGTATTTTTTTGCTTCCGACGACGGCAGGAGATAAACTTTCCGAAACGTTAGCATTATTTTGTTTGTTAGGCAAATTTGTATATCTTTAAACCTAACTTCTGACTGCCGTTTGGGATTAAAGCAGAAGTGTTTACATAAAATATCTATTTTATTTTGTAGATTTTGCAGTGGCGAAAAACCCATATAGGATTTTTTGGAGATATGTCATTGATTCCATGTCATTTGTGAAATACACATACTTTTCAAAATAATAATAAATTTGAATAAATCATATTTGGCTCCGAAAAAAGCCGACCCGATCTGAAATTATCTAAAGCTTTGGGTCGCGACCGTTGCAAGAATAGCGCCAATCAAAACTTCTTTAATTTATCTATGACTAGGGTGTACCCGCGACTTCGTTCGCGTCGAATTAATCATTGTAATGGTGATGATAAAGCAAAGCAAGAATTTCCATTAACATACAAACTGGATAAAATTTTCTCACATTTATGTCATCATGATAAAAAACAATATGGCGATATTATTATACAGGGTGAGTCTTAAATAAGTGCAAATATTTTCAGGGCTGGTAGATCTCGACAAAAGAAACATATTTCTCTTTACCATTTTTTAAATAAGGCCAAAATAACCGAGTTATTTAAGTTTGAAAATTTTAAAAAAATTGATTTTTTTTTTGAAAAATTTTGAAAGCCACCGGATTTTTTCTGTATTTGCATCCATTTTAGTGCCGTAACCATAGAGTAAAGGTGTAACTATGGTAATATCAGAGATTAAGAATTTATACCGCGGGAAAATTTGCGGTGAACAGGCAATTCTAAAAAGTTTTCGAAAAGTATACAGGGAAATTTAAAAGAAAATGCACGATTTTCAACATCTTTTTTTTGCGAAAAAAAACTCATAGACGTGTTCCTGGGGTCAAAATATACAACCCCTGAAAATATTTGCACTTAACTCCCTTCTTATCGAACCTCTACACCCTGTATAACTTGGTAATATTTGAGAGGTAGTTTCAACTCGTTGGAATTTGACTTTCGAAAAATCCGTTTGCCAAAAATAATCTTTTTACATCAAGCAGGTGGTTAATCAATTTACCCCACTTTTTGCAACACCCTGTATGATTTTTTAAAAAATTTCAAAATATGTAAAAAAACAAAATAAACTATGCGTTTCCAAGCGTTTTCCCGAAAGACTAACCGTTTTTTAAATAACAAATATTGTAATATTTGAGGGGCGTTTTCACCCTCTTGGAATTTGAGATTTGAGAAACCCCTCCTTATCGAACCTCTACACCCCACAATCAATCCGTTTGCCAAAAATCAGCTTTAAACGTCAAGCAGAATCGTGATTACTCAATGGTCATATTTTATGAAACACCCTGTATAAATTTTTAAAAATCTTAAAATATGTAAAACAACAAAATAATATATACGTGTTTAAGAGTTTTTCCGAAAAACTCACCGGTTTTTAAATAAAAAATATTCTAATATTTGAGGGGTGGTTTCACCCCCTTAGAATTCGAGTTTCGAAAAATCCCTTCTTATCGAACCTCTACACCCCACAGTCAATCCGTTTGCCAAAAATCAGCTTTAAACGTCAAGCAGTTTAAGCAGAATCGTGATTACTCAATGGTCATATTTTATGAAACACCCTGTATAAATTTTTAAAAATCTTAAAATATGTAAAACAACAAAATAAAATATACGTGTTTAAGAGTTTTTCCGAAAAACTCACCGGTTTTAAATAAAAAAATATTCTAATATTTGAGGGGTGGTTTCACCCCCTTAGAATTCGAGTTTCGAAAAATCCCTTCTTATCGAACCTCTACACCCTAAAGTCAATCCATTTTCCAAAAATCAGCTTTTTACGTCAAGCGCTTTAAGCAGGATCGTGATTAATCTCTGACCAGATTTTTCGAAACACCCTGTATACATTTTTAAAAAATCTTAAAATATGTAAAAAAAGAAAATAAAATATACGTGTTTAAGCGTTTTTTCGGAAACTTGACCGTTTTTTAAATAAAAAATATTGTAATATTCCACCCCCCTTTTTACCCCCTTAGGGGATGAATTTTAAAAAATCCTTTCTTATCTTACATCATAAAAGGAACCCCTGTGCAAAATTTCAGCTTTCTAGGGACAAGGGTTTGGTCTGGGCGTTGATGAGTCAGTATCAGTCAGGACAGTCAGATTTATATATATAGATGTGGTTTGAATAGGGTGGTTAATGTTTTTCCGAATTGCAATGATCGTCTACAAAGGAATTATTAGTTTAACTGAGAATAGTATTCGCGGAGTATGTTTGCTGTTCATCCACATTCACAATAATTTCACAAATAAAATAATTTAGTTATCTGTGTTAATCACAACTTATTCTTATCCCGGTGTTTAAAACAAGGTTAGAAATTGAACGTAATCTGCGAAGTAACTTTTACTTAATACAGAATCCCAATTTGAGCATATTTAATTATAAAATATCACACACGTGAGTTGGACGATTTTGAAATACTGTTAATTAGGAAGTAAGGAGACGTAATAGACACCCTCGTTAAAAAAAAAACAGATCAAATACTTACAGCGTCGTAACCCAGTCGAGAAATTTATGAAGTCCTTTTTCTAACTCTTTGATCGAAAACCAATTTGTATGAAAGGCCATCATGTAAGGTGCCCTGTTCTGATCGTAGTACCTATAAAACGATAATAAAAAAATGTTTAAATAAATAAAAGGACGTAGAATGGTATCGTACCTCAAGAAATCTTCTTGGAGCCATTCAAAGACATCTTCAGGGTCGTGATTATGTAATACACATTGATCTAAGTATGGACAGTGACCTCCTTCAAAACCTTCAACGTAGTGAGCATTTAGTGGCACTTCCCAAATTCCTATATTTTAAAAATTAATTCTTAAGTATTATTCTATGTTTATTTCATACATATGTAAAATGTAATACATTTTAAATATCCCTATAACTTTTTTACTTTTTCAGATAAAAAAAAACGATATTTGTAATGTTAGTATATGACATAAATTAGGATTGATTGACGTATTCAATTCTTCTGGGCCACTTCCTGTTTCACCGGAAATGACTACAACTTTTGATTTTTAAATGGCACCCTCGGTATTTTTTTTAGTTTATTCGATAGAAAATAACATTCTGAATAGAATGACATATCATATGTCAACTTTTGACATTTTCGCTTAAAAAAAAATTGTATTTTAAATTTCAATCTAGAGTGGGCTGTGTTAAAACACTAATTTTTAATCAAGGAGCCTTGGGAAAATAGATTTAATCGTCTAATGTTTTTAATATCTTGTCCTGGCCGGTTAAAAGATGCCCAAATCGTATTTTTAATCAAATCTCAATTTTTTCAAACGGAACGAGGGTGGCTCATTACCATTGGCACCACTATTTGATACCACACACTTGATATTTTGAGTCAAATTGTCGTTATGAATCGCGTGTTGCAATTTCAAATAAACCATATTATGTGGAAATGTCAAATGTCATTTCTATCGAATAAGGTAACAAAATACCGAGGGTGCCATTTAAAAATCAAAAGTTGTAGTCATTTCCAGTGAAACCGAAAGTGACCGAAAACAATTGATTGACATTGAATACGTCAATCAATCCTAATTTATGTTTTTAATCCTATTTATATACTAACATACCAAATCTCGTTTTTTATCAAAAAAAAAATAAAATGTACGTCTGTTACGGACAATTCAATATAATACATGGCATTTATGGTAATACTTGGCTACTAAGTACCCATTTTCATCGGATCATATCGTCATAGCCCAGCTATTTATGAAAATTCCCATAAATTAAAGGTAATTTTAAAAATGTTACTCTTCTATTAGCATTTTGTCAGTCACTATCCGGACAATAACGTTATTGATCACATAATATTGGGAAATGTTTTGACATACAACAGATAACAGCAGCAACAACAGTAGAACAGCTAATATTTCCTCTATGTATCTGTTAGTCCTTTCCAGTGAACTCTGGCTTTGACATTAAATTTTAAAATCAAAACATTCAAAGCAATCAAATTCCTATTAAGATTATAAAAAATTACGAAAAAGGCTTAAAACCAAAGCAATCAAAACTCATTCGTGCAACTTCGTGTTGACGTCAATGACTGGTAGCAGCTAGACGCTTGAAATGTTACCTTATTACCTTATTTGTAGACTTTTTCAGAAGCGCCAGAATTAGAAACAGAGATTAATTTTTAGTTAATGGCCGGTCATTAAAAACAATGTCCAACCTAAGTGGGCCGATAAAACATTGACCGGTAATTACTGATAAAAACCGGTTTTACATCATTGTCCGTAACATATAGTATATACAATAAGTAGTGGGGCTCCACGTTGGGCGCCAAAAATCAAAGACTTATCTTGATTTAAGTAAAAACGTTCTCCGGATTGTCACGGGGTTTTTAACAGAACACTGTCTCCTCAACTGATTGAATACCTCAGTAGATTAAAGCTAAGGAAAAACGGTGAATGCTGATTCTGTAGGAAAAATGGAGAAACGCCAGAACACCTCATCACTGAGTGCGGCGAGACGACAGCCATTTGTGCCACAAACTTTGGTACAACTGATATTGGATATCGAGAATTACCCTCTATAAAACCCTTCCAGATACTGGCTTTTGTCAAAGCCCTGAGACTGTATTATGAGTTATAACTCAAGTGAAGAGGGTACAATAGATCTGTAGGTCGGAGTGATTAACCCCCTCCAACTCATTCTACATTCTACATGATATAATTTATTTACCTGGGAATGATTTTGTAGGACAAGTTCCTGATTTACACTCATGAGGTATTTTATAATCTAAGGTATAAGGCCAAACTGGAATAGGCAAAGCTGGAACTCCAACGGAACTGTCATAGATGTATCCAAATTCTTCCATCACCTGTAACAATACCAAAAACAATTACAAACAAACGTTTTTTACATAAAAGAAGAAACCGTTTGTTACTTTGTATTGGGTGTTCCTTCCGGGCTTTAAGAACGGTGCACGCATTCCCACAACTTCACTTTTCGAAACGTTGGCAAAGTGTTTGAGGATTTCTCTCATTCCTACCATTTCTCCTACCCATTCTTCGTAGCCTTTGTCTTGTAGACCAGATTGTAGTCTAAAAACCATTTCGTCATTAAATATTTTTATTTAGGTTTAAGTGGTGTAAAAATGAGACATTTTCCAAAACATTTAGTTTTTTTCTTAGTTGCAACGTTACAACCATTTGAATACAAAAGTATTTCTTTTATTAAAGGTATTTCGTGGTAAAAGAACTATTGCAGAAGTAAACATATACCAAAAGTACCCCTAAAAAAGTCAGTAAATAAGTAGTAAAGGGTGTCTTATATTTAACACATAAGAAGTGTAGATAAAAATGACATTTGCTGGGTTAAACAATACTAATAAGACAACAAGTCACAAAATGCATATTGAAAGGTCCTGCTTTGGTCTATGCAACTAGGAGGATAAGATACTCAGAAAAACTAACAAACAGCTGATGGGGATGATCCCTTAACCAATAATTGTGAAATGTTCTTAACACGAAAGCTGCCTAAATATAAGTTTTAAGTAGTTATATTTGAATGTCTCATTTTTAAGCTAAATATGGCGTGTCTTATTTTTACACCACCTGACCCTACAAAAAAAAGGTTCTTACGAGATTGTTTCTGTAGCTATTTCGTTTCCCTCGCTAGCTAATCTTTGGATCATTTGATAGTTGCTGTACTCGTGTGAAATAAAAAACGTTCCTTTGATGTTACACCCATTCGGATTCTTTCTTTTGCCGTTTAGCACTTTTTTGTAATGATCATAATTGTTCAAATTGACGGCACCGTCGAATGTTAATAAAACCATTTGTGGCGTCTGAAAAAAATTACATGTTAGATAGAGCGAAAAAAAGTCTATACGGTGGTACAGTACATCTGCTGGATCTGTGTCTATGAAAGGAATGCGGACAAAAAACATTTAAATAAACAGCAATATATTTTATACGTCGACTTGACGAGTACGTCACCGTAAATCGCTCCGCCCACTCATTTTATTGGCTACTTGCAAATTTGTCGAATTTTTATTGAACGACGCGTCCTGTCTAATTTTTTACGAAAAACATCGAGAGAATATCGTTTCCCCTCTCACGGATACCCCGTAGCTACAGAACGGACAGACGTACTGTATCTAATTTTTATTCATTATTATGTAAATTCACTAAAAAAATAAGTTCAAGTCTGCCTTGGAAATCTAATTGACACTTTATATATCAGCAAGTTTTTTTTGTTTATTCTATTAAGTGTCAAATCTGGACGCACAATAATTGTATAGGAGAATACAGAACCTAAAATTTTATTAAATTATTATTTATTTATTTTATTAAATTATTATTATTAAATTTTATTATAAAGGATTAATACATTATGACACATTTGTCAAAGTTTTTTAATTAATAAATTATTATTAATCGGCTCACCTTTTCTGGTTGTAAGTCCCCAGGAATTAGAGTACCATCCTTGGAACAGAAACAGTACGGTAACTGACATTCGGCAGTATTGCACTTTTCTGCCAGTTCTGTTGGTGGTTCTGTTGCGGGAGCCGGTGCTGAATAAAAATAAAATAAGTTAGTTTTAATAGAGTTGGATTAACTATTTAATTTCGTACTTGAGGGTACCGGTCCGCATCTTGCTTCGTTCTTAAACGTGCAGAATTTGCTTATGTCATCGAAGTACAACCCCGATGGACATCTGTTTTGGTACGGATAACCATCTACGCACTAGAAAGGTAAAGAAAAAATACCATTATGTATGCAGGTTGGATTATGGTTGGATTGGAAATGACGATCGATGACATTTCACCATATAATTTTTAATAGAAAAATGACAGCGATCTTTATTTCCAAGCCAACTGTAGTGCCGTTTTTTTGTTACTTTTTATTTTTTTTTAAATTTTTTCAGAAGTTGTAGGAAAGTAATAGGATTTTTTTTTAGATTTCAAAACATTACGATGAATATTGGATTGAGCAAGGCGCAACCTCTCTCTAACTTAATTATCTCTTCTGTCTAGATTATTATACAGGGTGAGCCTTAAACAGGTAAGTGCAAATATTTTTAGGGCTGATAGATTTCGATAAAAGAAACATATTTTCTTTTACAAAATAGTAACAGTTCTTTTTATTTTTAAATCAAATAAGCAAACTATATCGACAATATTAGCTGTGATATTAGTATCTGTACTCTTCGAAAATGTTGTTACATCTTTAAAAATAATCTAAAACGTTTCCTTAATTTTGTTATTCAAAGACCGTAACCACCCATAGCATACAATCGAAAACAGATGAAGGTTTTAAACGCTTACTTGATAAAATCTTCGACAGGTGACTGGATCCGCGAAGTTTCCTGTTCCTGTTGCTGAGGGACACTGAAATTCTTCCTCTTTTCCTTTTCCTTGGCCGTTAACTGTAAAGAACCTATAGATAAAAGTCAGGTAGAAAACAAACTTTCTAACCAGAAATTTATTTAAATTATTTTGTTATTACTTAGTTTAATTTCACACAGACTATTTGAACAGTATATTTTACTTATTTTTTAATCAGTGTTAACTTATTGATATTAATGTATAGGCCAGTAAGCGAGGGTTTTAGGGTCCGAATTCTGAACACCTGCACCGATTGACCTGAAATATTAACAGTGAATAGAGTTACATAGTAACTTTTGTTTCTTATATATGTATCTCTATATGTTCATGAATTCGATGTGTGCTTTCACCCTGAGTGCCACCCCTTCTCGGAAGTGAAAAATAAATCACCAATTTTAATTGCAAAAATCAGTAAAGGGGTGAATTCTAAGCAAAAAACGTTCTGTAACATTTTTTCAGAAAATTAATATTTTTTTAGTTATTTAGGATTTGAAATGTTGATTTTTCATCTTAAAACTGCATGATTCTGCCATTTTTTATAAATAACTCGAAAACCCTGCGTTTTATCGCAGAACTCATATAAAGCAAAAATGTAGCTTTTGGAATAACTGAACGATGCATTTTTAGTTGATTACCGTAAGTGTAATAATAGCCGAGTTATCACAATATGATAAAAATAAAATTGTCATCTCATTTCTTCGGAAAAAAATTAATAACAAAATCTATGACTAAAATCATAAAAATAAAAACTAATCGTAATACATGTACAGGGTGGGTCAAATTCGACGCTTTTAAATGGAAACACCCTTTTCTGTAGCAGATAGACGAAAAAAGGACGAAAACTAATATCAGTGTCTGGAGCTCAATTTTCATCAAAAACATGATGGTGAAAACCGCCAGGGTTGGCAAATATCATGATATTTATATTGTTGCGGACCCGTGTGAACTCGACCTAACCTAACTATATGTCCCGCCCTCAGATGACCTTAACATCGCATTGAAGAATGGACACCGTAATGATTCATTCGTTCGAGAAGAATCGAGTCCCACTGGAATGGACTAGTACATACGAGAACATTCGAAAACCTTCTCTAAGCACCTAACGATCTATGGACTATTCTAGAGTTCTTTACCTGTCGGTATAAAAGCCGGCGGCTGTGGCCTACAGAGGGCAGTTATAAATCGACAAGTGCAGTTGACGCGCTAAAATTCAAAATAAATTCTTAGTTATAAATCGTTTGTAAATAGTTCTATAAGTCTTTTATCGCTATTGTTTTTGTTAATTAGTGTTAAATAAATAGTGTTTAAATAAATTGTGACTTTCTATCCACACGGAACCGACGAAAAACGTAACAATATAGATATCAAATATCGGATATATATCCGATATATATCTGATATATATCCGATATATATCAAGTTTTGATATTTATTTTTGTTTTTATTTTTTATGTAAAACCGGTAAAACTGCGTTTAGTATCAAGTAAAATCAAGAGCTCAAGCAAATATTTTTATTTCAACTTAATTATTGTTGCTCTGCACATAATAGGAACAACATTAAAACAAAAATATATAAAAAAATATACAGAAATTCTAAAAAAATAGACAGAACTTCTAAAAAATAAACAGGAACTCTAAAAAATAAACAGAAATTCTAAAAAATAAACAGATATTCTAAAAAATAAACAGATATTCTAAAACTAACAACAAACAAATTTATATTTGATTTATTAATTTTATTAATGAAAATCATCGTCAGATTTGTCATGTTCAGAATCAATTGATACAGTTTTGTCCCAGATCCAATCAATATTATCTTTTTTGTTTTTTTCTTTCTGATCGTTGAGTTTTATTTTTAAATTAAAAATAAATATCATGATATATATCAAGGTATAAATATCATGATATATATCAATGATATATATCCGATATATATCATTGCCAACCCTGAAAACCGCACATCAATATCTGTTACCGTTTAAGAGTTATGGGGTGTTTTTTTTTCCAAACCCAAAATGTGCATTTTTAATAAATCGCTGTAACTTTTTTGCTATGGAAAATTTTTTATTTCTATGAAAACATTTCCAAAGCACCTTTTTACGTAGAATTTAATGGTATAAGTATATTTTTTTTAAATTAATAATTTAAGAGTTATCAACAGAAAAATTGATTTTTTATTTGGGACACCCTCTATATTTTTAATTAACCGAAAAGAATATAAAATTACCTTTCCAAAAATATAGCACACTTGATATTTTGTTATATTCCCCTTCGAAATACAGAATTTTTCAAAGTTCGTCACTTTTAACTAGTAGGCTTTGTACCCCTTATTAACTATATGCCCTTAATGGAACTCGAAAACATATTTTTCCAGCAAGAAGAGGCTCCGCCTCAGAACGCTGAAGTTATCAGCCAATTTTTGCAGCCAATTTCAAGAATAATTGAATAGCTAACCAAGATCCCAGCCGTTGGCCGTCGAGACCACCTGACTTAGTGCCCATGGATCTAATACTATGGATATATTTGCGGAAAAATAAAGGTTCCTTATCCTTCCGTCTAATCTAGACAAGAATTAGAAATACTTAGCAGTTATGAGAGGGTATCTTTCACCCCCACTAAGTTAATGAATTCCGCGAGAAATGTTCAGAAACGGCCCCGTCTATCCATAACAGAAGATGGTCGATATAACAGAAGACGGTCGAACACCTGCAGCAAAATCTCATGTCTTGGTTTGCTATTTATTTTTATTGTTATCAAATATAGTTTAAATATGTTGATGTTGGTTAAATATATTTTAAATTGTTATATAATTCTGCATCTCTCATAGCAAATATTATTTTCGTTTTAATTGATGCTCACAGCTAGAATTTTTTTCAGCCGGTGCCATTCAAAGCCTACTTATTTAAAGCGGGCGAATTTTTGTATACCCTCTATTTCGAAGAGGAATCGAGCAAAATATCAAGTGTTATATTTTTGGAAAGGTAATTTTAAATTATTTTCAATAAATTAAAGATATACAGGGTGTTTCATATAAAAAATTAAATTTTCTGTTGATAATTCTTAGATTATTAATTTAAAGCTTTCGAAATGTTTTCATAAAAATACAAAATTTTCCATAGCAAAAAAGTTACAGCGATTTCTTAAAAATGCATATTTTTGAAAAACACCCCGTAACTCCGAAACGGTAACAGATATCGATATGCGGTTTTTACCATCATGTTTTTGACAAAAATTGAGCTCCAGGCACCGATATTAGTTTTCGTCTATCTCCTATAGAAAAGGGTGTTTCCATTTAAAAGCTTCGAATTTGACCCACCCTGTACACATGGCTATATTTAGGTACTAACAATGGGCTCTGTAAGTTCGAGCGGTTTAGAATGCCTAAATTTGGAAGAAAGTTGAAAATAATGAAACTTTTTATTTTTTATAATATTTTTTATTTTTTTGACATATCTCAGAAACTAGGCAAGATAAAGGAAAGACCTTTTAAAAAAGCATTTAAAAGGTATTTTCAAGCACCTTAAAAACGGTCAAATTCATTTTCTTTGGAAAACGTGTTCTTTTGCCATTATTTTACGGTAAAAGGTGAAACAATGTAGTTCTCGAAAAATAAAAAATCATCTTTACATAGTGATAACTCGGCTACGGTAATCAACACCTACGGTAATCAACTCAAATGAATTCGATTCATTATTCTAAAAGCTTCATTTTTGCTTTATATAAGTTTTGCGATAAAACGCAAGGTTTTCGAGTTATTAATAAAAAATGGTAGAAAAATATGCAGTTTTTAGATGAAAAATCAACATTTTCAATCCTAAATAACTCTATATAACTTTTTACTTAGAATTCATCCCTTTATTGATTTCTGCAATTAAAATGGGTGATTTATTTTTCACCCCCGAGAAGGGGTGGCACTCACTCCCAGGGTGAAAGAACACATTGCTACTATGTAACTTTTGTTTCTTACATATATCTTTATTCACTGTTAAAATTTCAGGTTAATCGATGAGGGTGTGAAGAATTCGGTAATACCATATTTTTATCCTCGCTTACTGGCCTAGTAGTATTATAATAATAACAATAGGTTTCAATAATGATAATAATAATCTCCACCATGTCATATGAAAGCGAAACCTGGGTGCCATACCTCCGCTGGCACATGAACGTATTAAACAAGTTGCAACAGAGACACCTTAGATAACTTTTTGGTTCTACCATGTCTCAAACGTATCCGTCCTTGGAGAAGCTAGCTGCGAGAGCGCTGAAGTTATGATTATTATATCCCGCTTAAGATGGGCTGGTCACGTATGCAGGATGCGAGAAAATCGCCCACCGAAATCTTTTTTTTACGGTGAGCTTGTAGACAGTAAGAGGAAACCGGGTGGACAACTCAAAAAGTACAATGATATTTTCCACTCACTTAAAGGGGATAAGCATGCAAAATCAGTGGGAGGAAGCAGCGCACAATAGAACGCAATGGAGAAGAATTGTAAACTCAGTTAACAACGACAACCAAAAAGTAAAGAGGAAACAAAGTAATGAAATTTTATCCGTATCTTTTCAGTCACAGAAAAACTCATGAAAGAAAACGCCTTCTGATAACAATGATGTAAAAATTTACTATGTTTTTCTAATTTGTTACATGTTGCTGAATAATTAAGTTGATGAAGCAATTCTCTATTGTATCATAAAGCTCAGAATTCCCAGTATTTCTAGAAATATCAGTCTAGTATTCAAAAAGAAAAAGAAATTGGAAGAGTGCTGTTAGTATGAGGAAAATTTAATAACTGGAGATTTAAAGTGATTATTTTACTGGGAGAAAAACAAATCAAAGAAACAGTAGAAAATGAAGAAAGCAATTATAGTACAGAAGAAGAAAAGAAACAATTTAAAATAAAGGACACAGAAACAAAATCAACAATTGTACAGTGTTTTACGGATAAACATCTAGATTTGGTAAAATATTCAAGAAGAGTCAAATTTATGACAAAGAATTAGGAAGATATATTTGAAAGAAAAAGTGTTTTTACAAAACTAACTT